TAGAGACACATCTCTAGATAATTAACTTAATTAACATATTAGTTCCTACTTTTAAGTACTGCCTGTCGGAGATAGTAAGCTAGTTAAAGATTAAGATACTCTTATACTCCACCCCTAAAATTCTGCGAACCTCCGACTAATATTTAATAGGGAGCTGTATTCTTTAGCGCTCCGTTACGAACTATGCATTATAGATAGACTAGTAGTAGTATAACGTAGCGAGCAGATTATCTATATTAAGCACGGGCTTATCCTTACGCTTCTATAAAAGATCGAATTCGATAAGCAAATCGTTCTCGATATACTACTAAAGTTAGTTATTATCTATATAGCCTCCGTAGATACGACTTATATATCTTATTTCCGTAATAAGCTTAGGGTCTAAGACGATAGATGTCTACACCTTATATACTTGCCTAAACTAACGCGTAAAGACATAGATCGAGCTAAGCTTCGTAATACTTAAATAGTTTACGTACTAGTAGAGAAACTTCCGGAGTACCTATATAGATATCTCTACCTTATAAGGTCGCGAGGAGATGTCGATTACGGGAGATTCGTAGAATCTAGGCTACCTCTTAGATATGCCGCTATAAAATATCGACCGCGAGATACTTACGCTACCTATCTCCTCTATACGCCTAAGGCGGAGCTCCTAGTACTCGGAGCGAGGCGGAATTACGGCTTAGTAGAAGCATCTATAGCGAAAGCCGTGCTATAACAAATAGCTTTCCGTAGAGGCTTAGTTCTTATAGCTATTATAGATAATCGCTTAGTTATTTTAGATAGGCCGAAATGCTGCCGAGAGGCTGCTAAGAGGCTGCCGAGAGGCTGCCGAGGACGAGAACGTGTCGAGATTAATGTCTTGTAAGAGTGGTAATGCGTTAAATACCAGAGATAGCAGGTAAGGGAACGTGTGTGTGCTCTATCTATTTATGTGACGCTAGACAAAAGGTCTCTTCGCTGCCTCGACACTCCGGGCGCTTCAGCCCGACAAAGTCGTGGGACGAAATCTGAAACTGGCCGGTGGTCGAAGGCACTGTGCGTCCGGTTCCTGAGCAAAAAACGTCCAGAATCGTAATCCGCTTGCCCCAGACATCGCTATCCTCCGTAGGTAGTTTTGGGAGATTTCGTTAAACCTGACTAAGCTTTCTTTGGAGGATACCTAGTATACCTTACCTAATCTGGCTCATCTTCTTTCGCCGACCACCATCAAGGTCACAGCATCGGCCTCCCTGGTATATATGAACGCGTTTCCTCGCCTACGATGCGCGAAAATCTCGACGACAGCTTCCAGAAGAGCGGCTTGGCTATGCTCACGCAACCGGATAAGGTGGCCCGCCAGGCTTTGCCCTTTTACCGAAACCACAAACCACCCCTCTCGCACGTTCTCCTCACGTACCCCGCCTCAATGACATGGCATTACAGCTCTGCGGTCCTGTCGCGCGCGCCAAACGAGTAGTGCCCACTTGATGCATCATAAGTTAGAAAGAAGAAGGTAACCCCGGTTCTTCCATCACGAAGCTTTTTCCTACCTCTGCTCCACACAATATCATCTTTCTATACCATTTCTATAACCCATCAACACAAAAGAAAGATCCTACCACCAACAACATCAACATGTCGAAGCTTCCCGATTTCAAAGATTTGCCTGATGTCAAAGATATGCCAAAGGGCTGTGCGTGGGGAGTGTGGGATAAAGACGGCAAGAAGGATATCTATGGTACACTGAACCTTTTGACTCCGGAAGTGATCAAGGAGGCATACAAAGAGGCTAGAGATGGTGTTTCTGTGTCTTTGAACTGGCCCATTGGAGCTATCAAGACGCCTGGTTTCGGGAGAAAAGGTCTGGTCCACAAGGTCGTTTCCTTTGTGGATAGCCCATTAGCCTGCCATGGATACGATGACGAGGTGGAGTTCAACACGCAGTGTAGTTCGCAGTGGGACAGTCTTGTTCACTTCCACCACCAGCCTAGTGCTTCTGGGTACAACGTAAGGGAAACAGTGCTTGTACGATAACATCCTTCAATGCTAATCAAGACATCTTACAATAGGGAACCAAAACCAGCGTCGAAGAGCTCACCCAAGCCCACGGCAACGAGGATCTGGAAGGCAAACTCCCAACCCTCAACCACTGGCACAAGCGTGGCGGCATGGTAGCCCGCGGCGTCTTCATCGACTTCAAGAAATATGCAGACGAAACAGGCCGTTCCTTCAACCCCTTCACCGACGACAAAATCTCCGTCGAGGACATTGAAACCGTAGCGAAGAAACAGGGAGWAGAATTCAAACAGGGAGATGTAATCATCATCCGCTCTGGATTCACCGAGGGACTCACAGGCCAGACGGGCGAAAAGCAAGCGGAACTCATGGGAGCCCACAAAGTCTGCGGCGTGACTGGTAACCCTGAGACGGCGGCTTGGTTCTGGGACAAGCATTTCTCCGCCGTGGCTGGAGACATGATTGCTTTTGAACATATCCCTCCGGTTATTGATGGCAAGGAGGGGGCAGTGAGTGATCTCGTCTTGCACCAGTACTTTTTGGGTTTGTTTGGAATGAGTATTGGAGAGCTGTGGGATTTGAAGCAGCTTTCGGAGACTTGTCAGAAGCTGAACAGGTATACTTTCTTGTTGACGAGCTCGCCTCTGAATGTTCCGGGAAGCATTGGTTCTCCACCTAATGCTCTTGCCATCTTTTAGGGGTTTTTTTTCTTATGTTCAGGAATGAAAGATGGTATGTAAATCAGTCAACCCATTGGACAAGGCAGTCTTCTCGCTTCAGGCGTCAAGTGTCACACAGTGTGGAACCTGCATAGTCGTGCAGGGATCTCGAAGCATCCCCATGCTTCTTATCAATCGCCTTCACCCGTTCAATTCTCTGCTTCGTTCATTTGTTAGGTTTGTGATATTGACGATGGCTCGATTGAATCTTGCCGCAAAGGCTTCCCAAGCGAAAATTATATTCCCTCGCCTGGTAGCAAAGGACCAGTCTCACCATTCCTACATCAGTTTTCTCAAAAGTACCTTCGAAGCTGGGCAACAGAATAAGATCGCCATTGGGTTGGCGGAGAAACAAAAGGTGGACGACGAATTCAGGTCTCAGTTAGTTCAGCTCTACGGCCACGATGATAAGTTCTGCAAGACACAACTTCAAGAGGTGAGACATTCAGCAACGAACTTGTCGAATCTGTATGCAATACTTACGAGTTACGGGCCTCTAGCTCAACTCTCCAGCGTCGATGGCACTGTGGAAAGGATTCAAAGCCCGCTCGGGACCGCTCGTGAAGACCGCTAGCTCCATGTTACTCTCGAGCGAAACCGACGAATTGACACTGCCAGCAGTGGGGAGGTCTGTGAAGGGTGAAAACGACAAGGGCGATAGCTGGAACTTCCAAACCTACGAGGAATTCGCGAAAAAGACCGAGAAGATGAACAGGAATACGGTGTTTACAAAGAAGCTCATGGACGACTCTTTCCAGAAAGCGATCTCTCTAGTGGTATCCAAGACGCGAACAAGGGGTGGGCGGACGGCTCAGAATATCGGTGCCGTTAATAAGATGCTGAATAGAGTAAGTTGCAGAGATCCAAACTAAATGCCTCGCTAATCTGCCTCAAGTGTCTTGGATCTGAGTCGGACAAGTATTGGGAAGGGAGATGATGAACCATCGTCGATGTGGCTGCTCGAGCATCATGCATGATTCTGTGTTGAATGGAAAGACCACGAACGCGGATGGAAGGGGAAAATCGCATGACAGACCAATGATCGGAGGCTCCAGCCAGGTGATGTAGAAGTGGCCGGAGGGTCTAAACGTCTTGGAACATCGCTAAGCTATGATCCTCCAGACCGGAATGCCACTTCAATGCCTTAAGATGCACCGGTTCTGTGAGTCGAAAAGGGGGCCACAGCAGGGCTGAAAGCTGTCGGCCGGGCTAGAAACTCGATAGCACATGTGACAAAGCTGGGTTCCGCTGAATGATTCCACAAGATATTCACTTGCCTATACCTCTACCTCAGCTATCGTACACAATGTACAGTCGACTATTCCCTCCAGTCTACTTGAGTCTCTTCTCAGCGGCAGAGAAGTTGATCACGTCCCAGATTGCGCTGAAGTATTCGGCCTTCTTGTTCTGGTATTGCAGGTAGTATCTAAAGCGAAAAAAGTGGATGGTCAGCACACGTATCTCGGGAATGAGCGAGCTGACGAAGTTTCGAGACGTGGTATATGTCTCCCATGCTTCGGTTTGACTTACGCGTGCTCCCAGGCATCAATTCCAAGAATTGGGCGGAATTGTCCAATGACAGGGTCCTGGTTGGCATATGTCTTGATTTGGATGGCGCCGGTCTGTACATCTTGCACCAACCAGGCCCATCCAGAGCCTTGAATGCCGGCGAGTGCGGTGTTCATTTGGCTCTTGAAAGAGTCCAGCGAGCCGAAGTGGGAGTCGATAGACTTGGCGAGAGCACCCTTGGGAGGCTCACCACCGCCCTGCGATTTTGGTGCGAGGTTCTCCCAGAAGAGTGTGTGGTTGACGTGTCCACCTCCGTGGAAGTTCACCATTGCTTGTGTAGCAAGCTGCGTCTGGATGTCGCCCTTTTGCTGTGCCTCCTGCAGCTTCTCAATCTGGGTGTTGTACGAGGTCACGTAGGTGTTGTGGTGCTTGGAGTGGTGGAGCTCCATGRTCTGGCCGGAGATGGCAGGTTCAAGGGCGCCATAGTCGTCTAGAGATTGTCAGAATGGGCAAATCATTCGATGTCAAGGATGTAAGTCGTATCTTACAGGCCAGGTCTGGAAGAGTAGCCTTGCCGCGAGTGAAGGTGGTGCCGGCAAGAGCAGCTCTCTTCGTCGCCGATGGAGCCGCGGATCGTACAGCTGAACGTAAGACGCTCTGTCGGAGGAGTGTGGCGGACATGGTTATGGATTTGCAAAACAGCCCGTGTTGTGTAAACAGAGTTCGATGTCGAAGTGAAGCTCAAAGTGCAATGGAAGTGTTGCGGAGAAGTCGAAGCTTCCAAAACGTCATGCTCACCAAAGCATAGAATGTCAAGCTCGGCTCTCATCACAGCTTGGGAGTGGAATACTCGCCGACATGTCCCATAATAGCAATGTAGATTTCTTCAAAGGGTTATTTGCCCTTGACGACAAGATTGATTTCCAACCAGGTAGTGAGGGCCGACAGAAGCCCTTCATCTTCCACTTGCATGCCCTTCACTTCACACTCAGCTGTCGCTGTTGGGACAGCTCTCTATCACTTCTCAAGATGATGACAGTTGACAAAAACAGACCCGCAGAGGCAACGAGCAAGGGCAAACGGGGCTCTAGATCAGATAGAAAGAAAGGTAAACAAGGGTCTGTCTGTGCTGAATAGTACATTGTTTATCGAGATTGCTATACAGGCGGGTGATTGCTTGGCTTGTCCTGCAGCCCATTCAATCTTCTTGTCTCTCGACGATGGGTTACTGCGGCGATGGTCTGATGGATCCCTACCATCGAGGTATATAATTTGAGCATAGGTGTTTACCGTAGCTGCTTGAACAACTTTGGTGCAGCACACTGAGCAGCGCAGTGCATCATGTGGAAGTCTGTGTACGATCAAATTAGCCAAAACTCCGGCGCTTCGAGTGTCTTGATGGAGCAAATATAGCTTACACTCTTCAACGCAGTCTTCCGAGGCCTTGCCATGCTGCTCCTCCTGGGACTTGACGCGCTCGGCGCACTCGTCGTAGTGGTGCTTCAAGGGCGCACAAGCTGCTGTCTTAAGACACTCTGCCGGAACTCCGTCAGCATTGCATGCCTCATTAATCTCATTTGCCGTGTGTGCGGGAGATGCATTTGCCATCTGCATCCTCCAGCTCATGCGAAGAGACTCGGTAATTGTGCAACATACCCTCCTCAAGCTTTGGCTTGATGTCCTCTGGCTCCTCTTCTTCCTCTTCCTCCTCCTCCTCCTCCTCATCATCGGCGGCCTCGTCGTCACCACCTTCTTCCTCCTCGCCGCCCTCGTTGTCCTCACTCTTCTCCTCCTCATTGCTCTCCTCGCCTTCGTCACCACCTATCATTGAAAATGATCAGTATATGCGCTTTACGGTAGTTTCAGTCGCAATAGGTCTGGCAACATGTCTCGGACCATCGCAACGGAGGGATCCTTACCCTCATCCTTCTGTGGCTCCTCGGCCTCCACCGTTTGGATGCTCATGGCGGAGTAGAGATCGGAGACATATTCGAAGATTCCCATCTTGTCGGTTGACAGGTCGGATATTATTGAGCGCCAATGGCTGGGTTCGAAGAGGTTATTCGGGGTCGAAAGGCGGGTGTCGAGGAGATCGTGAGGCGTGTTCGCAAGTTCTCGGCGGACGGACCCGTCGAAGTAAGCAGCGACCCTATTGGCTCCTTCCCCTTCAAAACGTCTTCCACTTTCACTTCACCGCAGCACAAGCGTCAACATGCACGTCTTCTTCATCGTGAAAGGTAAGACTCGACAGCATCCACGCCGTACACATCCAGAGCCGACGAGTGCTCAGGCGAGTGAGAGCGCACTCTTACACCTCCGCGGCAACATCAAAAGCCTAATCTTTGAGGGATACTGCGGCATCGCGGACTACGTTCCATCTTGTGGCGAGGCCACGCCGCCGTTGGAAAATGCTCGAACCCACGATGGCCTGGCGCCAAAGCAAGACTGCGGCTCTTTATTCTTGTACGCCTGGTGAAACGTAGCCGCCAGGATTCTGCTCATTCCTGCGAGCGCTCAACAATGTGAGCATCGAATGTGGGTCTCATCCGACCTATGAGGAGTATCGACGAGTCGCGCTATACGTCCAAAGATACTGCCGCCTTGGTCCTCGAGGATGTCTAATGCTCACTGCTGCTCCAGCCAAGAAGCACACACCTGACAGTATGTAGGCTGTGCGGGCGTCTAATAACGCGGCACAGCACCACCTCTTCAACTTGCAGATACAAATGTATTTGCTTTCTCCCAGCGTCCATATTGTATCGTGATTTCTTTTCACACCTGCCTATATACCTCTGCTGTAAAATCTCTTATACTCCTATATGCATCTCTTTCGGCCAAAGAAACTACAGGCTCAGGCTGTGTCCTCTCCGGCAACAGTATACCCATCAAATGGTCCCACGATATCGCAACACAGCGCCGACTCAAGCCACGACCATGGCTCATCTGTCGCCGGTGCTCTGCAGCGTCAAGCCGTGCAGTGCACGCCGGCCATGGAACCCCCTTACCGGCCACTCGTGTCGAAGGACAAGGAGATACGAGTACTCGAAATTCACCCTGGCAAGGAGCAGGACCCTATCAGGTGCACTATGGTCTACACATCCATGTACACGAAGCGGCAACTGTCGTATGAGACAGTGTCGTACTGTTGGGGTCAATGCCGTCAGCGAGTGATGGTGATCAACAACCGTCCCGTCAATACAACGTCCAGCGCAGTCCAAGTGCTTCATCGGATTCGATACCCGGACAAGAGTAGGCTTGTATGGATCGACGCGATTTGTATCGATCAGCGCAACCATACCGAGAAGGGCCAACAAGTCGCCATGATGGGCGAGATCTACCGTAACAGTAAGAGGAACATAGTCTGGCTCGGAGACTGTCCGGGCGATCCAACCCTTGTGGCACATGCCATGCGAGCAGTTCTTGCAGACGCACGCAAGAAGACTGGCAATTTCAAAACCTTTTACCGCATCACACATCCGAATTCGTTGAAAGGAGAAGCATCACGCGATGGAGACTCACTGGATTGCAAAATCGACCTTAGACCTCTCAAATATCTCTTTTCTAGCCCCTGGTTTGGGCGTATATGGGTACGCAGTCCTCTGTTTCACCGAGCTTGTAGAGAGACTGACGCGACTGTCGACAGGTTGTTCAAGAAGCAGCTTTGGCACCTACGAGCCTCTGCCACTTTAGCTCCGTTGACTTTCCGCTTCCAGATGTCCTCAGAGTTGCTATATGGTTGAGGTACAACGTGAAATCAATCTCCCCTGATCTCGCAACAAGCTATGGCCTTTCCAGAGCCTCCGAGCTGTGGTACCTTGCGGATCATGAAGTTTCGCCGCCAGAGTTTCACTTCAACGGTTGCAGGATGCCACTTGCCACTGCTTATAAGAGGCTGCAAGACTTTGATGCTTCTGATCCACGTGACCGCATTTTCGCTCTGCTTGGGTTCCTTTTACATCAAGGAAAGCACTTACGCGAATTGACGCCGGACTATAGCAGGCCTATGCCACAACTAYTCAGGGAAGCTACACGGGCCATGATTGAAGAGACTGGACGTCTCGACATCTTACAGTACCTTTACGTGAACTCCACTCAAAAGCCTTCCCAGAGCTGCTCTTGGGTGGTTCCGTTCGACAGAACATGGCGCGACTGCCAGAGGCCTGAGCCGCTAAGACCAGTTTTCTTTGCAGACAATATGTCGAAGATCCGGCAGTCGACCATACATAACTCGAATCCGGACATCCTGGTCTTGCATGGCTTCGAAGCTGACGTCGTGAAGCTTCAGACTAATTGCATGACCAGGGCCCCTGATGGTGGTTTGGCAGTCCAGCCAGCTACAACCGCGCTGTTGGCTGCTGCGAAAATGATGCAAGCGTTGCAAAACGAGTATCCCTCCAGACGGATGGTTGGCGAGTTGGCCATGACACTCATGGGTGGGGCGAATCAAACCGGGGAAAGATTGACTGGTCCCGACCTTGAATGCTTCTCGGCATTTATGGAGTATATTCGAAAACACAACGTCTTGCCGCCCTCGGGTCTACCTTGGAAACAGTCAGAAGCTTCAAAGCTTACGAGGCCAGTCCGAATGGCGATTACATTCATGAGTGCTGCCTGGCGGGCCTGTCTAAATCGTCGAATCTTCGTCACCGAAGCTGGGCGTCTGGGCATTGGTCCTGGTGGGCTCAGGAATGGCGACGGTATTGCCGTCCTCAACGGTAGTAGAGTGCCATATGCGCTTCGATGGCTAGGTGAGAACAAGTTCTCTATCCTTGGGGAGTGCTATGTGCATGGTATAATGGAAGGTGAGATTGTGAGTGCGCGGAGGGCAGAGGGAAGAGGAGAGCAGACAACTGTCTTTCACATTGTTTAAAGATGATAGATACGATTAATCCGGACTGTTCTTCAATGTACATTGGTGGGGCAGACACTTCGTGACTTCGTCAGGCCCGAAGCGCCAGAGGCGGTGGAGGCTTGGCAAACTCGGTAGCTGCCGATGTGTTTGGCTGGCCTCTAAGCGCCGACATTGTCGAATCACCATTCTCCTTTGGCGCTCAACACCACAGCTCTGCTCGAGACCTGCAGATGGCCTGTGATGGAGCATCCTGATCTCTATAGCTGGGAAAATGTAAGTGCTGAAGATCTCCCTTCTGTTCCTCCAGACTCTCTTATCCTCATGAGTTGACTGCAAAATGGGCTGCGACGCGACCGCCCGACTCATTCGCACAGCTATCGTTGTGCTATCGACCGCCGCCGTCACCAAAGCAGACCTTTGGAGCATAGACATTGATCTGGATCCGGCGCCATCACCTCAAGATGGCCCGCCTTTCTCTGCCTTTGCATCGCGAAATCGCGATTTTCTCCCTTACCAGATTATCGGAGTGGTAGGAGCCTACCTGGGGGTTGTGCTCATCCTTGGATCACTGCTTCTTACGGTGGGAAGAAGACTTCGAAAACGGGCGCAACAGATTGCCGCAAGGCCCATCGAAATGGTCAAACCGACACTGAGGACTTTCGATATGTCCCCGAATCCTCGGAGTGGCACCAGTACGCGGACATTTCCATTCCTTAGGAGACAGAGGAGCGGTACTAGTCTGAATGGCACTAAAGCCATGTCTCCAGGTGCGCTAAGCATTAACAGCTTCGATAACGGGGTCGTGGAGCGGGATAAACGAAATCAAGAAGAACAGATGGCCCAGATTTATGGAAAATTCTATGAGTTCGAAGAGCAGCGAATTCAGTCGGCAGGATCAAGACCTTTTGGTGCCACGCAGGATGATCGACCACACATTCGACCTGATCTACGTCCTCTGGACCTGCGGCGAGTGCAGTCTCCGGGATCTACACATCCTGCGAGTCCCATCTCGCCCCGATCTCCTGTGCGTGCCATATATCCGCCGCAGAGCATGGGGTCTCGCAGCCCAGTGAGCACACGATACCAACCACATCCGCTAAGCGAGCGAGAGGAGAGAGCATTCAATCCCAGCGACGATACTACGGATCTACGTGCAGCGCCTCTATCTAAGAAGTACCGAAGACCTATGGGTAAGCTCACAATCAGCTCGCCTATGGCTTCTCGTCTTGGAGACGATAACAGCGATGGTGCGAGGACGCCGCTCTCGCCAAGGTTTTACACGGATCCTGGCACTCCACCAGAACCACCCTCCGCCTTGACAATCGATGGTCACCGTCGAACAACATCAGCGGGGACGACGACAAGCCGGCGAGATGGACGTGCCTTCGACGATCGTGACCATGCGTACGATGCGAGACCAGTTCCCGCTGCAAGTCCTCAAAGACTCAAGCCTGCGCTCAAGGTCCCACCTACAAAGCGCGGAAACATGGCTCAGATCAGTACGAATAATGTGTTGCCATTCCGGGAGTATCAGAACCAATACCCAACGTCTCCAACGGCATTGAACACGAAAACAACAGTGCTCGAGTCGAAGGGTAGAAGCTTCCCACTCACCGCGGGCGCCACGCCATACAGCGCATATTTCCCAGGACAGATGATTGAGCCTGCCACACCGCACCTCACCACCAGAGCAGAGCGGTTGCAGAAGCAGAAGGAAGAGAAGGCGGTGCGGGGAGCAATCACTGAGGAGGATCAGGTGCAGGACGAGAGTGAGATGTGGAGGGATGCGTATTGATCGTGTCCGCGTCTGTAGCAATCGACTGCGCGTTCAAACATCACCCTCTCATGACAACTGACATGGAAGCCATCGTCTCACCACCCTGGTCTTGTTGAGACTGCCCAGATGCTCTCAGACTCTTCTCCACATTATTTCCCCGTCTGCGTTCAGAACCCTGTTTGGTATCCAGTTTTGATTGGATCAAATCCGCCAAGACGTGCGGGGAAGGTACAAGGTACCAATGGCTCCTCCATTGTATAGATACACCCTCTTCGCTCCCTCCTCCATTCTGACCACTCCTCACACTCCCTCCATGGACACAAGATGAAGATGCTGCTTTTCATGTGTTCAGTGCAGCCGCGAAAGCCGCTCTGGCGAGAAGATTCCTAGGGAACAGGCCGGGCCGCTATCGGAAGTCAAAATCGAGGCACCACCCGGCGTTATCCCACTCCACCTCCCTGTCGAGTCAAACCGATCACGTGTTGCGTTTCCGTTATCGCTTCCGCGCAAAGAGCGGGATATCCCCGGAGACGTCATTATACTTTGCGTACAGACGATGAGTGGGAAGATATGGGCCAGTGATGTCTGACAGCGGCCCTGCGTGAACGAACGTCGATGTGCGCGCCGAGTCTATCAACAAGGTGGCAGCCACTCAAGTCGTCGCGGATCGCGTAACYTATCCGCAACAGTCTCAACAAAGCAAAAGTCACGGCCTACAAGGTATCAAAATTCACAAGCATTTGAGTCGAACTACGGGCCAGCCTCCATGTTGTTGCTTCTCCCGGAAACAGGATGGATGCCGGCCTTTCCAGAGAAAACGGCCTCAAACAAGCGCATCGTCGTTCAGCAAAAACGCTGTTGACGACCGCCGCTTCGGCTCGGATTTTCCTCGCTCAAATTAAGCTGCCGGGAGTGGGTCCGACATGCGCTAGTGCAAGCTCTTTCGGACGACACCGAATCGATGAAATCATCACCGAGTCGCAGGGCAGGCCTTCCACCATCGATTGAGCTCGCAAAAGCCGTTGCCGTATCATCTAGCGCTCTGTCCCGTCCTGCTGGCAATGTTCTGTAAACGCAAACACCAAAAGTGGTGAGATGCGAATGCTGAGACATGATTGTCGGAGAATCTCGGGACGCATGGACCGCCTGTGAAATTTTCGCGACAAGTCACAACGCCGCCCCTGGCCCTCAGTCACGCATCTCTGCAGACCCGTACCAGATTGAATCGCGAGTTTCATTCTGGAGTCCTGGAAGTGCCAGTATGGTATGGGACAGTCACCCAGTGTGATGAAGGTAGGATCGTCAAGTCGGGCCAGGATTTCCAACATGCTCCATATGAGGTGGAATGCTCAGGTTAGCAACGAGCAACAATCCCAACAGACTGTTGTGGAAGGCCACTTTATATATGTCTCCAAACCCGGACAGAGGCGGACGAGCAGTGACCTTTAGTCGGGGAACAATTATCGTCGCCGCAGTACAACCCAGGGGTGAGTGGCCAATCCACGTCTTCAAACCGGAGCATGTGGAGCGTCCAAGCTCACCAACAAATCCGCCGGAGGTCTAGCGGCTCTCTTTAGCAAATTTCTCAACTCGCAGCTCCTTCCCACACTTTCCCCGTGACAACTCCAATCTCTTCTCAGCTCTGTCCATCTACACACCTCACACCCGCTTCATCAAATCCATCAAAAGCCATCTCGGTTCATCTTCACTCACACAAATCCATCGCAATGGCTTCTTCCCTCCGCATGGCTGCCCCTAAGATGGCTTCTATTGCCGCACAGAGCTCCGTCAAGGTCGCTCGCCCAATGATGAAGMCAGCTCAGCTCCAGAAGTTCGCTCGTGCCTACTCCGGTGGTAAGAAGCCACCGACAGCGATGGGAAGCTCATGAGTAGCTTCGTTAACATTTGCCATGCAGCCGCTGCCCGCCAGACCTCTGCCTTCAACACCATGAAGCGCACCTCCACCCTGATGAACTCCGCCCGCACCCAGGTCTCCACCCAGGCCAAGCGTGCCTACTCCTCTGAGATGGCCAACGCCCTCGTCCAGGTCTCCCAGAACATTGGCATGGGTTCCGCTGCCATCGGTCTCGGTGGTGCCGGTATCGGTAAGAAAAAGGACAACACACACATTTGCCGAGGTACCCAATGGCTGATGAAAGTTGTTCAGGTATCGGTCTCGTTTTCGCTGCCCTCCTCCAGGCTGTTGCCCGCAACCCATCTCTCCGTGGCCAGCTCTTCTCCTACGCCATTCTTGGTTTCGCTTTCGTCGAGGCCATCGGTGTAAGAACGACCTCACAGCGCCCCTCCTCAAGCTTCATCACTGACCACCACCCAACAGCTTTTCGACCTCATGGTTGCCATGATGTGCAAGTACGTCTAAGCGATGAATTATGTTTGGGCAAAGCGTGCGGAGTTTTGTGTATCAGTATCGGGCAGAGAAAGGTGCTTGGAGGGATAGAAAGCAGGAYACAAGTTCCGGATAAAGGAGACTTCTGTATATACGTGTACTCGACTACCCGAAGCTTGGATGAGGCCTTGAATGATGGCAGGGCAAAAAACCTCTCATTTGTTACACCATTGCTTGATCACTTGCATTTCACCCGTCGCGACATGTTTGCTCATTCATATGTTGGTATGGTCTTCTGATTCCGGATGTTTCCGAGGTCCTCATATGCGGACATTCACAAGCTGGTCTGAACACCGGTTCCATCGTCAATACCCTTTCATCTTGTAATCCCCGGTTCAACACTGCCGTCGTGTATTCCCGACACCGCTGACGACATCATCATCCAGTTTTCACACAACCCCAACCCTAACCCTCGAATACGACTGATCTTCAAAAAAGAAGAATATCAACAAGCTGTCACGGCAACCTCCAGACCTGCAATCTCATTCGATTTCTGATAGAAGTGATTCTCGTGCTGCCAGTCCAGCTGTTCCTGATGCCATATAGATGTTCGTCTATCTCTTCCAGCAAGACTAGGAGATGAAGACAGGTCGGAATCGTGATATCTTTCCAGGTTTCCTTAGCGATGCGTGAATCAAGGTACGATTTGGAAGAGTTAGGAAGTTGATTATGTCCTTCGTGCCTTCCGCAAGCAGAAGCGAACGTGCCTTCTGTACGCAAATACGCACGTCCTTCATCGGACTCCATTGAATTTGTGAATCGACAGACCAGATCCATCCATCGTTCAGACCCCGATGGAAGCAAAATCTATCGCCTTCTATATCATTCCCAAACACTTCATCTCCTCGCACTCTTCAACTCCTCTTCAACCTCCCTCACCACAATCTCCCTCACAGCCTTCCAATCCGCCTTGCAATCCACCAATCTCTTCTCCAAATCCATCAACCCCTTGAACTGTTCCGGCAAAACAGTCTCAAAAGTAAAGCCTTCCACATCCTGCAACGCCATTTCCACAGCGGCCGAGAACTTGGCCGGATGTGCCGTCGCCAAAGAGATGTACTGCACATCCTCGACCTTTTCCTTTTCAATCCTCCTCAGACTTGCCGCAATTCCAATAGCACTATGTGGGTCGAGGATATATCTTCCCCGATCCATCATGCCTGTGGTAGCGACCTTTCCATCTCTCCCTGCGACTTCCTTTGCATCTGTTTCTGATCGCTGGATGTCCTTGATAGTGGAGATCGTCTCCTCATTACTGACCCTCTCGCTGGAAAAGTCCTCTCTCGCGGCCTCCAACATCTCCTTTGGAACGGWGAATCCCCCATCTCTCTTCAATTGCTCCAACCAGCCTTTTACTCTGTCTCCAGCCTCCATTCGTCTGTGATTCGTCTCTTCAATTTTGCTTGTCTTGTATGCCAGGAACCAGAGCAATCTCTCAAAGTTCGAAGACACGAGGATATCCATTGCCGGCGCATAAGTCATCTTCACACCGCCCGGATCCGCCAACGCACCAATCTCTTCCTTGACGGCATCCTTCTCTTGATGTCCCTCCTTGGCCTGTTTCTCGTACACACCGCTCTGCCAGAATCGATGCAGAATGTCGTTCTCATTTGTTGCGATCACCAGCTTGTCAACGGGCAGACCCATTTGTGTAGCGAAGTATCCAGCGAGAATGTCGCCGAAGTTGCCTGTGGGAACGACGAATCGAACACGAGGGGAAGCGATCTTGGTTTGGCGGGCGAGGGAGAAGTAGGCGTGGTAGTAGTATGTGATTTGAGCGAGGATACGGGCCCAATTGATGGAGTTCACGGCCGCAAGGCGGAGGGTGGAGTTGATTTCCTTGTCGGCGAAGAGCGTCTTGACAATGTCCTACAGCAAGCTGAAGTTAGTGCTCTGGAAGGCGAAGTGAAATAGGTAGGCATCGCATACTTGACAATCGTCAAAGGTGCCCTCAACCCTCAAGTTGTGCACATTCGCATCCGGTACCGTGGTCATCTGAGCTTCTTGAATCGGGCTGACCTTTCCATTGGGATACATGATAAAGACGGAAACATCCTGCTTCCCTCGCAGACCATAGATGGCAGCTGAACCCGTATCGCCGGATGTTGCGCCAATGACTGTGAGGTGTTCGCGGGAAGAGCCAGATTTGTTGGCATTGCGGCGTACGAGGAAGTATTCGAACAAGTTGCCCACAAACTGCAAGGCAACGTCTTTGAAAGCGAATGTTGGGCCGTGGAAGAGCTCGAGGAGATGGAGATTCTTGGAGGCATCGAGAGTGACGAGAGGGGTGATGTCGGGGGTACGAAACGAGGCATAACTCCGGGCGATGATGTCTTTGAGGTCGGATGGAGGAATCTCTTCGGGAGAAATGTAGAGGGAAAAGATGTTGAATGCGAGGTCTTCAAAGGAGAGGTCGGCCCATTGGGAGAGGGCATCGACGGGTATGGAGGGAATGTCCTCGGGGATGAAGAGTCCGCCTATACCGATATACGATTAGGTGTGTTGATTGGACAGGCATGTATTGCTGTTCTTAACTGACCGTCACTGGCGAGGCCTTTCAAGACGACATCCTCAAAGGACAGCTACCGGCCAGATCAGCACGAATTGGTGGAGATTGTATGTGACACGCTGCATACATCGTACGATCCACCTCTGGTACTGAGATATCGCTGTGAGGGATTGTGGGCGACCATGATGGTGGTGTTGTGTTTATGTATCTGGTGAGTCAATGCCTGGGAGACTTCAATGTTGTCCCGCAAAAATGTAGAGGGGAAGGATATACAGATCCGACATCGGCCGTCTGTTTCGTGACAACACCTCCCCAGACTGGACCTCCATCAATCAATCTCCATTTCCATCAAGCACACCCACGCTTCAAGTTTTGTGGAAGAACAGCCGATATACTGTCGCCTTATCCATCWCGTCTCACAATCAACACAACTCCACATTTCGCCCATCCAGATAGCGCTTCGGTCCTTCCTCCACCACTGCGCTGTCAGTGTAGAAGATGGTGTCGCGGTAGAAGATCTTGGCCATGGCACGGCGGAATCTGCGAATGATCTTCTGCAGAGCAACCGGTGGCTTGTATTCCAGGTCGACCGGCACGACCACAGACACCATGTTGTTCCCCGACTTCATCATCTCGGGTGGAACTTCGAACTTGCATGCGATTGTACCGGTCGACGCGACAGACTTCCAACTCGCAAGGCTTCCCCTCCTCGGTTCAAGTCAGCTGACTCTTGCCTGGAAAGGTAGCCATGCGGTATCTTCAGTAGAGCGGACTCATAGTAACCCATTGGGGATAGATGAGAAACAGCGGATGAGCTCGGGCTCTTCACTCGGTGGAGGAACTAACATCGATGCTGGATCTGTCGCAAGTTTCAAAGGCGACTTCAGGTACAGACGCTAGTATGGCGGCAGCGTCAACATCAGCGTGAGGAGAAGGATCTGGTCCTGGAGTTCTTGTGGCAAGGCACCGATCCGCGCATTACGATCCATGGTCGCTGTGATTAATAGCGTGGTTGGAGCTGCCGTCTCGAGAAAAACCAGCTGATGTTGTAGAGCAGGAAGAAGAATCCGACGAAAGGCTAACGATCGCCAGGGTGTCGACTTGATCATCGACCTCGAACTCGACTTAAACCTAGCAGATTGCACGCGCGCTGCTTCGTCTAGTGTGTATATGTTTGTTCACACATGCAGTAAGCTTCTAGCGGACGATATGAGGTGAAATGAATAGACGACAAACGCTTTAAGACGGTTGTGTTAAGCAGATGCAAGAAGAACCAAATCAAAAGGAAAAATGGCGTAGTAAGTGAATCTTTGAGGTGGGTCCGCACATGATCAACTGCTCGGCTAGCCCGGCACTAAACGCATGCATCTTTTGCGTCCTTTGCGTTCTTCCTCGCTGCCTTCTGACCTGAACGCTTCTTCAATTTGGGACTGCGCATCTTGCATAAACAACGGCTCGCTCGATTTGAAGTCCTCTTCGACATACTCGCGTGCCACCTTCGAGTCCGCGCGCTCTGTTGCGAGGGACTACGCATCGCCAGCGCTATCCAGCTGTTGACCACATCTGCGACCATATCTGCGACTCGAACGCTTCGAGGATCCCGCGCGTCTTCTTCCGTTTTCTAGCGGTCTCGTCCACTACAGGGCTATTACGAAATACCTACCTCAGAGCACTTCATCGACCTCAACATGGATATTATGGACCGCGTCCGGGCTTTGCCAAACGAGCTTCAGGATGAGATTTTTCAATACACACTTCTGGCAGAACTGCCATCTGGAGAAGTGCGGATGCAGCGTCGCTCCTCTCCGACCACGATCGTCAAAACGAGCCACACCAGTCCAGTACCACGACCAAAGACGACGCTGTCATGTCTGGTGTCCTACATGAACGAGATCATCCGAGCCAATCAGGATCTCGGCCTCGAATACGCACAGGCGGCGCTCTGCATTGCCCGCTTGTTCGCCATGTACAATCTCTTCAAGCACATTCCTGGTGATTTCTTTCGGGTGCATAGCCCTTGGCGGTGGAATTACAATGGCGTGCTGGAAGCTGCAGGGGCCGAACGCCTTTACTGGCTTGCACAGCATTGTCAGAAAGTGAAATACTGTCATGACTCGCTCCGCGCATTATGTTGTTGTTGCGACCGTTCCCGTCGCTTTATTTGCTATGCTTGCTACGAATGGTTGGGGGAAAAAATCGAAGACTACGGCGCGGTGGGCCTGGAGACTGTCCCTGACTTTATCTTGCGATGGTGCAGGCCATCAGCCTTCATCCCGGATGAGTCCCTCGATTGGAATGATGACGACTGGATTTTTGAGGAGCAAGATGGGAAAGTGAAGGTGCTGGCCATTTGGCAGAAAGGATACGTACCGTACACCTGGTTATCGAGGGACGGTGGGCCTTGGGTCCTGACGCGAACAGCTGCCACGATCAAGGCCTACGATGAAGATGGCCGCGGTGGTATCATGGAGTGGAATTTGGACGACGGCCGTTACGAGCTTGGATTCTCGAACATCAGGAGCAACGATTACAGTATTGATGCATATCTGTGCAGCTTCGACAAGGCCGGCATTTCAAATGCAAATCAAGCTCGCAACGATGCGGACTACACCAAGGAGCAAGAGACGGAGCGTCTCCGTGGTGCAAAGGTTGCTGCGATGAGTAAGAAGGACAGGGCGAAGCGGACTGCGCGCGAAGGACGCTATTGGGTTCTCGCTTGATACCTGGACTTTGCTGATGAATGGGTTGGTTGCATGGGTGCAGGGTGGACATGCTGCGCAGAGGGCATCCTATGGCTGCGAATGCTATCCTCTTCACAATGCCTGCGCTGCTAATGCTTGCTTGGAAGATAATTAGCTGAAGACGAGTTTACAGGTTGGGCACTTTCACAACACGGATGTTATTTGTTTACTTGCATTTCGTATTCACTTGACACAAGACTAGCGCGTTTTTGCTAGCGTCCATGCTTAATGTCACTCTCCATCCCACCAAAATCTTCCAACCCAACATTGTTTCTCCCTTTTGCAAAACACAAGCATTTCATCACTCTTCGAGTACAACAACACACCGCACTCATCGGCAGCTTGTTACATTGCACTACACCATCATGTCCCCGCCGTCAGGGACAGCCTTGGGAGAGGAGGACCCAGCGCGCGTGATCCATTTCATCCCGAGGATGAGATGGGAAGACAACAACAGTCGAGCGGCAGACAATGCTGACATGGAGAGCGATTCTGAAGAGGACGACGACGATGAGAATGCTGAGTACTCTCTGGCCTCAGAATCCCAAGACGACGACTCGATCATCTACCGTCTGTCTTTCTTCGATCAAAACCAACCTCCGAAACACTCTCCTCTCGCGCGCAGCCATGGCGATGAGAGGAAGTCCTCCACTCCAGTGCGTCTGTCGAGCACGCGACTGTCACCATCAATCTCTACTCCCAAAGTACCAGGCCATGGCAGCGTTACTACTCCTGGACACTTTGGATCCCCGCGCGAATTGAATTCGGTTTTCACTCCCTCAATCGACATGGAGCCGTCATTCTTCAGCAGCAGCACGAACATCTCCCATCGAATCCAAAGCGAATCAGAGCTGCGATTCCACCGATACCTCGACCTCTGCGAAGCCCAGCAGCTTCGTCGAGCTCCACCTCAGAAGCACGACTTCAACATCAACAAGGAGATATCGTCATCAGACACTACCAGCGAACCCAATCAACAGAAGAACCAAGACCCAAAAGAAGACCGCCTCCCAACAATCCCCGAATCCATCTCCCTCTCGAGTCTAGGCAGCACCATCGCCGACGACTACATGCCCTTCAGCCACCCCCTACATCTCGAACGCTGTCTTCGCAAACGTCGCCATCATCTACAAGGTGTACTTCGTCGAAGCCCAAGTCTCTCGATACGAACTCTGGAATTCTCAACACGATCTGTTTCGCCGTCGAGTATTTGGCCTTCGCCTTCGCCGGGTCGAATGCGAAATCGAGAGGCTGGGATGAGGTGGTACGTTCCTGTTCCTGCGGCTAGTGAGAGTGGAGAGGTTTGGGAGGAGGTTGTTGATGAGGTTTGGGATATGCGGGATAGGGGTGTGGAGGAGGAGGAGGGGGATGTTTTGACTTTCAGGGCTTGCGAGGAGGATCTTCGGGATGGTGTTAAGGACTTGTTGGGTGATGTCAAGGGTGGATCGAAGGGTTTGCGGCGCTGGGGTCGGTGGAAGAAGGTCTTGAAGCGTCTTTTGAGAGTGAAGAAGTAGGATTCTTCGAGAGTGGAGAGGGAGGATTGGGGGGGATTGGTGTTGAGTATTGATGATTATGATGGACGACCACGGTGATTTCATGCTAGGGAAAGGCGTTTGGGTTCTTGTTTCGGCTCTTCGAAGAGTGATGAGATTATGAGAGTGATTCGTGACACGGCACGGCGTTTGGGTTTGCTTTTGGGAGGGGCGTTCATACTGTACAGGACAAAAGCTCCTCACACTCTGTATGCTACAGGTACATGGCAATGTACAACGGCGTAAATGAACACGACGTTCCTGCTCTTTGACTCTTCTCAAATCTCTGCATTGTCGTTCAAGCGTACAAATGATGTCATTAAATCTACATGCCACATGACCATTTCCTGTCGTTTTTCAACCCCTGGTTTAAATGACAAGGTGCTGACCGCTCTGGTATCTCCACCAATGCTCCCGAGTCTCCGCCTGTCTCCAAACTCCAATTCCACCTTCTACACCTTTGGAGTTGACAGTCCAATGTCCACTCTCCACGTGCTCCCGCCAATTATCAAGCACGGCGGCTAGTTTCGGACCATGCCTCATCACAAAAGGATTGATGCCCGTCTGGTACAGATCACTATGGCTCTGATATAGAAGCCGTCCATCGGAAGTTCGAGCATACCGTCGCTTATCACTCAAGCGAATGGGCAGGACGAGCCGACAGGCATCCTCAARCGGGTTCTTGGCATTGGGAAAAGCGTCAAGATAGAGTCCGCAGGGAACAGACTCGAGCGTGGAGAAGGGGTAGCGGAACTTTGCTTCTTTCGCGGAGACAGTTCCGGGACACCGAAGAAAGAGAAAGGGTACTTTCATGCCCTTTGTTTCCTCGGGGTACTTCTCCAGAATGTCTCTAAAGGGCTGTTGGAGGAACTCTTCCACTTTCGGTAGTCGAAGGCCTGGTGCTACGAACCAGACATCTGAAGACCGGGCATGAGATAGAATCTCATACGCGAATCCACGCGGTATACGTGCGATGGTCAGGGCGGTTCGTGAGCAGAGAGGAATTTCGTCCTCGGGGTCATAATCGGCGTCACCAGGTTTCGGGTGATGTTTTGCGATTCCTGCCCGTTTCTCAATCGCTTGTACCAGGGAGGCCCAGGTATCTATACACGTATGCAAATCGTCCAGCGTATAGGGTTGCATAATCCAAGGACGAGTGGAGTACCTCGCGAACGTCTTGTTCCTCTCCAAATCGCCTCCAACACCCGCGTGTTGAGCTTTCGGGTCCTCAATCACTGCTTCGTTGTGAATTGCCAGCGCCTTCTCGCTTTCAATCATATCGATGTAAGCACTCAAAATGGTTTCSAGATTCTGCCAGGGAAGATCGGCACTTCTGAGATCAAAGACATGATGGTATGTAGGCATGAGAATCGCCTTTCCGCGTTGTTGATCAAAGACGATTCCTGCGGGTTGGGAGACCAAAGCTTCGGAGCTCTTGTAGAGGATTGGAAATCTGTGCTTCTCATGTTTCTTCCCAGAATGATCGTGTTCATCGTCAATCATCACATCCGCCATTCCCAACATGTGCTCCGGTGAGGCGAGTCCCGAGACATGATAGAAGAAGTTGTAGTTTGGAACCTCGAAGATTTTGGAAAGAAAGCGAATGACTCCAGGTCGCAAGATTGCCTTGAGAGTCTCGTTGCCATGCGTGCTCCACCACGTTCGTTTTCTGAGCTCCGAAATCTTCTTTCCAGAGCAGACCCAGCCGTAGAGAGTCAAAGTGTTATGCAGAGCTGCACATCGGTCGGCATCTAGATCGATGCCGGATGTGGGCGGATTCTTCGCAGTCACGCGCTCTTTGGCTATACCAGCAAGAAGTGTCGTGCGTAGGTCCGCCATGCAAAGGAAGGAATGATTGATAACGAATGGGATAATCTTTACAGAATGTGAAGGTGTAGTATTTAGCAAAAGACTTGGATCGGTCCGACGATCTTGGAGGATAGAATAGCACGCGGCGCACGCGGCGGTTGCTTCCCGTGTCAGAACCTTCTTTGCAAGCCGACCAGGGAAAGCAAATTTCGTCGGTGGCGTAAGGTAGGGTAGGATGGGGCTGACTGTGGGGACATTGTTGGCCTCAGGCCAACATTGCAACTTTGGCCCAGCCGCCTTGCTTCTATAGAACAGACGTCTGACATCACTTCTGAATGAATTGACCGCATCAAGACGTACCAAGAATCCAAGAGTGGGTCGAACTCACAACCTACCATCATGACAAGCGAATTGAACGTGCTATGGAAGCTGCCTGCGGAGCTAAGAGAACAAATCTACACTCATACCTTTGCCTGCCATGAACAGCACGCATACTGCATCTGGAAAGACGGCATATTACTCACGCTCGTCGACAGCAGAATCTACAAACCATCAACTCACACCTCTCACAACCTTGGCCGCTCCACCAAATGCGGCTCGTGTGCCCTGGGACTTCTGAGGACTTGTCGTTCAATCCACGAGGAAGCAATACCCGTCTTTCACCATGCTGTAGATGTGAAGCTGCATATAGATGGCCGCTATCGCTCACCATGGGAAGGTCAGGATCTTGGTGCCGTGGAAGATCTCACGTTGTTACGCAATGCGAGAGTTTGGGATGTGACTGTGCGGTTGAGCAGAGCGGAAGATTATGAGCGGTTAATCATGCAGCTGAAGATGCTGAGTACGCTTGTGGTGGCTACAAGGGTGGAATGGCGTAGTATCTCTGTTCAGATCTCTAGACATTCGGAGGCTCCGGAGATTGGATTCGGTGTACTGGAAGCTGTGCGTCTGYTGACGGGCGTTCTAGAAATCGAAGAGATCAAAGATCCTTGGAGAGAGGGCACGACCGTCTTTGATTATCAGTCCTCCGAGAGACGTTGACGCTTCGATGAGATGCAGGGACGTTTCAGTCTTGACTCATGTTTGTTGGATGAATGTGTATTATTTGGGAGCACTTGCTTTGTGCTGTTCTAATAGTCATGATTACGCTAAACGCTTCAAAAAAGATCATGCCGCTCAGATCGACTTTTATTTGAGACCAAGGATCAGCTCACTGGCTCTCTCTGCAGCAACCATGATTCCAGCTACGGGATTTGTAGTTAGCGGGGGGACAATCGACGCATCCACGACGAACAAATTGTTCATCTCCTTGACCTTGGTGTTGGCATCTACGCAGCTGCCCAACCGACAGCTGGAACTCCAGTGGTTGACGTTGCCTTCGGTGTAAGGAGTGGCACTGGTGATGTACTTTCGAATCTCTGCAATCGAAGCATCCCTTGCAATGTTCAATGGCTGTAAACCAGAGTCCTTCTTCAACCCAGCAAAGATCTGGTGAATGAATGTCGCGATGGCAAGACTATCTTCACCCTCCGCATCGGTGTAGAAGAATGAGCCGGCCTGGCCTGGAGCACCGGTGGTTTTGTCAAGAGCCACACGTGTTGTAGATCGTACACCCGAAGTACCATAGACGTTCAGTGTGATGGTGTTTTTTCCCATGAAGCCACTGAAACCGGCAGAATCAATGGTTCCTTGAACTCCCGTCCTCGTACCGTTGGCACCTTCAATCACATCCCAGAACGCGGAGGTCTCCGACGCAAAGGAGTAAGGTCCGGATCGRGACGATAGGTACAGCTGCTTGTCGGACTCAATCGGCGAGGTGTAGTTGTAGGTGTACGACGTGACGCTCGGCGCCGAGAACTCGATGAAGGTGTTGGGGTTGTCAAACAGCTTGTCGCCAACAGCGGTGTTGTTGATCCAAGACTTGGAAGGCAAAGTGAGCAGCCCGTTGGAGGCAAGGCTGGATAGGTCGGCAGGGCTTCCAATTCCACTCAGCATCAACAGCTGTGGGCTGAACATGGCACCACCACTGAGGATGATGCGTCCACCTGCAGCGATCTTAATGGTAGACTCCGTTCCAGCGATCTTAACCACAACGCCGCTCGCCTGAGCTCCGTTCCGCACTACGCGCTTGACCTGCGCTCCACTCTGTAGCTTGAAATTTGACCGCTTGAGAGCTGACTGGAGGTAGGTCTTGACAGGCCCGCYACGTTGGCCTCCTTCGTAGTTGAACTCAGGGTGACCAAATGTCCGGGTCTTGTGGTCGGGCTCGTCATTGAATGTAACACTCTTGAAGCCAGCGCCGTTGACCAACCATTCCTTGGCAGCTGTGTAGCCAGATTGAAGGTAGCGCTTGCCATCCGCAGAGGGGACGTCCGTAAAAGGTTGCTTCGCCCGTAATCTTGAGATGGCACCAGCCACATCTTTTGACTTCCACTGATCGGGAAAGTAGAGATCAAAGTCTGACGCGGGTGGTAGAAAGAAGAGGCCAGCGTTGATGGCTGTGTTTCCACCAATCGTGCAAGCGCCATATGACTTGAGTTGAGTGCTGTTGCACAAAAGAGTGTCACTAGGATTGCTCTGGACGTACGTTAGCGGTGTCATTTGTCACTCCCGGCAAGCTCGGTACCTACAAAGATGGATTTGTAGAGACCAGGGACATCGACTCGGCTTAGATTGGTGTTTTGGAGCCAGTCGGGACGGTCACGGCCTCCGGTAACGTAATATGATGGACCACCCTGTTCAAGCAACAGCGTTTTCTTTCCAGCTTCGCTCATTCGATCAGCAACGACAATTCCAGCCGGACCAGCGCCTGTAGAGATGGTTAGTATATACTGTAAGCATACCATAGGTTTGCAACATACCAACAACGATGACATCCCATTCGCTGTCTACCTTGGATGTAGCAGGCAGAGCATAGCCACTTGCCAGCACACAAGATGCAATTATTGCTTGAGAGGGCCTCATCTTTTCGTGAAAACGGAGGGCGTTGTTGAAGCTGAGGTTGGGACTGAAGGTGCAGCCAACGCAGAGAACCCTGATGTATACTTCGGGGTTGTAAAGTTCGCAAGGATGATTTGCGAAGAGACAATTTCGGCGTGGGTTTGCCGGGCGAGAACAACGAGATGACTTGGAGTTGCAATAGAGGACCCCCTCCCGTGGTATTTATCTGGAATACTTAGCTTCGGCCATTGTTATACAGCCAAGAATAGATCTGCTACGAAGCCATGTGTAGCGTGGCAGAACTTCTCGCTGACGATGATGATGACCCTTTGCCATGCGACTAACAAGTCTGGGCTCAACGAGACATTGGTGCTAGCGTGGATCAGAAAAAGCTTCGTGTCGCCGACTGACGGCTCCTGGGAGCTTGACTATTCCTGCTTCTCTTTGGCTGGGATCCCTTCTGACGGACTTCTATGAGGCCTCGAGGTGGTAGAAACACGCCATCTGCCAACCAATGGCAAGATGAAGAACACTTTGAGCGAGTATCCTGGCATCAGCTGTTCTCACACTCCCAGACAGCCAGGCGGCACATCGGCGGTGTCTCTCTGGTGAGCCCCTAGAACCGTCGAGAGCTCGAGCGTTCGGCGAGTCGCAGTACGATGTGACATCATCAGCGCCTTGCTGGTACGATTGGGCTTTCCAGAAGAGTTTACCTCCGGGATATATGCGGTGCATAACGCGCAGATACGATGCTAGCAAAGAAAGGATGACGGAACCAGGAAAGTGGATCTACTCGGCTTAACCGAGTGCAGACAGCACGAGATGAGGCTAAAATAAGCCTAAATCTATATTTACTCCTGCAGACATCACCCCATTCCTCTTCTTATCTTCCTTTCTCAAGGATATTATTCATCTCTGCAGATCGAGCATCACGGCCTCACACGAATAACAGTATCAGCTACGATTGTTTGATGGTGGTCGCTGTCCGTCACCAGCACGATGGGAAGACTTCACACGGCAAAGTTATGCTGTCGATTCAATCTCAAAGCATGGAAAAGAATGGCTGGTCATGATTGAGCTCAAATGCTAAGACAATACTGGCTGACTGCTTTTTGCGGTGCCGTCTGACCGCTATAGTGAGCGAGAAAATTCAATGATGTGTGGGAGCGGCGTTGCGCATCGCTCTCTGACAGTCAGCGAAGTCTCCCTCCTTAAGTTCCACATGTCGAAGATCATGTTTCACGTTATTGGCTGCGATGAACGCCCTTGAGCTCTACACGCTCCTCTGACACTCACCGGCCATCATCTATCGTCCGGCGAACTGGAAAGCATCTGCTTGGCGTCGCGAGATACAATTCGATCTGCAGAATCCGTCATGATCATGATCTTAAGCGGTACTCAAACGTGGAACATGGATCTCATCACGCGACCGTCTCACTCATTCACTTCATGCCGCATGCCAAGTCACGCTAGGAAATTGAAATGCTGGAATGCTCGGCAATGTTGTGCTTCAAAGCAATGTCACTTTATTTATGCTGATCACTTTCCTTCTCTTAGATCCGTTCATTGGAGGTCGTTGTCCTCGTACGCGAGCCACTATCAACGAAGTGTCTTTATAGTTCAATGATAGTAAACGCTCACCCTGCCCGTGAGCTGCAAATACTGCACCAACTACTTCGCACAATGTCTATGACGGCCACTTACAAACCCGTATATGACTGTCATCAGTATCGCCCCAGTGAATTCTATCGTGTGGAGGTGATGTTGTCCAACATGGCTGGTCCAGCCTTTACTAACCCAATTCATCCGATCTTCGCGAGAGAGTGATTCGCAAGCGAGATCAACTATGCGGTCTGCGCATGGCCACAAACCTCATCGCGGCATCGTTCCCCTTCTTTCACACGATAGAAACCCAAGATCTCGTATGCTTGAAGTCGAGCTGCACGGCAAGGTTAACTAAGAATTCAGTGACGATTTCGAGACTTTGACGCCGGAGCAAGAGGAATCTACCTTTTGTATCCTCTTGAATCTCGCCAGATTCGTACATTTCCGCCTCGCCCCTGTATCACAGCAAGGCGAGACAGTGTATGAAGTGAGCGAGGCCATTATAGGGGGTTGTATGGACGGTGTATACTTCATAGACATTTCGTTCACTCGAGGACTGTATGCAGCCGCTTTAGACATACTGATCGGAGTCGAGACTAACATAGTCATGATACACTGGACGCTCTTCAGCATTACCAGAACGCTGATTCATGAAGTATTMCACACTTGCATGAGGAAGATGGTGCCAAAAGAGCAYAATCCGCCAGCTTTGACGCCTTCGAGGTTTCCCCCCTCAGATTGATGTGCTGAAGAAGGACGCGAATAAGAGGCACGGGTGTCTGTTGGAATTGTAGATAGATTTCGTCTCGGTGACCCGTGTTCAATGGTAGATCACGTCTGGCCGCAGGGCGGCGTTGAGCACTACTGCACCATCAAATCAGACGACGACGCAGAATCGCGGAGGACGATACGATATATACTGACAATGACAGAGTGGCCTGATCTTTCGTTGGCCGAAGATTTAGTTGCTCGTAAGTATAACTTCGGGCGTYCAGGGTCACTGCCCGAAGCACATTTCAGATGGGACGTCGACTTCGCGTACATCTATCTACTCACTGTACCAGAATGAGTGGTGAGCCGAAAAAGATTTCAGGTCACCGAGGACGCTTCGTTTGCTCAAATGCATTGGATAGAGGGGTCTTCTGGAAGGGAGGATAAATGCAGTGAAGGCCATGAAGGACGAGTCGAAACATTTCTTGGTGGTGATGTGGATGAGACGAACCGGCTTGCCTCCAGGATACAGCGTATATCGTTGCGATCCGCCTCTCCTGCATGAAATCCCGCATCCTCTTGTGGTTCATGGCTTTCTCTTCCCTGCGGTCGTAGCTGCTCCTGTACCTGCGACAACGAATKTCCCTGTGCTAGTAAATGACAGACATATCATGGCTGCTGAAGCGCTGCTGATGTTGAAGGATAGGCATCTGAGGTAGAAGCATGATCCTCAAAGTGGCGTCCCGTCTGATAAGGTGAGTCCGTGAGACAGTCCTCTGGTATGTGCATTACAAAGCTTACATCTCGAACGCACACTTCCGAGAGTCGAAGTCCACGAACCAGTATTGCTCCTGTGCTCATGGCCAGCCAGTAGAGGCTCTCTTAGCCAGACCTCACAAGGCAGGCTTATACTCAGCTACCTACATGGGTACTGGGGACGAAGAGCAAGTCTCACGTCAATAGAAGAGGATCATCTGCTCAGCTGCGGCTAAATGCAAAGTGTTGCACGGAGTCGCAGCAGCTTCAAGGCAAATGACCGGTAAGCAGCCCCTCCCCGATCCTTTCGTGAGCGTATCTCACATCCGAAAGGAGGGAAGGAACATGCAGGTCAGACTGATCACAWCAAATCGAGATGTTGTGCATGTCACAAGACCACCCGGCCTCGAGCGAGCACTAATCAATCCATAGCCGCATCGCCGAGGCGTGGTAAGTCCTGGCGCTTCCATCGCTTCCACTGCTCACCACCCAGACCACCGGAGCTCGTGCATTAACGTGAGAGGCTCACAAAAGAAAAGGAAGAGACCATAGCAAAGCGTCGCCCACACACCACCACCATCGCGGGTCGAAATGTGATTGGTTCGATTGGGTTCCGGAAGGCTGCACGAGACAGCATGGAAGTTGCCTGTCACCTTTGCTGATCGCGTTCACACGGGTGTCGGAGACAGCTGCAAGCTCCCGCTTGTGAATGAGCTCTATCCAAACGTCGCATCTCCGAGTTCTGGTCGTGATGTTTGCTTCTTTAGCTCGGCTACCGTTGGAAATCTCCGGAGGAAGCTGCGCAGCCGTTTGGTGGCATGCTCGTGGCTCGCACGTGGGCAGCGTGTGTGGCTCAGACCGCGGGGGCAAAGTCGGGAAGGATCGAGAGGATCGAGGTACGTACCTAGGTGGGTATAGCAGCAGAAGCACGCATGGCGATTAGTGATGAGGGTGATAGTGCTAGAAGGGGCTAGAGCAAATGAACGGAGCATGTGTTCGAATCATGGTTTCAAGTATATCTCTAAACAAAACTGACTATTGACCATCCCAGACACCATGGCAATGTCGAGCATACATGCTCGCAAACGGGGTATATAGCTGGCAATGCAGAACGTGACTCACTCCATCTAAAACCAAATCTCATGACCACTGGCGATCAACCAGGGCCGACATGCAGAAAAATTACTCTTACAATTCGCTGTTCTTTTCCATCCATTCCCAAAACTGAAAGCCAATCAAATCCTCAAACTCCAGTATGCGTTGTGTATCCCGTAAAATGTGTAGCGAATTGGGTATCAGAAGATCAATCGCAGCGTAGTCGCCGGTAACTCCAGGCAGCAGCCAGTCTATGCGCCAGGATTGCGCAAAATCTCATCGCAGTTGGCATCAAATCGCATGCTCCACAAGCGCATGCCAGTCATCATCTTCTCCGTACGCTCCAGTTCGCGATCGCGGCCGAAGATCGAGTCGACGAACTCACACCCGCTGTTCTTCCCCATCGTGACCTTCTTCGCATTACCACTTTCCTTCTTGGCCGCCTTCCACATGTAGTTCTCGCAGATTTTGAGAAGCTTGTTGAAGCGTTGCCATAGGCGTTCTCCAGAATCGAGAAAGTCGTCCACCATATCGCGGGATGCTTGCGAACGGATACGGGGAAGGGTGTCTTCCGCACGCTTGACCTTGTGTGCAAGCTGGATGAGTAGCAGCCATAATTCACCTGCAACCTCGGCCATTGGTGTTGCGGGGCCATAAAAGAAGACGGTCCAATCGTAGATCCATTTCCCGAGTGAGTTGGCGTCAAAGACACTGCCGAGCAGCAGGATGGGTTCCTCGGTGGGATCCCAGTTCTTGTATGAGTAACCGGCTGGAATGCCAGCACGGCGCGCATCCTCTTCGGTGGCCTTGGCTGGTGGTGCTTTGTTGGCAGTGCTCGGCCGCGGCCGAGTTGGCGGATTACTCGGCTTGGTGGTAAAGGATGATCGCCGGGGGCGTGCTGGCTGGGGAGAGTCTGCAGCGGTATATATGGGGACCTGATCGCGGTATCGATGATCAGCTCGTGGTTCGTAATAGTAACCTTGTTGACGCTTGTATGGCGGCGGTCGCTGCTCGTACTGCTCGTAGCGCGGCAGCTCTTCGTGTGAACGGTCGAAGTAATAGTCATTATGGACATACTCGTACTGCGGTCTCGACGAGTAGTGCTGGCTGGAGGACTTGCGATGGGCAGCGGCCGGCTTATCGACGGGCACACGATAGTATTGATATCGAGCGCTTTCGCGTTTGCGATCGGAGCCACTTACATAGTCGGGTTTGCGCAACGGCGTCGATTGCGCGGATGTATGGTAAGTGGGCTCTGGGGTCGCGTCCGCGTAGTGGTTCGGCCGGCGCGGCGTCGCGGTCGTGTAAGTGTAGGTGTATGTTGTCGCATCCCCAGTGGCTCTTCGGGTGTGCCCTTTCGTTGGCGGCGCGTAATGTCGTGGGGAGTAGTACGCATAGCTGCCGGCAGGAGGTGGTGTTTGCGGCGGCGTACGGTAGTTGAACGCCGCATACGTTGCTCCGTGAGGCATTGGGTAGCCTGCTGTCTGGAAGGCCATCGGAGGGCGATGGAAGGCGTCCAGACGCGCCTATCGTGATGTTTTCGTCGGTTGTCGTGGCGTCTCAACTTATATCGGGCCGTGAGGTCGACAGTGTGGCAGATGGGGACGAGAGAAGGAGGAGAGTCGAGTCCTGGTCTGTGGTCCGAACATTGCCTGGGTGTATGTGATTTGCGGAGTTGCAAATCAAGACGGAATCGCGAGACCCCGTGATGTACTATTGCGAGCGGTTGGAGTCGTCTTAGTAATGCCTGCGGCCCTAACGGTATGGTATGGAAGGGTGAGGAAGAAGGCGAAGAGGCTGGGCTGGGTGATCGGGTACGGATATACACCCCGAAGCGTGGGATTCGGGAACTTAGCGTTGGCTTTCCCGCTTACAGGGGGCGCCGGGGAGGCAGGAACGTTTGGGTTGACCGTCCGGGAAACTGGCCAGTCGAATTGCCAATAATCCAGATTTTCGAGGGGCCCGGTGCAAACAGATGAGTCGCTGGTGAGAGATGTGAGTTAAGGGGTACGACGAGCAAGGCTGACCTCTGACTCTAGGTTAGAAATCGACCACCGTGGCGGCCCAACCCTCTCRACAACGAGCGGGGTTCTCCCTGCATGCCTGTCCTTGTTACCTGTAGGCCTGCATGCGGCTCGGCACTGGCCAGAGTGCAGAAAAGCCTCCCACGCACAACAACGCACGCGGGACTGCTTGCAACGAGTACAGTACATGCTACCTACATACAGGCACACACTCACCTTCACATCCCGTATTCCCAGCTCCTGCCACCCGGCAGTGCGCAACAGGGCGGACGCGCCCGGCGGTAGCGCTCATCTCCGCGTCGACGACGATGGCGACGACGACGATTCTCGCTGCTGAGCCACCCATCAGCTGAGTGGCGAACTTCCGCCGTCACACCTGGCTCGTTATTTTCGTCCGTGCCATCACCAAGCAGACCTCGTTTTCTTGACGAGTCACGCTATGTTCTGCTGCCAGCGAGGACCAACGACGTCGGAGCTGCACTGAGCCGTGTGCTGCCACAGGCGTTCGCCGTGGATGGATGCCAACACATCTGCAAGCGCAACCAATTGGAGCAGTGCCTTGCATCTCGCCTTAGGCAGCCAAATGCCATCCGAGCCATCTTCCCGCCGCGTGCTTGCGCCTTGCAAGGATAACGCTCCCCGACGCAACGGCTCGTGGCCCAGAGAATATTGTCGACGGAGCGTTTGTGCCATCGTCTTCCTAGGGGCCGTTTGGAGATCCGAGTGCACGGCATCCCGTGAACAGTTAATCTCGAGAAAATGACTCTTGCCGGTCGGTTTCAGGCCGTCAATTCATGGATCAGACGCCGAAGCGATTGCGACGAGGCCACTTCCCTGGAACTGAAATTTTTTCTGCTCACCGTTGAGCGCTCGCCCAGCTGATTGGAGACTGCGCAGCTTGTAGTGACGAGTTTGCTCGATTGCATGTCTGCCACCGGTAGTGCGAGAGGAATGGTGCGCCACACTTCGATCATTGGCTCGCGTCGATCTGCATGCAACGCACTAAAATCATTTTCCACAGTGCAGCGGTTGATTCGTTGACGTGCGCTCCTTTTCTGCACGTCTACCCGACCGCGTTCGCCAAGGATACCACTCTTCAGCTACCAACAAGAGGCGGTGTCCCGTGCCTTGATTCTGTGGGTTCCAGCAGCTGGAAAGCTCGAGAAAACTCTTCAAGCTCCATTTTCCATYTTCGATCGGTGTAGAACTGTTCATGATTCTGGCCCATCACAGCACCATCGTTGACTACTGGAGTGGAGATCATCTGGTTTCAGACTGGTGTCACAGTCTCGAGACGGTCATGCGCGTATGGCTGTCAACCAGCTGCACCCATGTCTCAACCCGGACTCGGTGTGTAGGACCAGGCTCAGCCTCCAATATCAAGCATTGAAGCCATTCATTGTGAGGATTCTTATGACGGCGTCGCTTCATAAACATGGTACGAGTAGAACTGCGGATGCTCGAATGAGATTGCGGCGTTGTACTCCGGTCTTACCGCCTGGCTATCTTTTGGTCAATCTCTACCATTTCTCGCTGTTTGCCTTCCTTGAATGCAAGCACGCGCGTTGGTGCAGGGTTTGACACACCGACGGAAGTGTGCCTCGAAATGAAAAACCGCTTCGCTCTCGTAACTTGAGCTGATGTTCATCCAAGCCGCCATTGCCGCTACGCGCTGTGTTCGTTCGGGCACATGGACAATTCGGCTCGACAAACCTTGTTTAACACGGGAGGTTGCATTATCTATGCAATGGACAAGGGGTCGTTACCACTGCTAAGTTCGCGACATCTCCGGTTGATGACAAGCCAGGAACACAAAACGAGACAGCCAAGCTGGTTGTGGGTGTGCAAGTCAGTCTGCAATTGGACTGACGAATCGCTCCCTAGGTCGCACAGACTCAGGCACAGCGGACTAAAAGGCGGGATTGGCCAGTGACTGSAGCAGCGGTGTATCCCTTGCCATACGCTCCTACATCTTATGATAGACACCATCCGGTTCACTGTTTGTTCCGAACTCTGAGAGGTGAATTGCCCCGACACAGCAGCGCGGTTCTGACTCGACACTCGAGGCGATTTGTGCCACACGAAGCACGGCAACTGGGAACATGAGGTCACATCATGCGACCCCGACCATCCACAGCATAACAGCTCGCGGGTCGCCGCGTTAACCGCGAGCCCGCGACTGAACGTAAGTCCATCTGACAAAGCGCACAGTAGCAGCCTTCTGTGCCACGTAACCAACGCATTGGCAGTGCAAGACTCGGTCAGGTTGTGCACCTCGGCCATGATCATTGGGAGCGTTCGCCTTTGATCTTTGTGGTATGGCGGGATCAGCATTCACCACTTATGGGGGCGGCAAAACACCCTGGACTCACATCCTCGCTTTGCTTACGCGTATTCCAAAGGTAGATGCAGAGGTCGTGGTTTCTTCCTGTCTTTGTTTTGATGTATTTCAACCTCCTGCTTTATCGCACCGGTCCCCGAGCTGAAACCGGCCGTTATCAACAAAGAAATTATGATAGAAGTGCGACTCGGTAAGTCAAGGCATGTACGTGCAGTCTCACCGTGATCTACAACATTCACAAAGAACGCCAAGAGAGAGAAGACTCGCTCGACCACCGGACACTGCCAAGCAGAGCCGACCTTGCAACTTGACATTCACGGAAGACTGTCCAGGTACGATGTTGGAATCAATCTCACACGATGACGATGCTACGGGAGGCACACTCGCAGGTCGCCGACAGCCCTTGAAGCAACCGCCGCTGTTGGCCCACGCGGAGAGTCCCACCCATCGTCAGAGATCTGTAGACCGAGGTGYAACACGATCTGGGAGGCTACGCGTCGTGAACAAAACTCGCCTGAGTTCAGGATCCGAGGGCTCGGTTCTGGCAGACTTTCAGTCTTCCAGCACCATTCCTCAGGATTGGGACGCCGCTGAATTTGCAGCAGATCAGCAAGAAAAGGCTCGTTGGAGAGACTCCGTAGACAGCGGGCACACGAGGAACAGCACCGCGCCACTATCTTTCCATGACCGGACCGTCGATATTTTGATCAAGATTCGCTTGCTGCCTGTTATGAAAGCGCTGCACGAGCCAGAGAACAAAGGTGCACTCGTAGAGGCTTCAAAGCGAGCCCAAGACGTACTGGAATTTGCCGTACTTGAAAATGCCAGTATTGCACTTCAAGGAAGGTGCTGCTACTACATAGGCGTTGCAAAGCACCTCCTGAACGACACCGAGGCTWCGAAATACTTTCTCAGCGCTTTGGATGCAAAAGGTGTGTACGGGGAAGGAAGATGGGCGCAGCAATGGACCAATCATTACGAAAACCTCAGCGAGCTGAGTCCCAATCGAATTGCACATTCAGACCGGCCCATCTCTTGGGCGAGTAACATCGGCTACTGGAGGGATGTCGGTAACAAAACAAGTCCAGAATCTGGCATTTCGTCAAGATACAAGATGGGATCTCCAAGACAAGGCATGCAGCAGATCAGAAATGATATATCGCGGCAATCACCAGGCGGAGGCATACAGGCCACCACTCCAGTTAGCAAGCGCTTCTCCCTGGATATACGAGACGAACCTTTGGATAGTGGCACTTTCGGCAGCAGAACTGCTGGTAGCAGGGAAGGACGCTCCAGTGTAGGTGGCGGGGGGTCTGTTCCCTCCTTCAGTAGCTGGGGAAGCGAATCGCCGTCTGGGACAGCCGTTCCCTCACATCAAGGACGAGACGAGATAGTCCTGGATACTGATGGCTTGCATTCGCCCAGATGTACTCATGTCTCGCCAATACAAGAGACTGTCAAGGGGTTTAACAGCACCCCTGATGCCAATCTCGGCTCTCCTCAGTCCCCGCGTCATCACATGCGGAGCAAATCAACCACGTTCAGTATTCCAGCACCGGCTCTAGATGTCGGTGAGCAGGAAACATCGAGAAGTAGAAGACGACAATCATCGAGGTTTCATGTTGACCCTCCCAGTGTTCTCAAGGAGATCCAGGAGTTGTCCATCGATTCTGTCAACAGCAGCGAAGATCCGGTGAAAACGGGTCCTTCAGCTCCTTACGCAGAGTCGGCGTCAGATCATGATTCTTGATAGAAGTCCGAGAATTTGAGAAAACAGACGTCACGAAGAACACGGGTAACAAAGAAATGAAAGCGACTATACATGACTATATAGATACATCTATCTGTACATACATTTATTCCCAAAGGGAGACTATTGGAGGAGATTCACTTTTTCGACTAATTGTTCAAATTGAGCAAAACACGGTTACATTTTCCGCCCTTCTCCCTTCCTGCACCCTGGCGCCTCACTTTGTGGATTGGCTGACTACAAAACTCCAACGCTATGCTTTTGATACACCTTGGTGTGTGTATGGCCATTGACTGTTCCGTCATTCGACTAGTTGCCCATGACCAGCGCCAGCAGAGCCATGCGTACGAACATGCCGTACTTCATCTGCGGAGTATGTTAGTAAGTTCAAGTTGAATGCTATCATGTTGAAGACATACCTGTCTGAAGTACGCTGCTCTCGGGTCATCGTCGACCTCCTTGAGCAACTCCATGTTTCTCGGCAGCGGGTGCATGACGATCATGTTCTTCTTTGCGTCCCTGAGCGTCTTCGAGCTGACAATGAGATCGTCCTTGAGGGCCTCATAGACCTCCAAGTCCTCGAAGCGCTCCTTTTGCACACGCGTACAGTAGAGGACGTCAGTATTGGCAATGATCTCGGGTGTCAACTTCTCGGACTCTAGACCCAGCTGACCGCGGGCTTGGAGAGCGGCCTTGACCTTGCCAGGCAGAGCGAGTGCTGCTGGGCCGGCAAGCTGAATGTTGACGTTGTAGTGACGGAGGAGCTCACAGAGAGAGTGGACAGTGCGGCCATACTTGAGGTCACCAGTGAAGGTGATGGTCAGTCCGTTGACAGTTCCAAGCTCCTCGCGAATCGTGAACAAGTCGAGGAATGCTTGAGTGGGGTGCTCGCGCGAGCCGTTGCCCGCATTGATGACCGGGTGATCAGCGTACTCTGCGGCGAGCTCTGCGCTGTCATTGTCGGGGTGGCGGAGAACAATGCCATCAACGTACTGATCGAGTGTGCGGATAGTGTCCTCGAGAGACTCGCCCTTCTTTGTGCTTGAGTGCGCCTCGTTAACGACGACGGTTTGGCCTCCCAAGCGCTTCATGGCTGCGTCAAACGAGCATGAGGTGCGAGTAGATGGCTCGAAGAAGAGGAGAGCTAGAACACGGCCCTTGAGGATATCAAGGCTTCCATCACGCTCAACACCAAGGCGCATCTCGGCGGCAACGGTGAAGAGCAAGTGCAACTCATCTCTGGAGAACTGCTTGACAGACACGATATCCTTGCCCTTGAATGGCGATCTCTTGAGGAGCTCGGGGAGTGGCTCCGACACTGGTGGCATGATCTGGGCGAGTGGAGGAGCGGGTATTGACTTTGCGATCTTCTCCTCAACAAAAGTCTGACAATCGACGTCGGTGATGTTGAAATCGTAGTTCCGCGAGATACCCTCAATGAGGATCTTGGCAATCTTGACGTTGGTAACGAGAGGCGTCTGGAAGTCGACCGCCATGCGACGAGTGCGGTAACCCTTGCTCATGTACGTGGCTGGTCGCCTGAACTTGTTGCTTGAAGGCAAGTTGATGTACAGATCGATGAGGTTGTTTGCCAGTGCGTGCGTCAAGGAGTACTCCTCTCTCTGATCCTCGCTTCCGAGGGCTTCGAGGAACTGTACTTGAATGTTGTGCTCCTCCAAGAAGTCAGCGGTACCTGCAGTTGCAAAAAGCTTGAATCCTAGCTGGTAGAGCTTCTCCACGGAAGGAAGCATTTCAGCCTTGTCCTTGTAAGAGCCAATAGACAGGAGGATGTTCTTCTTGGGCATCTTGAATCCGGTTGAAATCAAGCCCTTCATGTAGGCCTCGTATTTGGTTCGACCGAAGGATGCAACCTCGCCGGTTGAAGCCATCTCCACGCCCATGACCGGGTCAGCGCCAGCAAGTCGCGAGAACGAGAATTGAGGAACTTTGACACCGACAAAGTCTGGTCGCACGGCTACTGGAGGGTATGCGGTGACTGGTAGACCAGCCATGGCCTTGGTAGCCATTGCGATAAGGTCCACGCCCATGACCTTGGACACGAATGGGAACGAACGAGATGCTCGCACGTTACACTCAATGACCTTGATCTCATTGTCCTTTGCAATGAACTGGATGTTGTACGGCCCGGTGACATTGAGTGCATCGCCGATTTTGCGTGTGGCGTCCTCGATCCTACGAACAGTCTCTGGGTCCAGATCCTGTGGGGGCAAGATGAGTGTGGCGTCTCCGGAGTGCACACCGGCGTTTTCGACATGCTCGGAGACGAAGTGTCCAATCATGGTACCATTGCGTGCGACAGCGTCCATTTCGATCTCCTTGGCGTTTTCAATGTATTTCGTAATGACGACTGGGTAGTCTTTCGATACCTCAGCAGCCTGGTTGAGATATGCCTTGAGGTCGTGCTCCGAGTACACAGTGTTCATCGCAGCTCCGGAGAGCACGTACGATGGTCGAACAAGCACAGGGTACTTCACTTTGTTGCAGAAGATCTTGGCCTCTTCGATGCTCGTGAGTTCCTTCCACTGCGGTTGATCCACGCCAAGTCTGTCCAACATGCGGGAGAACTTGTAACGGTTCTCGGCAGTGTCAATCATCTCTGGCGATGTACCAAGGATCTTAACGTTGGCTCTGTACAGAGGAAGGGAGATGTTGTTGGGAGTCTGGCCGCCCATGGATAAGATAACACCGCTGGACTGCTCCAGCTGGTAGATGTCAAGAACAGTCTCCAGAGTGATGTTCTCAAAGTACAGGCGATCAGCCTCATCGTAATCGGTGCTTACCGTTTCCGGGTTATCTCGAATGCAGTCAGTATGTTGAATCAGCGGAGGGGAAAGCTATCTATACTCACAGTTGACCATAACAGTCTTGTATCCATTTTCACGAAGCGTGCGCACGGCACGGACAGAGCACCAATCAAATTCGACCGACGATCCAATGCGGTAGACACCGGAGCCCAGGACCATGACGCCCTTGTCCTCAAAGGTGATGTCGTGCTCGCTGCCGTTGTAGGTGAGGTAAAGGTAGTTGGTGTGAGCTGGGAACTCGGCAGCGACAGTGTCGATCTGCTTCACGAAGGGGGTAATGCCAGCCTCAACGCGAGTGCGACGCACATGTTGCTCGTTGCTGTCCCAGAACAATGCCAGTTGCTTGTCGGAGAATCCCATCTCTTTGGCATTACGGAAATGCGCCATGGAGACGTTGTCAACATAGTATCCAGACATGAGCTTGCCGAAGTCGCTGAGGCTCTTGAGCTTCCTCAAGAACCACTTGTCAATCTTTGTCATCTCCCAGATCTTGTCAACACTGTACCCAGCGTGCATGGCGTTGGCGAGAGCAAACATGCGCTGATCAGATGGCGTCTGGAGTTCGGTGTCGATATCAATGGACATGAGAGCGGGGGTCTCGTTGAAGCCAAGGTTGCTGGGGTCAACGGAGCGAATAGCCTTCTGGATGGCTTCTTCGAATGTCCTGCCGATGCTCATCACTTCACCCACACTCTTCATAGCGGATCCAAGGAGGGTGGAAACTCTAGTGAACTTTTTCAAATCCCATCGAGGAATCTTGACGACGACATAGTCCAGTGACGGTTCAAAGCATGCGCAGGTGACCTTTGTGACGGTATTCTTGATGTCGTTCAGCGCGATATTCAGACCAAGCTTGGCCGCGACAAAGGCAAGTGGGTAGCCAGTTGCCTTAGAAGCTAGTGCCGAAGATCGTGAGAGACGAGCGTTGACCTCKATGATGCAGTATTCCCGGCTGTCTGGATTGAGCGCATACTGAATGTTGCACTCGCCGACAACCCCCAAGTGCCGGATAACGCGCACGGCGGTGGTTCGCAGCATGTTATAGTCTTCGTCGGAGAGCGTTTGAGAAGGTGCAATGACAATGGAGTCGCCGGTGTGGATGCCCAGAGGATCGAAGTTTTCCATGTTGCACACAGTGATGCAGTTGTCGTGCGCGTCGCGGACCACCTCATATTCGACTTCCTTCCATCCCTTCATACTGCGTTCGATGAGAATCTGAGGGCTAGCCGCGAACGCCTTGTGACAGAGATCGACGAATTCCTCCTTGWTCTCGGCGAAGCCACTTCCGAGTCCTCCCAATGCGTAGGCAGCACGGATGATAACAGGGTACCCAATCTGGTCGACAGCAGCCATTGCCTCATCGAAGTTGTTGGCCGATTTGGACTTGGCGCATGGAGCGCCAATAGACTCCATGCTGCGGGCAAAGAGTTCACGGTCCTCGGTCGTGATGATGGTATCGATGGGAGTGCCGAGAACCTTGACGCCAAGTTCCTCGAACTCATCTTTGAGCTGGATACCAACCTGCAGGGCAGTCTGACCACCAAATGTAACATAGATGGCATCGGGGCGCTCGTGTTTGATGACCTTCCGAACGAACTCGGCGTTGACCGGCAGAAAGTAGACCTTGTCTGCTAATCCCTTGGACGTCTGAATGGTGGCAATGTTGGGGTTGATCAGAATAGYGTAGATGCCTTCTTCCTTGAGAGCCTTGATGGCCTGACTGCCGGAGTAATCGAACTCTCCTGCCTGGCCAATACTGAGACCACCACTTCCAAGTACCAAAACCTTCTTCGGGTTGATTCTGGGGTTCTTCGCAGCGTTCTCAGCAGCATCGCCGCCGGGGAAGACCACGGGGCTCTGCATCAGGGTTGCGTCCTTGAGGGTGTTGAGAATGGTGCTGATAAAGACATCGAACAAGAATTCGGTGTCTCGTGGACCAGGAGCGCTCTCAGGGTGGAATTGCACGCTGAAGTATGGACGGCTGGTGTGGCGGATACCTTCATTGCTGTGGTCGTTGGCGTTGACGAAGAGCTCGCTCCAGTCTTTAGGAAGCGTATCAGCATTGACGGCGTATCCATGGTTCTGCGACGTGATGTAACACTTTCCAGACAGCATGCTCGTGCAGGGAATGTTGTGTCCACGGTTGCCAAACTTCATCTTCACGGTGTCGGCGCCGGCTGCACGGGCGAGAAGCTGGTGTCCGAGACAGATTCCAAAGATGGGCACGCGGGCCTCGTCCATGGTCTGTTTGATATGCTTGACCGTCTCCTGCATGACAGCTGGATCTCCGGGTCCGTTGGAGATAAACAGGCCATCGTAGTCTTTTCCTGCCAACTCGGGGAAATTGTAGTCCCATGGCACAACCTCCACCTCCACTCCTCGCGAGACAAGGCAACGCAATTGACTGAACTTGAGGCCTACATCGACGCACAAAACACGCACGGGTCTACCTGATGGGTGACTCAACGCAACGGACGCAGGTGGGGTGTAAATCTTCGTTTTGGGGGTTGAAACTGAGAGATCATCAGATTCTGTCTAATGCTGGAGCTATATGCTAGTGGTAGAACAGGCTTACCGTCGACAACCAGGTTCTTGGTGTTTGGGTCGGAGAATGGAATGTCCTCGTAGACTGCCACCTCCTTCGTCGCACCGCGAAAGTACCCGTTGCCATTGGGGACCAATGCGTTGTTGACCGCGGCAAGGTTTGGCGCGGCCGGGGTCAATGCCGGAGTCGAAGCACCATTGGGGGTAGCAATACCGCTGGCGGCTACCATAGGATTGGCGATGTGCCTCGTGCCGGTCTGCATCCGCAGTCTGCCAAGCATGCTACCCTGCTCACGGATCTTCTTCGTGAGCGCGCGCGTGTCGACTCCGCAGATGGCGGGCACATTCTGCTCCTTCAGCCAGGTACCCAATGAAGAGCTGGCCAAGTGGTGCGAGTAGTCCTCGCCGCAGTACGAGGCCACAATGAGACCCGCAATGTGGATCTCAGAGGCCTCGAAGTGAGCGGGGAGATCTTTCAGCAGTGGGTCGCGATCCTCGCGACTGGGGACACCATAGTTACCCACGAGCGGGAAGGTGATGACTAGGATCTGGCCGCGGTAGGAGGGATCAGTGATGGACTCGGGGTAGCCGACCATGCCAGTCTGAAAGACCAGCTCGCCGGCAACGCTGCGGTGGGCACCAAAGCTGCGGCCCTCACAGAAGCGAATGCTCGAGTCGCCATGCTGCACCTCGAGAGCCATCGAGCTCTCCTTCGCGTGGTCGGCCATGTCCTGCAACGTCCTTTCGCCCCGTAGGTTGAGGTGTTTGAAGATGGTTGCAGGAAGAGGAGGAGGAGAAGATCGAGCACAGCGAGCTAGAAGCTCGTGAAAGTTTGAAAAACTTACCAAAAACTCAATTTCTGCTACATCATCGGCAGGGGTCCCGATGTTAACCCCGCGACTTCACCTGACCCACAGGAAGCATCGCAACAAGCGATTACACGGAGTCCACTAAATAAGATTTGCATTGCAGCGTGACTTTGCATGAATGATTATCATTCAAGACTGAGGCTGGGCTTCTGCCAAGTCTTGCGAGGATTGGTTCGCTGCCAACGTGGGAGCGTCAGGATGCTCGGGAAGACTGTGAGCTTGAAAAATCTCCGGTGCAAAGAGACGATGTACAGTGCGCAGATATTGCTGTTGTAGGGGATCACAACGACTCAACGCCACGTTCAAGTAGTTGTAATTCGATTCCCTCGACGCCCCTTCAATCGCTACGCTTCACAACCTTTGGCAGCACAGCCCAGCATCCGAGCATCAAGCCGAAGAAACCGATGCAAATTGGATGCATCACGAACGTTCCCTGGCTCTCCGCGACAAGACCTGTGAGAAAAGGTACTACGGCGCCGCCACTGCTTCCAGCCGAGGCAATGAACCCGATAGCGATCACTTGGAGGTTTCCTGGAATCAGCTTCGTGAAAACGGTCGTGGCACAAGGGTAGACAGGCCCAAGAAGCAGACCCAGAATTGCAACCGATACAGCATTCCCGATGATATTAGGTATTAGCCAAGCCATAATCTGGAACGCTATTACTCCGAGTGTCATCACGACAACGAAGCGTTTCTCTCCAAGTTTGTGAGCAATGTGCGTCAGTGTGAACCTGCCAATCGTGATTCCCGCCCAAAATCCGGAAGAAGTATATCCAACCTTTGCTGGATCACCTTTGCGATAGTCAATCAGGTAGCTGACGAACCAACCCGATTCGGAGACTTCGCCTCCTTGGTAAGCGAAGATGAACAGAGCTCCAATGAGCGTTGTCTTGTTCTTGAGCGCTCGTTTGAGCAATCCTAGCTTACTTGTCTCGTCAAGTACAGACGCGGCCTGTGAGCTGGAGGCATGCTGAAGGCTATTGGCGAATTGTGAGGTTCCTTCCTTTTCATAGTTCCAGAACGCYCAGCCCACGAAGAAGAAGCAAAAGATCCGTACTCCCATCGCGATCAGATAGAATCGTGCCCAGAGGATGTCGTTGGAGACCATGGAAGTGGCAATTATTGGAGCGACGATGCCACCAATCCCATACGATCCGTGGGTCAACCCAAGAATGACAGTCGAGCCGCTCAGATTTGCGCAAAACACGTTGTTCAGGGCTAGATTCAAGGAGTTTCCAAATCCCATGATGAAGTACGCTACCACAACGACCGGGAATGGCGGTGCACATGTGATGATGATATATGCAGCTGCCATCATGGCTTCAGATAGCATCAAGGTTTTCGCCCGTCCCAGCCGCGCAGTTATGATGTTGGTGCAGAAAGCGGATGATATGAATCCGATTGCATTTCCCACCCTTTTACAGTCAGTCTAAATTTCAGTGCTGCGCATAACATCTCACATACCAGATCAAAGATACGATCGCGTAGCCAATATTGTAAAAGTCCTCAATATAAGGTATAAGAGCTCCGGGTGCTGAGTCGCTCATGCCATTGCCAAAGTAGATAAGACACGCAGCCAGGACTCTCCAACGGTTCATAGCGGGATAGAAGAAAGAAGGAGATATTCCTGTTGCTGCCATCTGTCTCGGCGTAAATGGCTGGCTCGACTCGAGCTCGTCGGGAGTCTTTGGCGTGTGTTGTTGAATGGAGTGCACTGGTGAATGAACTTCTTCTGGCGTTCGAAGACCGCTTGGAACATTGATTGCTGCGTCTGGATTTTTGCTCCTGCTCAAATGCCCGTAGTCTGCCAACTCTATGGCGTCCAATTCTTCGACTGATGGTCCCTGGAAGGTAGGTTTCGACATGGCATTTCTGTGGTGTCTGTTGAGACGGCAGAGAGAAGGAAAGAGCGAGAGTAGAACGGGAAGAATGAGTACATATTGGTAATCGAGGAGATGTCACACTGCATGTAACTGTGGTAATAAGAGCGTCAGAACAYCCCCTACCTACTACAGCCAGAGCTGCACACTGCAAAAGCGCGGCAATGCCTTTTTGGGTCGGGAGAGGAGCGGGGACCTTTGTTTGGCCTGCCGCTTCACGGTCGGGAACCATTCCACGAACATGCCGCTTCGTGACGCGTCGGATGTAGCTTCGTGATTTGTAATGCCCAAGAACTGGACAATGCACCTGGACTGTATGCACATCTCCTGTTTGGAAGGAGATGAATCGAGAGATGGAATGAAACATGCCCTGGCAGTTTGGAAGGGTGGGGAGTCAGGACTCAAACAAGCTCCGACTTGCCGCAAGCTCCCGCGAAGATCGTCATTGCTGCCCGCTGACCGCAGGCGCAGCAGCAGCACGAAGTTTRGCTCGAGCACCTTGAGCAACATCCTCTTTGCATACTCGATACTCGATACCCACCAACAACACATTTCTCAACGACGTCATGTTGGGGTGGATGAAGCAGACGTGATTCCTCCTCTATCCTCTGTTTGTTCCCCCAGAACTAACAGCATCTCCGCAGCGTGGGACTCACGGACCACAACTATGGACCCGAGGGCCTGCAGTCGGTTGCGTTGCAAGCCGAGCAGACGCCTTACACCGAGCTCACCAAAGATGACCTGAAGTGGGAGATCATGAGCGGTACCAACGTCGAGACCAAGACCTTCTACGTCGTCGCCGACAGCGGGCACATCGGCCTGGCCCAGATCATTTACAGTGATGTCTTGTGAGCAGCGTCGAGACGAATACGTGTTTGGCGGCTGTGTGCTGATGTTGGGTTCAGGGGCGTACGTACGACCGCGCAATTCAGCAGCAAGATCTTCTATCCCAAGGAGGCCGGAAAGCCGCATCTGTGGACATCGGACAATCTCAGCAACTACAAGTTCTCCAACGACAAGTTCAACTTCAAGGCAGATGGTTGCTCGATGGAGTTGAGCGAGGATGGCAAGACGTACACGATCAAATCGTCGACGAACAAGCAAGCGCTGGTGGATCTCAAGTTCACAATGGCCGCACCTGGCTTCGCGGCTGGCAAGAACGGTACGAGCACATTTGGAACGGATCCGGCAAAGCCATGGGGACACATGAAGCACCTCTTCTGGCCGAGATGTCAGGTCGAGGGCACGATTATGACCAAGGAGGGGCCAGTCGACTTCAAGGGTAGAGGCATGGCTGTGCATGCGATCCAAGGCATGAAGCCGCACTTTGCTGGTAAGACAATCTTGCTCGACTCTCAGTAGAGACAGTACTGACGATCTACAGCTGCAAAGTGGAACTTTGTCGACTTCCAGTCGCCGACATACTCCGCAGCCATGATGGAGTACACCACACCTCCTTCCTACGGCCAGTCTGTCGTGAACGTGGGTGGCATCGCAATTGATGGCGAGATCCTTTTCGCAGGAGCTTCTCCCAATACCAAGGCCGAACACACCCAAGTCAAAGGCGACTCGGACAATGACTGGCCGGAGCCAGGTGCCGTGGCCTTTACCTGGAGTGGAAAGACGAAAGACGGCAAGGACGCTCATGCCGAGCTAAAGGGCGTACTCGACCCGCGGACCGACCGTGTGGACGTCATGGGCGAGCTGCCCAAGTTCGTCAAGCAAATCGTTGCTGGAGCCGCAGGCACGAAGCCATACATCTACCAGTGGGATCAGAAGATGACGCTCAAGGTCACGATTGATGGCGAGACCAAGGAGGAAGAAGGTCGCCTTCTTATGGAGGCAACTTTCATCTCGTAAATGTGATGCTAGCTTTCGGTACGACCGTTTCCGCTTGTTGCAAGTTCCCCGGCATGTTTTGGCGTTGAGATTGGGTTGGGCGATGAGCACACGGCATGGGTGGACATCACACTGCGTTTGACTTCAATGTGTAACGACATGAGCATAGATCGATACCAATAGTCTCTTCACAGCGAGCAAATTACAGTAACACGTGCCATCTTCAGCACGCACGTTGTAGTCGTAGCGCAGCAGCTGCTGCATGACCGATCTTCACTCTGCTCGCATGACCAATCCTCACTCCCGATCCGTCTCGACTATATATCCCTCGTCCCAAGCTCAACTCGAAGCAACAACAACATCTTCTCACAGGTTTACCTCATATCAGACTCCAATCCAGGTATGAGATGCCTTCAACCTTCAWGCACTCCTGGCCGCTCTACGTGATCGTTCGACAGCCATTGCTCTGAAAATCCATTTTGGGGCATGTCTGAAGACGCACTCATTGTCATCATGCTAGACCTATTGGCGGCAGCGCTGGGAGCRCCAACATCCTCAATGACCTTCGGCCTTTCATCTGCACAGCCCGGGCGACTGATCTCTGGGTCTTGGCATTGGTCCGAGTCGGCACATGCCGGCCGTCACCTCTACCATTTCTCTGAATGCGAACGCGCAATCCCCGCCGCATTGGTGAGATTTATTGGAGATTCCTCAAGGCTTCTACCCCGCTTTCCTAAGGTCTGCATCGAGAATAACGTTTGTTTCAGGTTCGCGGCATAGCTTCGCGCCAAGCAAAATTTAGTCAAGTGAATGAACGACGCTTCGCACCTCACTACATCTCCCGCAAGACGATAACATCGCGCAGCACCCAATCTCTCGAGAAATACCTGGTATGTCGCTATTAAAATGGGTGGTGGTCGAATCGGATACTGTCTAACATACATTTTCAGTTCTTGAGAATCCGTTGAAGCAGTCTGGCAGAATTGAGACATACCAATTCCAGCATTTGGATATACAAGATATTCTTTGCGGCAGACATGCCGGCTACGGGCCGCGAGCTTTACCGCAATGTTGGATGCCTAAAATGTCGTCTTCTATAGCGAGCAATAAGCTTGCCGCTGTCYTCGAACAACTACACATCAAGTCTTAACATACCGCAAGTCCATATCAACACCACTTGCAACTCAACCTATTAGCGGCGGTACCTCTTGCAACTCGCCTCTTCGAAACGCTATATTATAATTAGCCGCCTACCCGTAAGTGCTATAATCCTAACAACCTCACTCTTGCATCCACAAATTGGAACCTTTTTGCTCCTCAAATCTGGTCCACAAAGCTAACAGCAACTCAAATGTAGATCATGGCCTCTTCACGTCGCTCCGGACGCAACCCATTCGGCGCCGCCGCCGCCGACACCCTCAAGAAGTCCTCGCCGAAGAACCCTGCTCCAGCTCAAAARGCCGCTACCCACAAATCCAAGAACAAGTTCGTGGATATTTCTTCAACATCATTCCTATAGTCTCGCTAACTGCTTCGCTCCAGAAACTTGACTAGGGGCAACCTCCAAAGCACTACCAAGGCAGAGCTGATGCGCCTACTTCGTCGCGGCGGCGTGAAGCAGACAAAGGTGGAAGTCTACTCGGAGATCCGCGTGGCGATCAAGCAGCGGTTAGAGATGATGGTTGCGGCCGCGGGCAACCTCGCCAGTAAGCAACTCGGCTCTGAGCATATTGGAGATCGATTGCTAACCTTTACAGTCTATCGCGGCGGCAAGGTTGTGACACTCGAGGACGTGAAATACGTCCTTGAGTCACTACCGAAGACCGATTAGGTTGACGTTGGTCTTCCCCAACATCATTCAGTCCGCTTCGATGCTAACTTGAAATAGAGGTTCTAGCTCCATCACTTGGGATTGCGTCCTGGACTTGGACGAGGTATGTGCCTCATCGTCACATCCACCTGGCAAAAGGAGGCAAGCTCACATCACCCTTCTTGAAAGGAGGTAATGGAACAAGGGGATAATTGGATTGTTTCCCAGATTCCATGCAAACGTCCAGCAAAGAGGTCGTTTAGGAGTTTATCAGCTAGTCCCTAGGGCTATCACTTGTGTATCAGCGTCAAGCTTGTTTCCACATTTCATTTCCCATCACAGTTAACGTCAGCCAAATGTGGCCAAAGAGCTTCAACACAATGCTGTTGAGCGTAGCTTCATAGACCATCGAGGGCTGTGCGAGGACAACATCACTTTCAAGCATCGTCAATATCTCCTCCCCTTCTCGTCCATCGAAGAAGACATCCGCTGATGGTGACACCTTTAGCACGTGTGTTCATCCGCCCCAGGTGCCTGTCCGCACACCTGATCACCAGAATCTCTCGTACTTACTTACCCTCTCTCTCTCCTCTCAGCCTTCCTCGACAGGACCTTCCGCTGACAATTTACTTTACAGACCACGACAGARGCAGCTCTAGCACGCGCTGGGCCACAGTGCCTGGTGGGAAAGTGGTGTTGGGTTTGAGGAGACCCCTTTGAGATTGAAACGGACATTACGTCAGAGTACTTGCGTATGACATCCTCCAAATGGGCAGCGGCAAGTCATGGCAAACTACACGAGGCTTCCATCACTACGGAAATATATCGAAGCATCGGCGTAGAATGGAGTTCATCTCTATGGTGGTCTCCAAAGCATGACATCTAAAGCGAATGTTTTAAACCCGTCTCAGGGGGTGTCGTGCATACAAAATCAATCTTCCACAATCGAGGCTTCCGGATCCTCTGCTTCCGAATCCTCTGCTTCCGAATCCTCTGCTTCCTAATTCGAGCCTTCCATCGGGAGGCGCAGGAGCTTTCTGAATCTGTTCGCTTGCGGGTCAGGACAGTCAAAGTCAGGAGGTGATTGTACTTACTGCTTGCGCAGGCGTGCTCGTGTTGACACGTAATGTGTGAGTGCCCAATTCTTGTCGACAATACGACTGCATCCTGGCTGCGGACAGTCGAAGACAAGCATACCATGAGTGTCGTACAACACCAAGTTGTCCCAGCAATTCTGGCAGACGCCTGGGCATCGTCAGTATCGAAGCAAAGCTTCCTATGATCTCGCAACTCACGTTGATCGTGATCGCATTGTGCGGTCCGGTGCTTCTTGGGGAAATATTTCGCGGGGGCGGAGAGGTGTTGCTGGTCGTGGTCAGGACATCTGCATTTCAGGAATACGATATATCGAGACAGCATGATGATGAGCTAGTTGCGACGCTGGGGTCTACAAAGTCGATCGCGATGAGGTGATGAAGCGTGGGCGATGATGCTTCGTGGRGTGTGTCTGTGGCGAGTGGAATGTTGGTGATATGTATCGATCCGAGCGTACTGTAATGGTGCTTGGCGATGTTGCGTTGATGTTGATGATGTTGATGTTGATGTCAATGTTGATGTTGATGTGCATGAGAAGACTTTGAAGAAGATCAGGACGAAAATGAAGGGAAGATGAGCAGGTGGCCTGGGTCAGAGGTTGGAAGGTGCAGGTCTGGAAGGTGTGCTGGCAGCGGTACAGGCAAGTATGGAGGAGGACTTGGGCATGGGCAGTCGTGAGCCGCCATGCCTCCTCGTGATATGCTTGTGACTCCATCATCGCACGTTCAATGTTGTCTTCAATGTTGTTGATGTCCTTTTCCTTGGATTGCGAGGTATCCCGCCAACAATGCGCCCATCCTTCTATCCTACTATACATATCCTCACTGCCTCATTGTCGATTCCTGGACAATAACGTCGCCGGCGTACTCAACATGCCGGGCTTCCACTTCGCCTTCCCCTCCAACAAGAGCTTCGCCTGTTCCCGCATCCGTATTCTTCGATCCTCATTGATTAGGGTGTCTTTCATCGGACCCTCAGCTTCCTGAAACGTCTGCATTTCCTCTTCGCTGGCCTTCATGTTGTCCCTGTCCCACTCCTTGAAGCTTTCCGGCTCCTCTGGCCATACAAAAGGTCGCGCCAACTGCACCGTCATGTGCTTATGCGCCTTCGGCCGGTGCCAGCGACGCGCAGCCGGCTTTCCTGCGGTGTTCTCGGCCCGGACACGCTGCTGCTTGAGGTAGGAGCGCACGGCCATGATTTCGACGCGGTAGACATGCCAGAGGTAATCGCGCAGATCGAGTTTGCTGAAGTAAAGCGGGACACGGAACTTTGCGAACTGAGGTCCATCTGAGGAGCGAAGCAGAGTTATGGGAACATTGGGACTGTTTTATGTCAGTCAGTAGACGTCTGGAAAGCATCCGGATGGACATTACTGACAGGAAGAGCTCTTTGGAGCCGACCCGGAATGATGGAAGGGCCATTGGAGGTGTGGCGAGCACACGGCTCGGGCTGTCTTCGTTGGCAGCAGCAGTCAGAAAAGCTCTCTCGTGTATGATCGCGCCGGGATATTTGAGATGGTCGGCAAGCAGATGAGGTGTGCTGTGTTGATGCTGGGTCTATCAACCTTCAATCCAACTTTCGGATCTCAGGGTTGCGGCCAAAGTTTCGGGATCACAACGATCGTCTCCACTCGTCGATTCTTCGACTTGGACTTCACCTTGCACTCTGCTACAACACCCACGAAATAGCACAAGGTATACTGTAAGAGCTTTTGCGATTCTTCTGGTGCATTCTACATTCTACGACCTGCCATCAGCTCATCGCCATCGCCTTACTCCTCGATCGATCTCAATTTCAACATAGACTTCAACTCCCTTTTGACGACCGTTCGCTTGCTCCGCTTAAGTTTGGAGCAGTCTGGACACCAGCCCCGAAGCTCCTGTCCACCTCTGATCAACTCTGGATCCGTCTCGAAATGCCCACATCGCGCATAAAAGGACAATTTCTGCTCATCGGGCAGTTCAGGCAGCAACAAAGGTGGTAACTGCATCCCATCTTGCCTCGGGTCGATATCATCATACGACGGCGATGACATGCGGACTAGTGAGGAGAGTGCCGCCGCTGCCGCATCTCTCTCTATCGTTTCTCGTACGGACAGCGACCGACCACGCTGCCTCCCTCGTGGGACACTAGACTCTGTACTCTCTCGCTCGTCGCTGCTGATGGACGTCCGCTCGTTCACGACCGCTCCAATGGTGACCCATGAACAGGAACTTGGACGGCGGCCAAGCGGGAACCCTTGTCTGACGGGTTTGGGAGAGGTCTCCATCGTCGATGGATTTATCACCGAATCACGCGAGAGAATGGAGCTCTCCCTCCACCAGGTTTCAGAGGCGACCTCTTGCGACCGACGCTTGCTCGCAGACGGCAATGGCGAGACTTCTCGATACCGCTCATCTCGTAGTCGCGGCAAAGCCGTAGAATCCCAGCTATTCCTAGACTCAGTTGGAGGACTAGAGACACTGCTGACCGTCCCTGTCCTGCTTGGATGGCGCTGTGGAAGTACAGCCTTCTTGTCTCGACTTTCTGTACTCGAGTCGTCGACTTGCAGCGCATCATCCTCCTTACCCAGAATCGACGTCGATCCTCCGCAATCATCACCGCTGGAAAATGAAACGCCGTCATCATGTGTAGAATACCTCTTCGCCAGCGATAACAAAGACCTCGTTCTTAGTCGCCGCCGTGCTGGTTTTGTGGTGTCAGGTCCTCCCGGCTGTTGGCCTTCTTGACTGTGCGTGCTGGAAGCGCAATCTTCGAACCTGCCATCTTCACTGTAGATGCTAGAACCCCGAGTCCCCGGTCTGCGCGCCGGATGGATATCTGACACTGGTAAAAGTGCAGAATGTCTCCACTCGTTGAACGCAAGACTCCCCACGGTCAACGGAGCCTCGACATCATTCGGATAGACCGGTGACACCGGACCCTCCTCAATCACATCACCATGCTTTGCATGCTCAATCGACAAAGTCCTCGGAATGATCTCAACCAACCCATCGCGCTCCTTCCCAGGTAGGAAGAAGTAACTCGTCTTCGGCCGTCTCTCATCTTGCACTTGACCATCACTCTTCTCCCGCAGAAACATTTCCGAGGCAGCAGTTCGAACTCCATTCCCACGAGTTTTATTACTGGCTTTTCTCGCCAAAGTAAACAACGAGACTGTGCTGACATATCGCCTTGCAAGGGAGACTGTCCGTGCAATTTGGCCCTGGGCACTATGATAGCTGCCACTTTCACTTTCGCTGAAGTCGWATCTGCTGGAAATGCTTCTCCCGTCCATGGCGTCCACCATTCATCTCTATAAATCAATCATGTCAAAACAATGCTAGCAATGCGTAAGGGGTAAAGATTCGGGCCGTGCGTACCTCCAAACACCGCCGCTGCTTTGGGTCTTCTCAGTCGGTACGTGTGCTTCAGCCGTGAATGGTGAGATCGCTCTCACTCCAGGCCTGCCGCCTTGACGACTAATAGAATGATCCTGCAGTATGTCACTGGCATGAATTGCAAAGCRCGGTTCTCGGAGCTTTACTTGGTGATCACTAGTTTTCTACCGGGGGTTGCCCTGTGATTACTGCCGAACTACTTTTTATAAAGAATTGCCGGTGTTGGTCCGAAGAATTGTCGAAGATGATGATATGTACTGTGTAGAATGCCGTAGTAGTATATCACATCGCACAGAATTGAAAACACTATTGCTCTACTGCTGAGCGGCGCTGCGTGGGTACCTAGTACTGACAGGATGACGAGTTTGGGATCGCCACGTTGTTTTGTGCTGTGCGTTCTCATGAAAGTAACGCCTTTTGTTCGCGTTGGATTTCGGTTGCATTACTAGTGTATGTGTATATCAATGCCCTTGTAAGAAAAGCTGAGAGGCTGAAACGCTTGCGCAAGGCAAGATGCGTTGAAAAGCAGGTGAGGTGGAGGAGAATGTAGACAACTAGTATATTGAGCGTCCATGAGCGTACATGTTGCCGGTCTGTTATGTTGATACTGCCGGTCTGTTGCATCGAGCAGTGCGTTGACCTCTTGAGATTATTCCATAAAAGCAAGCAAACAAACGTTGCTGCGTTGAAATTGTGCGACTTGAGCAGATGAGATTAGCAAAACACTGCCGGATCTTACGTGTGAATTTTGTGGAATCGGAAGTCAGCCGTGGATATGCGTTGTCTCGTTAAGTACCAACCAGAATACCGCCTTCATAATGTTGGCATGTCCAAAATTCAACCGAACGCCAGACAATGTACCCACAACGAGCTTGATCTCTAGACGAGACTAGATATGACCGCACTGGAACCATTCTCATTTACACTCCATGTCCCTGATCCGCTTTGYCTGTTCTCTGAGCAGCATTCTGAGATATTGTTGAATGGCAAAGTCAACATCTTGCTGCTGATCGGCGGGGGACTGTTGCCCATCAGGCCGTTGTGGTATGACGACTTCTTCGTGCTGTTGGGATGTGTGGATTTGTCTTGCGATACTCGCAAGCTGGTTCCTATAGTAATCAAAGGAGAGTGGTTGACTCTCCGGAGCAGGTCCTTCCCGTGGCGTCGTCTGCCTAGTCATGATGAGTTTGATCAGTGAATGTGGTTTTGGATGTATTGGACTCTGCGCATACATCAGCAGCGYAGTACTACCAGCGCGGTACTGGCGATCGTATTCGGGACTTCGCTCCCTATCGTATGTGGGGCTGAAGAGTGTGAGATTGAGATCCAAGGTTCTTCTTTTGACCAATTCGGCACCTACGTCTCGCCTCTCTGACTGACCAGTGTATAACATGCGGAACCCGCTCGGTGTTGTTCTTGGGTGCGTTGCTGTTCTGCTGTGCCTTGTGCCATGTTTAGACTCCGGCCAAAGACCGAAAGACAAGAACAGATACACGACGAGAAGTTCAATGTGGGGGGGAAGGGAGGAGAGGAAAGTGACGACGGGCGTCGCGCATACGGCAAAAAGATTTATATCCGCGACGGATGGGCCTTGTCTTCGAGCTTCGCATTGACAAAGAGCAGTGCCCGTACTAGTCTAGCCCTAGGTGTATCCACTTGGCGATCTGCCGGGCGTCTTCGCCAGAGCGTATGTAGAAGGGAAGCTTCCGCGTGCCTTGGGTGAGGAGAGACGCCCTCACCTGCCCGCGTTGTATGCCCTAATTGTGATTGCACCTAGGGTTGCGTTAAACGAATGACGAAGCTCGGCAGTGCACCATTCCTGCGAGCCTTCGGAAAGGAAGCTTGTGAGGTGCCGACTCGCAGTGAACGCTGACATTACCTTTGAACACACGACTGTGTCTTGTTCTTGATTCACGAGGCTTTTGCTTCACGGAACCTGCGGTGCGGAGCAGCAGTGCGGATACACGGGCCACGCTACTCCACGAGCTCCCGCTCCGTAGTTTGGCGCACAGTGTCACTCGGGGAACAGCGCTTTCTCCGCAAGCATCAGGTAACATGATCTGGACCCATACAGTAGTCTGGACCCGTAGTCTGGACCTATGAGGATGGCAAGCGGGCATGACCTTGCTCAATCCGCAGCAGTCTGGCAGATTTCCACGAGGTGCATCGTCAGCAGTCCTGGCAATGGCCCTTCTGATCAAAGCTCCTGGCGACCGGGAGGATGAGAGACTTATTAGCACCGTGCGCTGTTTAGCCAATGTAGGGCTCTCGGATGCCCTAAGCTACTGGCTGCAGGAAGATGCGTGCCCTAAAGGAATTTGAAGGTTCAGGCTTGGTGCCGCAGGAGTCGATGGACGAGGAGCTCGCCAACAGCCGTGATCGTGCCTCATCGAGAATTCTTCGTGGATGACTCAAAGTGACGCAAGGAAGCTCTGCGCGGACTGGTTGCTTGTGGGCTTCCCGCGTGCTCCACAGCTCAGTGGTATTACAGTAGTAGATGTATTCCATGGATGCGGTGGAACTGCGACTGTGACTGGCCCACGGGGTCACAAGAGAGTGTCGCAACTTCCAAATGGCTCGCCGTCGTCATGGGAAAGTGCTGTGTGAATAAATGCATGAGTTGAGCAGAGCTGCTCACTCCATCCAGTAGTAATCATTCTCGGTGAGTATGCGATACCTGACACATCTTTTGTTGTCGCCGGGATTGGAGGAGAAGCGGGAAGAGGAGCAGATCGTCCCGAGACGTCCGTGCTGGAAGTGCTCCATCTCCACATCCACATGCACGCTGCTGAACCAATTGCTTCACATCGAGACCGACAGCCCTAGCGACCGTTCGCCATCCACAGCGCTGTCACATGCGCCAAGCATCGACACCGACGTCGAGCTTAGTGATCTAAGCGCTTCATCTTCACGTGCCTGCAGCGCGAGTGAAGGAGCACCGCAGCAGCTTGAGCTCCAGCAGCAGCAGCAGCAGCTTCAGCAGTCATGGCAGACGCAACCGATTCAACCGCTGCCGGCAGCGCACTGCCGCCCACGAACAACATCGACTCTGACACCTCAATCATCAACACAACCACCGAGACCATTACACAACCTACAGAACCCTCTACTGAAGATCCCGCACTCGAGGTAGACCGCGACCTGGACGCCGAGATCAAYCCCACCTCATCCACTGAAACCATGGTGATGAACATGGATGGCGCCAATGACGCCTCAGGTCCCGCGGCCGCGCCTGAGACCAACGGCCTGTCCTCCATACCCGCTGTCCTCGAGCCTCGCATACCCCAGAAAAAAGACACCTCCCTCCGCGAATTCCTGGGCAAAATGGACGACTACGCCCCGCTGATTCCCGACGCCGTCACCGACTACTACCTCACACTCGCGGGTCTACCACCTCCGCCAGAGACTGATCGCCGCCTTGCCCGTCTGCTCGCGCTAGCCACCCAAAAGTTCATTGCGGATATCGCTGCCGACGCCTACCAATACAGTCGCATTCGTAGCACGAACACTACCTCGAACAACCCGCTGACTGGACTGGGTGGCGCAGCTGGATTTGGTATGAGCGTGCAGCAAGGTGGAGAGGGCGAGGGCGCCGGCAAGGGTGCGAAGAAGGATGCTGGCAAGGCACAGCCATTGGGTGGACCGCGAGCTGGGTTTGGTGGTGGAGGAGGAGCGGGCGCCAGCCAGGGAAGGACAGTCTTGACAATGGAGGATCTGGGCATGGCCGTTGGCGAGTACGGCGTCAACGTCAAGCGGGGAGAGTTCTACCGATGAATGAGAATATGGGGCATGGCGATGAATTACTACGAGATGCACGCGGCGGCGTTATGACTTCAGGCATAAATTTGTCCAGTCTCTTCGAACTGCTCGGCCGGCGAGCCTTGAGAGTTGATGAAGAATGGAAGAAGGGCGTTACGGGTGGATCGATGCTCCCTTTTGCTGCATACTAAGCAGATTTTGGAAAGACTCCGCCGACGGCTACATGTTGMGAAAGATGCATCATTACGCTCGCGACCTCTACAGACTCGATCTGAAGGTGCGGTTGGCGGTGTCATGGCTTTGGCATGCTGTTACAGCAGCACTGAGGAATATTATGAGCAGATAAATGTGCAAAATGCACGCACTGCTCCGGCTGGGTTGACCTCTGACATTAATAATGACTTAAGGCGTATCGAAACAGATTTCCGAAGCATGTCTTTCGCCACAATTTCCCCGATCTCAGCCAACAACCGTGGTAACAACCCCTTCATCGAGCAAATGCACTCTGTTCTCTGAGCAAACATGTCACAAGGAGAAATGTCAGCTTGGTTCCTGTTCGGTGCCTGTCTCACCGATATGCGCAGTATGATTCGTTGCTTGTGTGCAGGAGCAAAACGTTTTGCGGCACCCTATATCCAAACCTGTCTAGGGCTGTGAAGAATGATCGGATGTCTGCCACGTACCTCACAACGGGCTTGCATTGTTCCTGGTGGCGTAGTTTGGCGCCCTCAAATCGTGGCTCCCTGGGATCCACGTTTCGGAGGCTTCCTCAGCTCAAGTACGGTATTTCGGTTTATGATGGTTCGTGTCTCAGACAAGCGCAAGTGTTGTCCGTTGATGAAGGTGAGCCGTATGGTCTCGCAAGCCATGGCCCCAATCTTGCGATTCTCCCTGCGCTCCAAAAGCTCGTCGACTACAGAACCTCGAGCCTCGCGTGCGTGTAGGAATTTCGACTCTGTCGAGTCCCATACCTTGAAAGCACAGAGTTGCGGAAAAGTCTCGGATCGCTGGCTGCCGAGTGGTTGCTCATGACTGTATTCAAGRCACAAGAGTTTGAGCTTCTCTTAATACACTTTTAAAAGCCATGTAAATCTTCGCTGCGGAGGTCGGAACGATATTACACCTTGTAGTCAGCCACCCGTTGACAGAACTGTGGCGGACCGGGACAGGGCTTGCCTGCCTACCATGTACACGTCAAAGTCCGAGTCGTTTTCGACCCCAATCTCGTTGTACTTGGTTGTACATATGAAGTACTGCGAACAGTACCGAGTAGGTTGGCGGAGCGAGCTGCATGACGCACAATCCTTGTTTGCACGTCTCCTTCTCCAGCCCGGCCACGAGAATAGTGGCACGACGGAGCGCTCTAATTCCCGATCATCAGAACGCCAATTCTGACCTTCTTTGGCCAGTGACCAGAAGTGGCAGACATCGTACTTGGCGCGCTTCCACATCGAGATTCGAAGACGGGTCAATACGCGCCCCGCGGCTGATTGTTGTCTTGGATTAGCAGGGCCGTCGGAGCAACGGGGAATTTTGGACCGGCGATCGCAGGGTGTTGGACTCCAGAGTGCGATGGTTGGACCGGAAGGTTTGGTTTGTTTAGATTCAGCGTCGTCGGAAATCATTACGACGTGCTGGTTCAACGCCAACATCGTACATTCGCGMCGCACAGACGAAGACTAGCGTCTGGGTGAGCAAGGAGCGTCTGCCAATCATTCGGGTGTTGACCTGGGATCCCAGGCTGCTGACGATGTCACCGATGTGAGCGGCTTGTGCTTGGGACACGCTACGGTGTTGAAGTTTGGCCAGGGTAGAAGATTTTCAGCGGTGTTGAAGAAAGAAATCGGACTGTTCGATGAGGTTGTAATTGGACATGGGTGGGCAAGGCAGGCTAGTGCGGGCATATCGACTTCACCTCCATCATCTCCATTTCCACGTGCCTGCTCACACCTACTGCAGCTCTACATCCAGAGGACTGACCTTACGACGCGCCTCTGCAGCGTAATACCACTACGCGTGGACTGCTCAGGAGATTGCTTGGCTTGCACTTCAAGTGCCGCAGCATCCCGGGAGACCCATCGATCGGAATCAGCCTTCGGTCAAGAGGGGCCGGGCTTCTTCGACCTGCATGTTCCCTGAGATCTCTGTCGTGGGTCGCGAGATCTGGCTGCTAAACCATGACCGCGCCCAATCACCTGCCTCGACTGTTTTCTTTCTGGGGGTTCTAGAATGCGAATGTCCGGCCTTGCCGGCCCCCGGCCTTGATCCCCGACTATTGACCGACGCGCGCGCTATGGGCGAGCTGCCCAAACTAGGTAGTCTCTTACAATCCTTCCCCGTAGGCACATACTCGGCACTCGATGCGCTCACATCACTCCTACTAATCACGACGCCTGCAGGCCTTTGGGGGCACTGTGCATCCCAGTAGTGACCACAATGCGCGCTCAACGCCAGCCATGGACGAGTGCTTGGCCCTCGACGAGGCGGTAATCTGCTGTTGCCCGGTGCCATCTTGGCTTGGGCCACCGTTTCACTGTACTGGGCGATGGAGCCGCAGCCGTCTTCCACATGGCGGTGACGATGTCGACACCGGTAATAGCTGGTTGATACCAAGCATGACGCACAGCAGCGTGATCACGCGTTGCACGGGTTTAGTATGATTGAGGAGCATGGCAAGTGATTGATTGCTCGCGCCTTTGATCGAAGCTGGGTCCATTGGATCCCGAAGCGGTCGCTCGGTCTGCACAAATACCCATTTCCGACTGCGCAGAATTATTGCTGTCAGCACACGCGCCACTATCCACAATACGATGCAAATAGCCATCCCATTGGGCACGATCGAGAACCCGGCGGAAGTTTTACCACACGTCAAGCCTCGCTACGCACAGACCATCATTTGATGCCACATCGACCGGGGTGTTTGGTTGATGACCCATGGAACAGGCAGGCAGGGTCTCAGAACACGAGCCGACGTACTCTTGTGGTGACGATGTAGGGCGGTCTGCCAGTGCGCGAGCAGCTGGAAGACGTCTGGACAGAGCAAACCAGGTGTCTGCGCCGCAAGTGGAGACATCGTTGTATCCATAGCGAAGATCCTCGTGGCTTACAGAAAGCTTATAAAAAGGCGACGCACCTTTTGCCGCCCATCATTTGCTCCCGTTGGAGTGTGGGGATATGTAGAGGGAGGCCCCGAGTCGCCGTCTTTCGGATGTCGTTTTTGGGTCGTTTTCATCATAGTGTTGCACTCTATTGCAACCTTTCCCAGCAGCATCCGCTTGGAAGTCTTGGTCGGACCCGAACTTACGCTTTGCACTGTCGATAATTGCCTGCTTCGCGACATTCAATTGCGGGTAGCCGCTCGGACTTTGGATCCGTTGGAAAATTGTCCGTGATCCTGTTCGTAGACTCGGGCAAACACGTCGATCGAAGCAGAGGAACACAGTTGAGAATCCCACCATTCGGCACTCATTCACACACTGCCCCTCGTGTTCCCCGGAGACGCATCCCGCTGGAAAAGCATTCATCGCCTTGCGACCAACGGTGCTTACACAAGCTCAATTGCAACCATACAGCAGAGGAGCTGCCGGCGATTTCTGTCATGAATCGGCCTTAGTACTGGCCTCGGGCAATAATGAATGCTGGAAGTGCGACGACCACGTTTACTTGCCGCCCATCTCGACAAGATCGTGGGACCGTGTTCTTGGGAGGCCTGAAACGTGAGCTCGTCCCAATTCTCCGCCGTCTGATTCGGCGCGGCGAGGTCTCATATTCTTCGCCGCCGATGTCAGACCCTCTCACTCCATCGAGGATAGCTCAACATGAATCTATCCCGCACACCAGTGAACAACATCCCACCGCAGCGGCCTCAACATCAAGTTCAATTCACATGCCAGGATTGCCGATAGCAGCTCCAAGGCAAGAACCTCGCTTATACAACAGCATACGACCGCATACGCATGCCGATCGACCACCAGGCCATGCTTCACCTATGCAACCCATGCAACCGCATACGGGACTCGACCGTGATCGGGCGCCTGCGCATGAGCTAGAGACGTCGCAAAATGAGCCTCCAACAGCGACTTCGAGAGTTGGCCGAAAAGCCAAAGCTCACGTTGCTTCGGCCTGCATCAATTGCAAAAGAGCGCATTTGAGTTGTGACGTTAGTAGGCCTTGTGCTCGGTGCGTTGCTTCGGGCAAACAGGTGTGTCTATCTGTATCAATCATCGACTATGCATCACTGATCTAAGATGCAGGATTCCTGCGTCGATGTACAGCACAAGAAGCGTGGTCGTCCACGGCTGCGTGAAGAAGGCGAGTTCAAGGTCGAACAAATGCATCCCGTAGCTGGTCCATCAAATGCGACCCCTACGGCAATCGATCATCATATGCGCCCCATAGCGGCCACAAGGCATCGTCGAGCCGAGTCGTTTCGCTCCCTTCGATCACAGGGCAGTGAAAGCTCCGGCGTGGGGGTCAGTCCTACTTATTCCATTCCGCGGCCCACGAATACTACACAACCTACGTTTGGGTTCCAACCTCCCCCAGCGCCAAACATAACCCCAGGAGGCTACGAGATCCCGACAGCATACCTGGATCTCGATTTAATCATAATCAAAGCGAATTCGTCCTTTCGTCAGATCATGCTTGGAGGGCAAGAGGTTGCAAGGCGGCATCTGCGTGATATTGCAGCCCCTGCTGATGGCCAGGACTTTCAAACTATACGCAATCGTCTAAGGGCGGAGCGAGAGGGGCGTGAGCCTCTGTACATGCCTCCGATCATACTGCGTGGCCACGATCCGCTGCTTGGAGCATTGGAAGCGGACGTTAATCAGTACACTCGCGGCTTCGACGACCACACATACACTTGGACCCATACGCAGGCTGGATCTTCCGGGCAGAACTTCCCGGCGCGAGTTCGACTCGCCAAAGCCAGCTCCTACTTCGTATCGGTGACCCTTCCGAGTTTTCGACCAGTGGAACCTCCCTCGCAGTCTACCTACGCACGCAGGCCTGAAACACAAAACGTGCCTCGTTCAGTTCCACCTGAGGTCTCTCCGCGGGCTGGCTTTGTTCCATATCCTAGACCCACATTTCCACCGCCGCTACCAGCAAGTCGATCGAGCCAATCGGTACAAAACACACCACCACAGGTATATCAATCAGGTCATCCGTCTGTACAGGTACCTCAACCATCGCCGCAACAAGGATACGTACAGCAAGGGTACGCACAGCAAGGGTACGCGCAACAAGATTACGCGTCTTTACGATCAACGCCCTTGTCCGCTACACGACTCCACGTTGCAGAACCACCAACAGATACGACAGCATTCACTCCACGAGCCTCATCCCGCGAACTTCCACAGGTTGCACCCGTTGACTCAAGTGTACAACTCCCGCCGATACTGGGGAGTGGAACTCCCCGAAGACAATTCTCGGCAGCTGCCGCCGCCGGCTCTGGAGAGCTGCAAAGACCGCCCCTACAAGGCGATGTATCCAACGACGACGATAGAGAAGCTGCCGGTGGCAACGGACAGCCTTCGCCGAGAAAGAGGCGCAGAATGGACATTGATCAAGTCTTGCATTGATAATCCTGCCATGGCAGTCTTGATGCACCTGTAGTATGTGTGGCGAAGGAAAGATACCCGTGTATTATTATTATGATAGAAGAAGTGGACCGAGAGAGATGTTTAAACAGGTGGTTGGTCGGTATGAAAACCCCACCCGAGTCAGGCGGCAACGCTGTTAATGTAGTAGTGTATAGTAGAATTTCCAACCCACTTTTGATCGTCACAGCAACAGATACCTCATCAGAGGTCTGAAAGCGACATCTAGTCTGGTAGGCAAATATCTGTGATACATCCGCATGATCCTACACCCGGAAACCCCTCTGCGCCGACGCTATGCAAGACCCAGCTACAAACAACAAGATCAATAATACACATCTATGCTGCCGTCGGTTCGGCCTCATTTGAGTTGGAAACGATCGCAGTCTTTTCCTCGTCTCCTTCAGGCTCGGGCACCGCAACGACATCATCCGTTGCTTTCGCCTGCTTGGGCTTGTTGAAGGAATTCGGGAATACCTCCGGCATGAGGTCTGGTAGGAACCGGTGCAGTCGCTCCCATGTCTCGGCCCAGAGCTGTTGCTGAAGCTCGCTGCGGCTGTCATCTTCCTCCGAAGTGGGAGGAACCATGTACCCGCCGCTACCCATGACCAGAAGGATATTCTTGAGTGATTCGGGCACAGCCTCCACCAAGACGTCGCTTTGGCCACTGTTCATCAAGCGATCCATGATGGTCAGAATCTTGACCCACAGGTCGAGGATACCCTCCCATTCGCTAAGCAAGACCAGGTAGTGCAGGAAGATTTTGCATAGAAGCTGAGCGGCTTGCACTCGGGTTTCGCTCATGCCTTTGGGGTCGGTTTGGTAGACCTCAGGCTTGAGGAGCTGGTTGATCAATGGGAACAGAACTTCGCCGAAGATGTTTGTCCATTCATTGTGATCTGGCGATGCAAGTTCTGGTGACAGCAAACACCTTTGCAATGACGTAAAGGCCTGCTGTCTAATCTCACGGCACGGGTTGACGCATTGCATGGCCAAGCAGCGGAAGATCGGCGACCAATATGTCCGCCACGCCTCGTTTGTTTCCAGCTGAGACTGCTTGATCAGACCCGGCACGCGGCTTGCGAGCTGGGACACGATAGCGATGGCGCGCGTCCCTCGCACAACAGCTTCATTCTTCTCGGGCTTTTTCTCCGGAGTAGGTTGCTGCGGCTGACCGCGTCTGGGAACCTGCTGCTGCTCCTGCCTCGCTCCTACGCTGCCAGCCGTGGCAAACGCATTGAGCAGAGCCACGCAAGCTTCGTAGTTGTCCGGGGTAATCGCAGGATTGGGTCCGTCAGCGACGGATTCCGATATCTGGAATACCAGTGCTGCAGCTTCGGCTTGCGGCTGCAGGGTGTGTAGCACCGCCCAAAAGTCCGGGCTCGATGCCATCTCATTTCTTAGCTCCACGGGTCCACTAATGCAGCCGTGGACACCCTTCAAAATAGGCTGAGCGCATTGTCTTAGAAGGTCCTGGCGGAAGCTGGAGATGCTGTGCAACACGACCGGAGCTCGAATGTAGCCGTGATCGTTGCTGGCCCGGAGCAAACTGAGCAAATAAAAGACCGTTCTGCTGAGTGCGACTGAATGTAAACGATCTGCATCCCTAATGACCGTCTGCAGAGCCTCCGCCACATCTGCACCCAGGGTGGTAATTGCTTCTTCATCACGCAGCGCTAGTATCGTGGCAAGCTCGAGCACATACACAACCGCGGGGTCGTAGACCGGTGTTTCTGAACTCGACTTTGTGCCATTCGTACGGGCCTGAGTAGGTAGTTCAGGCTTCACAGCAATGACTCTAGGCGAATCCGCTTCGGGGAGGTGTGAAAGCAGTGCCGATGTGAGGGCCTTGAGGGACTCCACGGGTAGCTCACTGACATTGCCCAAGATTTCTTCGAAATGGCAAGCATTGATGCAGTCGACCGTGCACAGTGTCGCCTCGATTTCTTGCTCATTTGGCTCGGGCGGTTCGTCGTTCATCACACTGCTAACATAGCTTGTGAAGGCGCTGAAGAGACCCACGTCGGCGGATTTGTCATTTCTCTCAATCACTTGAGCCGGGGATTGGAGAGGGATGGCAGGAAGGTCGAGATCGCGGGAGATTGACGTGAATGATGTCGGTATCAATGAATTGACGAACAGATTCACCATGATTCGAACGACCTAAGTTTGTTAGCGTGGAAATCATCTCTACGGGCCAAACCTGACTTACATGAGTCCATCCCTCCCGTATGGCGTCCTCGTGCCCGTTGATTACTCTGAACAACACCAAAGTAGCCAGCTCAGCTTTGTTGTCTCGTCCGAAATCAACAGCAAACTTGCTGACCATGATACTTTTTCCACTCGCCTGCACCTCAGTGTTGAGGCTCGTGCTAGGCGGCGTCTCGGTTGCAAGAGAGCTGATCTTTGCAAGGGAAAGGATGATGTAGTCGAGACATTCGCTGATGCCATATTTGGCCGCAATCTGAGCGCATTGGTTGTAGCCAGCTATCACACGCTGGAAGACTGCGTCTTCTGTCGCCGACACAAATACGTAGTTGAGGGTTGCGACAATCGGCCGCCATGTCGCGGCAAACATGTCGGCGTCGTACACATTGGTGTCACAGATGATCAGATCCTCTGCAGTTTGTGTCTTGACAAGCAGCTCTTTCCAAGCATGCTCAAAGGCATGCTTGTTCTCGTGTTCCTCCGGCAAGAGAATCTCTCGTGACTTTATGGCTTCATAGATTTCTCGAAGGAAATCCTGGTCGAAATCTGAATTGCCACCATTGACACCTCGCAAGTTCCGAGCAAAGTTCTCGAACTTCATGCGGTCCTGCGATCTGACGTTCGGGTTGTATTGGTCGGTGTTCAACATGATGATGGCGTAGGTCAGCACAAACACAGAGTCATGGTCTAAGATGTGCTCTGGTTTGGCTGCATCAAAGTACTTTGCACTGAAAACTGTGACGATCCGCTCGATCAAAGCCGACTCGCCAGGCAAGCGGAAGCTGTTGAGAAGCTGCCGCAATGCCTCGTCAACGCGCAAGTGAGCAAAGTCAAACAGATCCATGAAAGCGTCAAGAATAGCCTCGTTGGACTTCTTCGAGATGAACTCGCCCAGGACTCTCTTGTCTATCCGGGTGGTCCCCTTCAAGAAGGTCGTCACAGAATGGGGATCGTTCGGGTCGGAAATGATGCCCTGTGCTGCAAGGAAAGCAATGCCACCCTTTGGGCTTTCATTGAACTTCGTAGCGCCGCGAATAATGACTGCCTTCCGTCTTCTCTGCTCCTGCAATGCTGATTTCTCGGGCAGGTTCCTGGTATTTGGTTCGTCGTCCATGCGCTCTGCAATGAATTGAACGTATCCCAAAAGGGAATCCAAGGAGAGCGGGGGAACATTTGTCGTACTCCAAGTCGCAGAATCTGGGAATGCGTTGCGAGACAGCAGACCGACCATGTCTGCGCACAGGTCGCTTCTGTCAACCTCGCAGTCGTAGTTGACGAAGAGCTCCGTCATAAAGCTTGGAATTCGAACCAGACCGCCAACGCTTTCTACCATTGCCTCTCTGGCGTCTGGCTTTCGTGAACCGCCTTCCATGCCTAGCTTTTGTCGGTCGCGCACCGGCACCGGCGTTGATCTACCACTCCCTTTCCCGACGGCCGCCGGACCAGACGGTTGTGGCCGCACAAGGGTGGGAGWCTGCGGCACACCCTGATAGAGCGACGGATCTATGTTGGGCTCATCAGGGATGGGGACCTTGGGATGTAGACACGCCACCACGTATGACAAGAACAGCTCCTGCTGCAACTTGAGTACAGTTCGACATGTAGCGAGAAGCGTGCCTGCAACGCGCAATGACTCATGAAGGATCGCGACGTTCTCAGACCGGACCAGCTGGAAGAGATTTCGACAAAGTGTGTCTTTGGCCAAAGACGCGAGACTCGGATGATTTGCGATACTGGGCCCGGCGACCTCGAGCGCGACGTTTACTATTCGCAACGCCATGACACGCAGAGTATCGTTTCTTTGGCGATCGTGAGGATCGAGCAAGTCCGCCAGAACGCGAAACAGCTCGCGAATAGAAGGGAGTCCGTAAGGTCGCACGTCTACAACCTCGCCATCATCAGGCCTCGACAGGTCCAATTGACTGCCATTAGCATCCATGGATAAGCGATCCGAGTCGTTGTTCCCTCGCACCTCCAGACTGGAGCTCGACCTGAGCTGCTTCATCATATCCGGGCCATAGTCGCCGTTCCCGGAAGAATCGATTTTCGCGGCGTCCATGTCTTCCTGTGGCACCGCCTCATCCAATGTGCCTTCCTCAAGCTCATTTTCCAAAGTTTTCAACCGGCCGAAGATGGTTTGACACATGGTCACCATGCTGATCTCTGCACTCCGTCGAACGAGCTCACTCATTTTCAGGTGACAGCATATCGACAGTGCACATTCCATCATCTCGCACACGCTCTGGTCGCCGAGCACCTCTCCCGACGGTCCACAAATCATGTCTTCCATGAGCTTCAATATCCGTAGGAACACCACTTCGTCGCTTGGAGTGTTGTCTCCCTCGAACCTGCAATGTGTTACAGTAGACGCCAGTAACTGAATCCCATAGCTGAAATTCGGACTCTGAGGATTGATAATGTTGTAGGCCAGCATTTTCGTGATGGCAATCAGGGCCAGACTCGTAATCGGCGCCGTGGTGCTCGAACTCCTAATGACCTGCAGAAACGGCTGCAACAGACTCGGGGTCTCAAAGGACTGGATATCCTTGCACTGCTTCAAGTCCGCGCGTAGCTTTGCAAAGGCACTCATCAGCGGGTTGTCCTGCATGCTCTGGCCCTTCTTCCCTCGTAGTCCCCATCGTGAAGTCAATGTGCCGTCGTCCTCGATCAGATCAATCTTGCTGCTCGCTCGACTCCTCTCCTGGTTTGCGGTCCGGCGGTCCGAGGTCGATGTCGACGTTCGAGGTGTGCTGCTGGCGCCGAGGATGGAGGATATGGAAGAATGAGCCCAGCGAGCATGCTTGCGCATGGCTGAAGTGACCGTGATGCATTCCGTCACCACCAGGGCTACAGGATCAATAGCCACGGTGATCCTGCTGGTCTGATGTCCATCTGGAATTCGGTCGTCCATTTGCGAGTAAATGTACAGAGCGGACGGCAAAAGGAGCGGCAGTGTGATGTTCAGTGCATGCTCGAAGCGCATTCCCAAAATGGAATTGAGCCAGCTGTCTGTCGATCATTTGGCGACACGCGAATGCGGAGAGAACTTGACGCGCACTAAGGAGTCGAAAACGTATGACAATTCATTGGAAGCAAGTACAGCGTCTCATCGCATCGGAGGTCATTCTTGATGCCCAAAGATCCTCTTTCACTGCGGTTTCACGAGAATTGATTCCCTGCCAACGCCCCAGAGCTGGGATGTAGGATGCTCGAGAGGACTATGTGTATCTAAACCACCTCCGATGCAAAGATGTTGTTTGGTATGTCGAATGAGATTTGGTATATTTCCTCAGCATGCTCCTCGTTTATACACTCATCCACCCGCCCACCAACAACCTTTGCTACAGACAAACACTGTGCATATAGTTACAACGCTCCCTCCCATTCGCCTTAATCGCCTTGGAAACGCCGCCCAATTGTGTGACATCTCCCCATTCGCAAAATCCGTTGTCACCATCGCCGTCGATTGATTCGCGTTCGCAGGCAGTGGATCCGCGAGTGAAGACCAGCAACACCAAGCTTTGCTTTTCGGTCGGAGTTTGCTTCTCAGACGAACGAAGCGTGTTTCCCTCACAAACTTGTCCCTCTTTGCGGCTGGTGTTGAATCTCGTCCTTGTTTGACTAGATCAGTTCGACCTGCTCACTCCTTCTGTTGCTCCAGCGAGAAGCTGTCCGCGAACTTCCTACCACTCCAAGTAATAACAATGTCAACCATGCTCTCAATGCAACACAGTCGGTCGGGAGAACTCACGCGTCATCCGCAACCGAGTCCTCGTCAACGTTCTGCTTCATCTGCTTCTGCCTAGCTTTCTCGCTGGCCTTTTCTTGCGCGGCCTTGTCCGACATTTCGCGCATTCCCTCCTTGTCCTTCTCCCATTGGGAAGCGCCCTCTTCGAACTGGCTGTTAATCTTGTCCATTCGTTCCTTCTTCTCCGCCTCTTCTTGCTCGCGCGCCTTGCGCTCGATCTCCATTTCCTCCATGTGGCGAATGTCTTCCACGCTCGGTTCATACAAATGCCAAATGGTATAGTGGGGCAATCCGACTACCGTATATTTCATCCGCTTGGCCATCTGCATTCCGCGTCAGTGATAGCTTTTGGGCTTGGACATGCTGGTCTTGTACCTTTCCGAAACCTTCGGTCTCTGCATGCTTTTCAAAGCTAAATGCAGGAAAGTGCACGCCACTTCGAAAAACCTTTGCTTTGGCCAGAATGCTGACACCACCAACACCATCGATTTCCATCTCCATGTCGGGGTCGCCGTAAGGATCGCGAAGGTACGCCAAATGTGGTCGCCAGGTCGCATACTCGGCGTAACCTTCCACAATCACAGCGTCCTCGTCGAGGGTGTCTGCCAGCGCAAGTGCTGTTTCGGACTCCTGCCAGCTGTTCAAGTCATATGGCTGCTCTCCACCTAGCCAGTCTGGCAGAGGTCTCCAGACATCTGTTCTCAGTGTTAGCTAATCCCCTCCACTCCCACTCCTCGAAGAACTCACTTGGTACAATGACATCCTTGTTGTGTCTCATCAGGTCTTCCAAAATTGTAAAGGGTGCAGTCTCCACATCGACATCCCTCCAGTAGACCCAACTGTGTGTCGGTCGTAGTGCCGCTGAAAGCAGCCAGTTCCGCGCCTGGGCCATGCTTTTTCTGCGGCTTGCCTGAGCGGCGAAACCGTGTCTGCTTTCCACATCCTGATTCACAGTCTGACCAAAGTTCTTCTCAATCACCGAAATCTCTCCAAATGCCATCTTCGGGTTCTCTTGCGCTTGCAGCTCGGCCAGAAGATCTGACAGGAGCGGAAGGGTGTTATCCTTGCTGTCACCAACCAAAAACGCCAGGTCGATCAGGTTGTGGGGGTAGGTCAAGTTCCGGAGATGTGAGAAGAACATGGGCAGATGCGGTGCGGCGTCTCGTAGTGGTGCGCATAGTAATATGCGCTCTTCCCTCTCCCATCCTCGACTTGTGCCGGCCACATTCGCAAGGTCGTAGTATCGTACTGTTTCGAGCTGAAATTCTTCGCCGCCAGCGAAAAGTCCCAAGGAAAGCGGTGCTAGTAGCGCAGCGGGTCGTAGTGAAGGGAAGAAGATCATAAGTACGAGCAATACTATCGCGCAGGCACTGCCCACACGTATAAGCGTTCCCCGTCGCCTCAAAAACATATTGCGCGCAGATCGCGGCTGGTATCTGGATCGTGTCAGCTTCCCTCTTGCGAATCGCTTCAACCAGTGTCCATACTTCTCGTATTTGTCTGGCCGGATACTGAAGCCCCCATTGGAGCTGGCTGGCGAATAGGCGCCGGCGCCTCTCGCATGCCCGTTGGCACCACTGTATCCATGTCTGTTCATCTTCTCCTTCTGTGCCGACGACGAGACATATGTTGGGAGCATGGATCGGCTGCCCTTCCACCAAGCGCGGCGCAATCAGCCCGGCAGACCCTCCGATGTCTACTCCGAATGTAGATGGGGGTGTTGTAGGTTAATCTCTTCTGCTCCAGAATTGATGTCGCTCGCTGTCCGAAACTGGGAGGTGAAACAAGGCGCACCGCGGTGGTGGGAGGTGCGGTACACGTGTCTCGGCGGGGAGCTGCTATTACGTGAGGGAATGTACGAAGTATCTCGTGTGCGTTGCGCGTCCAGCGGATTATGTGAAGATGTACGGAAGAGTATGTGAGGAGTGGGATGGTTTTCAAGGTTAAGCCTTGTACAATCAGACACATTCGCTCGACTCAGGAGCAAGGACCACAGCCTGACTTTTGATCAAACCCCTGTCAACTGCCGCCGTCATCGCAATTCAAACTCCACGTTGTTATTACTTCGCAGGGTTCAATGTTCGTTTTACACCGATTATCAGGCATCTACATGTGGATTGCCGGCCTACCCAAAGAAACAAAGATTGACTGATAGACACACTGTTTAGGCGAGTTAAGGTAGGTCTGTCTGACGTTCTGACTTCGCGTGAAGGGACTTTGACGATCTTGCATGCTTAAATCCATCAGAGTTTAGAGGCTTTCACGTGGTGGAATCAGTACAGAGGTGAAGATGAGATGTCCGGTTGAACACGAGACGGCAATTTAATGGATGAAGGTGTATCAATTACATGTATTTGTAGACACTTGTATGGAGGAACGTTCATACGAAAACCTCTCGCCTGATGCTATGAGTCGTCGCGAGCAGCATTGGACAGCTTGCCATGATATACCGCACCTACCGTGAAGTAATTCAAGAGTAAGACTACGACTGGTAGCAGTGGTCGTCAAGGTCGTGCTCTTCCAACGCTGCTGGCTCAACCGAGCTAGAAGTCGGTACACCAACCCAATGATAAACATCATCGCAATATCTCGTGATCAAGCTCGTACCCCCATGGCCACTTTGGCAATGTTCAGATCATACAGATGATCGAGAGGCGCAAGAGCTGATTCAAGTAAACGGTCACTGTCCATCAGGCTCCTTTGCCTTAATCGGCGTAGCACTTCACACATGGCCAAGGTGAGCGAGACCACACCCGCAGACAACGACATGTCTTCGTGTACGACCTACGTGCGCACGTATTGATGACGAAACAATCGTGGAAACCACTGCGATAAGTCAGTCCAAATGCTCGAGCATATTGACAAGCAAGTGAGGTGAGCAACATCTTCAATCTCAGTAAGCCGTTTTAAATCACGCCCACCCGCCGGCACCTCGCCATACCGGCCATAACGGACAGCATGGATTGGTGCTCTGAAGCGTCATTACGTAGCATCACACACTCAACCGAAGCTTTGCGTGCTTACCACAACTCCACAACCGATCCTCCCGTCGAGGCCGAAGCTCCAACGGTACGGTACAGGGAGGGTCGCTCGGAAGATGATGCATATCATTGAATGGATAATAACTTGGGTATCATCTTTGTGGTGAGGGGGTGGGAAGATTGCAGGGAGTGGCTTACCGAAAGGATGAAGAAGTGGCATGTATCGGACTGCAGCCATGTGCCGGTATGCGTGTCATTCACGTTGCTGCCTATAATTTCCTCCATTATTAGCTTTGCTCTCTCAATTTAGCCTGTAGTAGCGGAAGATTGTTCGATATTTTCATTCAGAAAAGTTTTGGTAAGGGCGTTATGACATCAAGGTGTTCAGAAGCAGAACTGAAAAAAAGCCATTCATCATAGAAGTGTGGTGCTGGTGAAAGTGGTGGTTTATACATACCAGTGGCAAGTGTCTGCAACGACACGACGGCGATGATTCGAATCGTAGTAGGAATCTGCTTGACTGATGTCAGTGTCAAATTCTTGACAAGTTTGAAGTGTGAGGGCAAGTATGGGCAGAAGGGACAAGTCAGATGGTGATGCATGTTTGTTCGTAGATCATGAAAGTCCGGTAAGTGTACCAGTCTCCAGAACGGTTGTGATGGACTCATCATTCGGGAGAGATAAAAGGAGATTGCATCTCACTCACCAGAGGTGTGGCTCGTTGCCGGAGTGGACGCATTGACTTGTACCTGCCCATGTTGAATCGCATGAGGTACAAGGTACAAGAGCCATGGCGGGTCAGAAGCCGCCGAGACGTGCTGAATACCATCTCATCTCATCCTCGTGGCAAAGAGGCCTCGATGCCGGACGGCATACGAGACGCACGTGAAGACATGGCAGGCGATTATGATGACTTGTGGTGGTGGTGGTGATGGAAGTGATGAAGTTGAAGTTGAAAGTCGGCAAGAAATTTTGCGAGTGATGAGAATTCTCGTCACGGGGTTGTCTTGGCGCGACGCTCCTTCCCATCCCCAAAATGATTTCTTCGCAGCTTTCGGTGCAAATCTCAACAAGATGAGCTGAATCAATCATTGACCCGCTCGTCTCCCCAGGGCGCGAGCTCAGCATTCCGAACATACCTACACCACACTCGCCAACTCACGACACGCATTAATCTCTCCAGGTATGACTTCATCCCGCTTCCTCCCTAACAGCAACTTCCAAATGATTAAGATACAATTATAATCTGTCAATCCCCWGAGAAGCTCTAGAAGCTCTCTGTGACGAGAACTAATTTAAGAGTTTATGATTCCTACTCGCTCAACTGCCTGCTCTAGCACCGACGACTTCATTCAGTCATAAGTACTAATCTGAGGCTCCAGAATCAACGCTGTCCCCGAAAGACATCATGGCAGACTCCAGCCTGTCCGCGGCCGTCCATGAACCGATTCCCATTTTCAAAGTCGCTCACCACTACATGCTGTACGATGTTAATGTTGTAACGCATCTCCGCAAAGAGCACAACATTTCCGGCGTTCTGATGGGCACTCTGCCGCAGGCGTCACAGCAAAACGTGTTTCTTGGACTTCCGCTAGAGCTCATGCCAGAGGAAGCGCGGTTACTAGTGGAGAAGAACGTCGCCTACATTGTAGACGACGTTGCGGAGCATAAACGTACTTTTCTTGGCAATGGCCTGGGCACGGAGGAGAGAAAGGCCTATCAAGCTGCGCTCAGAAAGCAGGGCGTTGGTGCAGCTCAGGAACATGCAAAGAAGGCGGACGAGAGGAAGAAAATTGGCTTGCAGAAAGCAGGCAAAAGTGGGGATTGGAACGACATACCAGAAGACATGTTTGAGCCTTCACGAGGTCGTAAAGGGAAGCCTTCTACGCGCCGACCAGACCCAGCGCAAATCGTCAAAGCGCCCCTTCCTTCGGGCAGTGGTAATGACGATGAGTCGCTTTTCGGTCCGCCTGCCAACGGTCCCCCAATAAGGACTGCAATCTCACGCACTTCCTCTCGGGGAAGTCCAGCTGGACCCGAGCCTTACGGTGTCACGCCTACAACTTCTCAACCGCCCATGCAAGTGCAGAAACCTGCGAGCGGGTCGAATATAGAACTTCCTGTCGTCCCGAATTCGTACCCAGTATACAAGCACCTGCATGAAATTGGATATTTCATGGCTCCTGGTCTCAGATTTGGCTGCCAGTACATGGCATATCCAGGAGACCCACTCCGCTTCCACTCACACTTTCTATGCAACGGTATGGATTGGGAAGAAGAGTTTGATCTCCTGGACTTGGTTGGCGGCGGGCGTCTTGGGACAGGAGTCAAGAAAGGCTTCATGGTGGGTGGCGAGGAGCCAGTGGTTGGGCAAAGTGAGGGCAAAGAAGGCAATGTGCGGGTCTTCTGCGTGGAATGGGGTGGCATGTAGTTGCCAGCGTATCAACTCCGATCAAACCTTTACACCTCCCTCTCGTCCACACTGTCTTCCAATCTGACGAATGTGCAAGACTCATGACGCAGTGCAGTGATGGTCGTGGCAGAGCTGCAAGGATAGGTAGGCTGCAAGGGGCCGAATACTCTACACACGAACCATCACGAGACCATGCGACGGTCTGCTTTGACATAGTTACAAAGTACAAGCGGTGAATCGAATCAATCTCGGGTGCATGATTCTTCTTCCAAAGCCCAAGCAGGCGGGGTACTCACGTGTACACACGTGGACCCGGCAGGGTCTTGAGGTAGAGCTGTTGCAGAAAAGTTGCCGAGTCACCGAGTGCGGGAGGTGGAGGTGGGGATAGGTCACTGCCCGGCGTTTGTGTAAGGTCTTCTAGCGAGACGCCTGGCAACTGCATTTCTAGCGCATCGTGCGCAATAGGAAAGAAAACACAAATGGAGGCTAGCCATGCTCGCACTGTGATTTGCCATTCTCGCAGTCGCCCGTCGGAGGGATGATCTCAGCTACACATTCACAGTCATTGGGAATGCCCACACCACAAATGGCCACCAAGGGCCTGGATGCGCTGGCCGAGGGTTCACAATACGCGCTGCAGCAGATGCAACAAGAGCAGGAGGCGCAGGGACAGGGACAGCAGGGCTCGAATGCAAATCATCGACACAGCTACAGCAACAGCAACGGCAGCATAGGCGTGCAAGAGACAACGCAGACGGACACGGGCGATTCAGCAAGCAACGGACGGACGGGTAGTGGACAGGACCAACAACCAGTACGGAAGCGCATCAGCCGAGCATGCGATCAATGCAACCAGCTGCGGACAAAATGCGATGGGAAGAGCCCTTGCGCGCACTGCGTGGAATTTGGTTTGACCTGCGAGTATGCGCGAGAGCGAAAGAAGCGAGGCAAAGCCTCGAGGAAGGATGTTGCAKCCCAGCAAGCGGCGGCGGCTGCGGCAGGAGAAGGAACAGATCACAGTCCACGATCTGGCACGGAGACTTCTGAAGGTGGTTCGGGACAACATGTGTCCAAGGGTATTAAGCGTCGACGGTCGAGTGCCTCTTTCCAGGCTCCAAGGCGGCCGGCGCCAGCAACATCGGGCATCACGAGCCAGCCGTCGAATGGGCCTCCTGCGATTGTTCGCGCTGGATATGAGCCGGCAGGAGGCAGCATTACCAGCCACCATCTTGGGGAGGGAGTCAACGGGATGCAACAGCGACAGGTTGCACTCGATCAACATACCACGACCATGCCCGTCCCCGGACCCAGGCTTCCGACAGCTCCAATGCCAGAACGGGCTGTCTCAGTTGGAATGGGAGAATTTAGCAGTATCGATGACTACCATCGAAGCATTCTCCAGGCTGGGTCGGCAATGACGGGACATAACATCCTGCACGCTGGGCCCACGCATTCTATGATTCAAGGTGGCACCATCACTGGCTATGGAGACAGCGCATATGCTATCCCTTCTCCTAGTAGCCCGCAGGGCATGGGCCAGTACCAACCTGGAGCATCTCCCTTATCTGCAAGCTTTCTTCGCCACTCACCAGCCGCCGGCTCACCGAATTGGATGAACTTGCCGTCACCTTCCACGCTTTATCCACATCTGCAACACATGCCCCCGAATCAGACCTTGCGCTACCCAGTGTTACGGCCACTCATACCACACATAGCGGCCATTATACCAATTGGGCTCGCCTGTGATCTTCTGGAATTGTACTTTCAAAGCGCTTCGTCGACTTTCATGCAGCCTCAGTCCCCGTATGTTCTGGGCTACATATTCCGAAAACGATCCTTCCTTCGACAAACGAATCCTCGTTCTTGTAGTCCCGCGCTCCTCGCGAGCATGTTGTGGGTGGCTGCTCAAACCAGCGAKTCGGCCTTTCTCACATCATCTCCATCTGCGCGAGGCAAGATATGTCAAAAACTTTTGGAGTTGGTTGTGGGTCTACTCAAACCACTCATTCACACGCCAATGGAAGGCACTCAGCATTACAGTACAAACACCGTGATCAACGGTGTAGCCCTTGGTGGGTTTGGTGTTGCGCTTCCAGGGCAGTCCAATGAATTAGACAGCGGGTCGCCTGGAGCAACTGCTGCCTTKGACGATGTAGTCACCTACCTCCATCTGGCCACTGTCGTTTCCGCAAGTGAATACAAAGCTGCAAGTCTTCGATGGTGGAATGCTGCTTGGTCTCTTGCGAGAGAACTGAAGCTCGGTAGAGAGCTACCTCCAAATCCCGAGCGACAAAATCCCGATGGCCCTGAAGCAGAGGCAGAGGCAACTGGAGAATCTGGCGCAAGCCATCCGAATAATCTCGCTCTTGGCAGTCAGCCGGGCTTTGTCTCCGAAGAGGAGCGAGAAGAACGGCGGCGGATATTCTGGCTGCTATACATGGTTGACCGGCATCTCGCGCTCTGTTACAACCGGCCCTTGTTCCTGCTCGACATCGAGTGCGATGGTCTGCTCCAGCCAGAAGATGAGAACATATGGCAAGCTGGAGAGTACTATCCAGGGGAGGGTCATGCAGATTCGACCTTTTTCCGCAGACGTGGGCCTGGTTTTGAGTGCAGTGGTCACGGTCTTTACGGGTTCTTCTTGCCTCTAATGACCATTCTTGGGGAGATTGTGGATCTGAATCACGCTCGTAATCACCCTCGGTTTGGCCTCCGATTCAAGAACAACTCGGATTGGGACGAACAGGCAAAAGAGATCTCCGGTCAGCTCGAGACCTATGGACGCAGTCTACAGGAGTTTACAGCTCGACATATGGCCGCGTCGGAGCCAAAATTGCCGCACGAGGGAAAGAACGGAAGCGATCTAGGTGCYCGAAGTCCTCACTCCGTCGCCTCGGCTCAGCAGCGAATGACCGAGACGGTGCTGCAGACGAAAATCGTGCTCGCTTATGGCACGCATCTCATGCACACCATGCATATCCTACTAAATGGGAAATGGGATCCGATCTCGCTATTGGACGATAATGATCTTTGGATCTCGTCGCAATCCTTCATATCTGCAACAGGTCATGCTGTCTCAGCTGCCGAAGCCATCAATGAGATACTCGAGTACGACCCAGACTTGAGTCTCATGCCGTTCTTCTTCGGCATCTATCTTCTCCAAGGCAGTTTCCTGCTATTGTTGATTGCAGACAAGCTGCAGGCTGAGGCGAGCCCAAGTGTCGTCAAAGCCTGTGAGACCATTGTGAGAGCCCACGAAGCGTGCGTGGTGACTCTCAATACGGAGTATCAGGTACGTTCATCGGTCTGGTCTATGGTGCGTGATACATGGCTAATTTGTCTTCCAGAGGAATTTCCGCAAGGTTATGCGCTCTGCTCTGGCACAGGTACGAGGTCGACATGAAGATTTCGGCGAATTAAGGAGACGTGAGGTGCTCGCTTTGTACAGATGGACTGGGGATGGGACTGGTCTCGCTCTTTGATCATGATGAATGTGAAGATGATTTGTATATGTTACGAAAAAGGTCAATACCCATGATGTTTGGACGGACAAGACGCGATTGTGCAGATATTAATCGAACTCGCTATGTGCATGCATACCTCTCCTATTCGATCAATGGGGCTGGTCTAGTTGGCATATTGTCTTGGGTGACCGGCGGCAGGGCGAATTCCATTTGGTTACGTACGTTTGTCTGCTACAGCCATCGATGGGAATTATACGAACACGGGAAATCGACACCCAGAGCCCAAATACCACCACAGGAGCTCAAGGACATTGCAACTAGTAAATAAGCCTCCAATGTATTGATMCAATAGTACTATAGTCATATATCGTGTCATCGACCCACCGCAGATTGGAAGTGCGACTACCCAAACCCTAACCCTAAATCGACATCCTGAATGCCCAAGCCGTCGAAACACACGACAGCAGGATCGAACTGGCATAACAAGGTAACGCAGGCTACCCAGGACATCAAATATTGTAGCCCAATACGTAGGGCAAGAGATCACCACCTCAGAGTATATTCTTTGGCATTGGAAAGGGTCTAGAAGTAGTTCATCTACACACCACCGCTCATATTCCACCCTTCGGACGGGCTCCCATGCACACCCACTGCACATAGGTCCGCACAGTCGTTATCAGAGCCCGCTGCCGCTGTCATGATTGCGTAAAAGCCTTGACTGAAAGTATCTCCGTATCAAGTGTGAGCCACCAAGGTCCAAACTATGTTCCGGGTATTCAAACAAACCTTCCGTTGTTCACGATACCGCTTAGAAAGAGAAGACCTGGTCCTCTAGCTTGCTAGCAGCCCTCGCCTTGTCAAACCCTAGCGACTCGGTCGCCTTCTTGATAGCCGCAACCATTGGTGGAGGTCCGCAAATCAGGATCTTGACGTCCTTTGCAGGAGCTGGAAGATGCTCCTATAAAGATTTCTCGTTAGCACACCGACTACAATAAAAGCCACAGCGGAACATACCTTGATCATGTCGGCCGTCACAAATCCAACGCCTCCCGTCCAYCCCTGGGGTGGGTTGTTCAGTACGTAGTACACGTTGAACCCCTCCTCCTTGTTAAGGTCATCCAAATCCTCCCGCAGCAGGATATCCTCCTCGTTCACGTTCGCGAAGATCAAATCAACCTGTGTCTTGTCACCGCTCTTACGTCCACGGCGAATCGCCTGGCAGATCTGCAGCATTGGCGTAATACCCGTACCACCGGCAATCATTCCAAAGCGTCGGACCAAGTTTGGAGTGTAAACCATGGCACCCTTGGGACCCTTGACCTTCATCGCGTCGCCCTCCTTGAGTGTGGCRAAGTGGCGAGAGAGGTTGCCGGTGGGGTAGCTCTTGATGAGGAGATCAAAGTAACCAGGGTGCACATCGCTGCTAATGGGGGTGTAGGAGCGCACGACTTCCTTGTCCTTCTTGACCTCACCGGTCTTTGGGTCGGTGACATCGAGGTTGGCGGCGAGTTGGATGTGCTGGCCAATGGGAAGACCGAGAATGGAAGTTTCCTTGGGAAGCTGAAAGCGGTAGATGGCGGTGTTGTGGGATGTCTGCGTCTTCTTGGAGATGGGGAACTCGGTGAACTCGGAGGCGGAAATGCAGACGTTCGGGTCGGATGGTGGAGCGGGTGCCTTGCCAATTTCCTTCGTTGACGTGTTGGAAGGTGCGGGTGCGGACGTGGGCGCGGATGATTCTGGGAAGAGGATGGTGTTAGTCCCGGTGGATGAACGGTTGAGATCTGTCAGTGAGATATAAAGGACATACGGTWGGCGAAGAAGAAGTAGCCAATGGCAGCAGCCACAATGGCCACTGCATAGGGGAGGTACGCCGACAACGACATCATGCTCCTTCCGTCTCTATGTTGTAAGTGAATGCAGGAGGATTGTTGAAGATGACGAGCTCGATATGATCTCGAAGCTCGAGGCCACCAACATTAACAATTTGCCGATGTCGCCGCCGAAAACATCGGCCGGCATCCGCGGGGAAATCTTCACAGTCAAGGTACCGCTTGCCTTGTTAGGTTAAGCAATGCACATCCTCCGCTCCATAGGTGCGGCTTCTGGCAAAAAGATTCACTTGGCTACCTTATTCACATGATGATTGTACCCTTCCTTCCTTTTCGAGCATTAGATGCCGGACATGCTTGTGGCGATGGATGAAGACAGCTATCCCGCGATTGATCTTGACAATCCCATCATCCCACTCACGGCTGTGGATCGTGAACTGCTCTCTATGAAAGATGAGGACTATCACCGCCATACTTGGGAGGATTTGAAAGAGATCATTGGTGGGTCTCCTGTGTAGGAATATCCATTGATGTTGGTACTCATCTCATTCCCCAGCAAACAACTCTCTCGAAACATTGAAACGACTCCCATCCGATTTGCGACGCTACTTCAGATGGTCGGCTTCAATCAAACAACAATATGGTGGCATTGTCCCTTTTGTGATCCAGGAGCGCCTTCACTGGACGCCAATCTTTCCAGAAGGCCCTCCACAGTTTGATCACATCTCTGACATACCTTTTGCAAATCCTCGGGACTTTGCCGTGTTGAGAAACGATTGGCCTTATGGATTCGAAGCAGGCATAACTCACCTCGTTGTTTGGACAAAGACCCCCATCGAGACTGATTCAGACCGGGGCGATGTCACTGCAGCTTCACGTCAAGTCGTTGAGGACTTTGTACGGAGGTACTTTGTCGCTGACTTGGAGAGGGGTGAGGAGAGGGTACAGTGGTTCAAGAACTGGGTCAGTCTACAGAGTGTCAGAGGATTGGATCATATTCATGTTCTTGTCAAGGATGTTCCTGAGCAGCTCATCGAGAAGTGGTGCAGTAGGAAGGACCTGTAAGGTCGCATTTTGAAGTTTTGTCGAATAGATGATAGAGCACTATAGATATGGTGGACGTTACATTTGGACGTGAGGCATATACGTCYTCATAGCCATTGCTAACATGTCACGCCCTGATATGAGAACACGTACATCTGGTCGATCGAGCGGACACGGTCGAATTATTGGTCCACATCAAGAGGCGGTGATGGGGAACCGGGGTTTGTACAAGTCCGTACGCGTCGGAGGATTTCCCAAATGTCGTCACCATTTCAGCTGTCATCCTTGAACCACGTCGTGAATGATCATTGATATTTACTACAAATCGGGCTGATATGTAGTAGCTTCCTCCCCCTTCAGCATTCTGTTCAACACCACCGTGCTCCAAAGCATCTCCGAAGCAATGGCGTCCATCCTTCATGGCCTGCTCAATGCCACAAACTTTCGCAACCCATTCCTCCGCACTCTCGTCCCCTCCATAGGATTAGCATATGGCATTCAAGCCGCCGTAGCTATCCCCTCCATCTACGCTCAAACGGAGCGCTTCTACGATCTCTCCGGCTCCTTTACGTACATCTCCTGCGCCGCCCTTTCCCTCTACCTCCCCACCATTCGTGCCCGCTTGGCAGCCCTCCCCGGCACCACAGGCCCAGCATGGCCAAGTCTTCTTCAAAGTCTGACCAGCAAAGGAGGAGTCAACGCCTGGAATTGGAGACAAGTAGTCCTCAGCGCGGCTGTGACTTTCTGGGCCGCAAGACTGGGAAGCTTCCTCTTCGCTCGAATCAGCGCAGACAACGGAGAGGATAGCCGTTTTGAGGAGATTCGAAAGACACCATCAAAATTCGCAGTGGCCTTCTTTGCTCAGGCTACGTGGGTTTCGCTCTGTTTGATGCCCGTGTTGGCAATCAACAGCATCCCGGCTACTACCCTTGCTGCTCTGCCTTGGTTTACCATCACGGATATCGTTGGTTTGTTGTTGTATGTGGGCGGTATTACATTCGAGGCTACTGCGGACAGGCAGAAGTCGCAGTGGATGAAGGAGAAGAAGGAGAAGAAGCATGAGGAGGACTTCCTCACTCGTGGATTGTGGAGCAAGAGTAGACACCCGGTGAGTCTATGTAACCTATCAATCCTTGAAGAGGCGTTGAAGGATGGTTTGATCAAAGCTGTGTGTATCGTGTTTGCTAACTTTGCATTAGAACTACTTTGGCGAGAGCACGCTGTGGACTGGAATCGCTACGACCGCAGCAGGCGTAATGCTGAGCAGTGTTGGTCAAGCCGGTATGGGATTTAGTGGAAGTGGCCTTGCTCGAGCAGGTGCCCTTGGAATGGCTGTTGTCAGCCCAGCTTTTGTGACGTTCCTCCTCCTCAAGGTATGTTTAAACGGCATTGATGAGTTTGGCACGCAAATTGACCATTCGATTCACTAGGTCTCCGGAGTCCCAATGAGCGAGAACAAGTACGACAAGCGATACGGTGACAGGAAAGACTATCAGCAGTGGAAGAAGGATACGCCGATGTTCATCCCCAAATTCTAGGGAGAGGTCAAGCGAAAGACCAACGCTCTAGAGAAATCAAGTGGAGAACGAAAACCGCTCTGGTCGATGGAGGCGAATGTACCAAATAGATTTAATGATTGCACGTCAAAGTAGCAAACCATAATCAACGATCAATGCCCATCCATTATCGTCACTTACCGCTGGAGCTTTTCGTACCGGCCTTGCATATAGTGAGCATAGCCAAAGGTACCTGTAATGTCGACATACAGGCACTTCGCTCGATGGAAGTAGCGTTGTGACGTAGAATTGTTTCATTCACGCCGTGAATTTCTGCAGTTCTCGCCGGACCCGCAGCGTTTGGCATTCGGAATGGCATGCTCGTATTCATCGTCTGGTCCCTACAACAGCTCACTCACGCCTAGAAAGTCGTCTGCGCCAATCGACTTGCGGCATTGCGAGCATCGATCCTGTCATCGTCTTCATCTTCCGCCAACTCGCCCAGACTGCTCGCACCGCTTACAGCTCTCTTCCTGCCGCCCTTGGAATCCTCCTCGCCAGCAGCCTCGCCTTCCTCTCCATCTTCGGGAACACCACCAGGCAAGCCACCGCTGATACTCCTGTTCAGTCCATCTGGACGTCGAGGTACACCAGACCACGCATCTCCCTTGGGACCTTGGCTGGATGCCATGCTAGAACGTTTCACCACAGGGTGTGCTTCTCTACCTAGCCGGCTCAATCCGCCCGATGCGTCGATGTTACGAACATCTGGTCGGACCTGCTCGAGGGTTGCAAGCGTGCGGCGCTCAGCTTCAATTTGACGAATCACGTACTCCCGAATACTGCTGCGCATTTCTCCCGAAGTTCTCGTGAACCACTTGCGCTTCTCTATCAGCAGGTTCTGGGTGACGCGCTGAGTCTTCTGCTGGAGGTAGGTCTCGTGGCTTTTGGCTTCATCAAGAGCCGAGATGGCTTCATCAACCTTGTCCCGCTTCACGCTGGACGAGGCTTTGAGTCTGTCTGCGGCTGCGAGCTTGCTCCGTGTGGCTTGTTGTGATTGGAGGAGTTCTCGAAGAAGTATATGCCGATTCGTGAGGGTTTCCTTGACAATGAATGCATCACTGCTGTGGTATGCCAATGGATCGGATAGAGTAGTAGCTTCTGCTGTGCCTTGAGCTGCGTGGAAGTCGCCTGTGTTTTGAATCACTCTGCCAAGCTTGCGGTAGGCATTGGCCAGACCTGGATGCATTTCTTGAGAAGATAGTGTTGCAACCTTGGTACCCAGGTCTGATTCTGCTGTGCCGAGTGCTATAAGTTGTTAGTGAAAGCACCTCCCAGCACGTTTAGCAATCACTCACATCTTCTACTCTTGACAACTCGATCCATCTTCTGCTGACTGTCCATGGTTCCGAGATAGAAAGCCTTGACAATCGGTCTGCTCTCCAAGAGCTCGGGTGTGTCATCTGGCGGGGGTGCAAACTGTTTCAAAACCTTTCTCCGCATGCCTGTCGCTGGCTGACGCTTCCTCACAACTGGGCTGTAGCCAAAATCACTTTCCACAAAGAAGACCATCTCTTCGTCCCTCATGAGCACTTCGTTTGAACAGACGACATTCAGCCATCGCTGGATGGCAGCTTTGGTACGGGTCTCATCCTCTTCAGTGCCCATGCCAGCACTGCTGGAGGCCGGAGGAACAGCTGGAACGAGAGCTTCGGGATTCGATGCTTGGAGGTGAGAGGCCAGCTTCTGGAATTCCGAGTGAGTACGGCGGATGTCACGGAATTGGGTCGTCCTGAACTTGGGGAGGTTGGTCTAGTTGTGTGTTAGTAGGTTGATATGTGTGGATAGTATCATCATCACATACGTGAACGTCAAACCGCAAGATGGAGTCCTTCTTCCCCGTCCGCTCCAGTCCGGTCAATTTAGCCTGCAGCTTGTATTGCGGCATATGCTGCCTCTGCTGTGCTGGCTGCTGCACCGAGTGATATCTCCCAGACGCGGGTCTCTTATTCTCCTCGCCGCCGGATTGTCGTTGCGTGTCTTGCGGGTGCGAGGTCTGTGACTGTTGCTGCCACTGTTGCTGCGGGGGATCGGGCGTCCATCCTCCGCTGTGTTGTGCCCCATTGAAGCTGCCTTCGCCAGATGAATGATGTCCCTCCACCCCGCTGCCCGAAGCCTGCACCGCCGGCGCGGGCAGGTCTTCACGCGGGACATCCCCACCAAAGCTGGCCCTGCTGGTCTCGGGAGATGAAGCCCATGGCGAGCTCCCCGTTGGATATTCCATGGTCGGTGTTGACCCGCTTACTCGGTAGCTGCTCTCGACAAAGGCGCGTTCGGATTGGCGGCGCTGGAAGCGCAAATTGGCCGGAGGAATGGGGACTTTGGCCTTGCTGTTAGTGCTGGAACTCGCGTCGCTGTTCATCACAGGAATGGCAGGCACTGTTCACTCAGCCTGCGACTGCCTCTGATCATCATGAATGGGTGGGTCGTTCGCTTGGCTAGACGTAGCTAGCTTCGGAAGTGCTCCCCGAGGCATGTTTCGTGTCTGCAAAGCCTAAGGCACTGTAGGGCAAAAAGCTGGGCACGGACAGAAAGGAAGCAGAGGCGAAGCGAAGAAGCGAGCGATTCCTGGAAGACAAGCAGATTTCTCATAAAACTCACCTTTGGCGCCGTCAATCGCACTTCTCATCACATATTCCGTCCGTTCCAGCAGCAATCGGCGTCGTGTTTCCGGGTGATGGTCTTCTTCGTCCGGGGTCTGCGACTGCGGCAACAGCATCTTCTTCGGCAGCAGCAGCGGCGGCGTGGGAGGTGGTTCGGCGGCATCAGATTGCGATGCAAATGCAGCCCCATCGTGGAGGACCGATCATTTCACACTTCATGTAGCCGCCAGCATGCACACGCCGACCAGGATCCTCCCAGATCCGCAATCGCAATTAACCGAACGAGGAACATCGGCATTATAGCGCACATTGATGCTGTATGTGACGCCGACTAATTCCCAATTCGATTGGCATTGATGCATTCCTTTGATACGCTCCCAATTCTTACACACACGGTAGGGCAAAACAACGACCACGGAGCGCATGCTCTTCTATTCCGGTCATACTCGTCGTATTGGAGGTAATCATTGTTATCTTGATGTCATTTCCTAGCACTATCAATTCCATCTGACACCAGCCAGATGTCGATGAAGGCAGCACAGTGACCGACTTCCTGCCTGCGGAACGTGCAAGGGGCATCACCATTCAATCTGCTGCCATTTCCTTTTCGTGGCCTCCCGATGGTGGGAGGAAATCACCTGCTTTACCGTCCGGAGCGCCAAGATCTTCCATCCCGCATAACATCAACCTCATTGATACTCCTGGACATGCCGACTTTACATTCGAGGTGCTTCGGTCGTTGAGGGTGCTCGATGGCGCGGTCTGCATTCTAGATGGTGTGGCTGGTGTTGAAGCTCAAACGGAAAAGGTTTGGAGTCAGGCTTCGAATTATGCTATTCCTCGGATCATCTTTGTGAATAAGCTGGATCGGGATGGTGCCGCCTTTGGTCGAACAGTGAAGGAAGTTGGTGCTCGGCTGGGAGCGTGGCCAGCTGTATGTGGTATACCCTGGTGGTCTGCCGATGGCCGCTTACAGGGTGTCGGAGATGTGGTGGGGTTGCGCGGGTTGAGATATCCTGAAGGTGGCGATGGAAAGGACATTCGTGTGTTCAGTATGAAGCAGCTCCAAGATGAGGACTCGAAACTGGCGGAAGAGTTGAAGCAAGCTCGAATCGCTCTGGTTGAGAGGCTTTCTGAGCATGATGATGAAATGGTGGAGCATTATCTTGAAGTTGATGAAGATCATCTCGCCATTACAGAGAATCAGGTCACGGAATCGCTGAGGCGGTGTATTCTGCAGCATCCGCAGCAGGTCGTCCCGGTATATGCGGGCGCCAGCTTCCGCAATGTTGGAGTGCAGCCTCTGCTGGATGCTGTTGTTAACTTGCTACCATCTCCAGAGGAAAGACCGGATCCTGAAGTGAGTCTTGGATCGAGCACAAAGGGCACATTAGGCTCTTTCCTAGCTGGGAAGCTCGATCTACCCAAAGTTGCGGCGCAGAGTGGTGGGAAAGGTGTGAGCAAGACAAAAGCCAATACTGCGTTGCAGACTATGGAAGCGTGTGCCTTGGCCTTTAAAGTGGTAGCGGATGCCAAACGCGGCGTGCTGGTCTACGTTCGTGTTTACTCTGGTACCATCAACAAGAACACGCCGCTTTGGAACACCAATCTGCAGAACTCGGAGCGGGCTCAGAGGTTGCTGAAGATGTATGCCAATGATGCCGTGGAGATTGATTCAATCCCTGCAGGGCAGATCGGCGTCATTCCAGGATTGAGATTTGCAAGAACGGGAGACACATTGATCACTTGTACTGCATACAACCCGAAGACTGGTCCGCCGCAGCCAGTGAACAGCTTGCAGTTGAGACCTATCAATGTGCCACCTCCAGTGTTCTTCGTGAGTGTTGAGCCGCAAAGTTTGGCGGAGGAGAAGCACATACGAGAATCGCTGGACCTACTCCTGAGGGAGGATCCAAGTCTTTACGTCTCTGTGGATGAAGAGAGTGGTCAGACTCATCTGGCTGGTATGGGTGAGCTACATCTTGAAATCGCTCGAGATCGACTGGTGAGTGATCTCAAAGCGAAGGCTAGGATTGGGATTATCGAGATTGGGTACAGAGAGGCTTTAACAGGCGGTAGTGAGGAGATTACAGAGACTTTCGATCGAGATGTCGGAGGGAAAAGCTCGAAAGCGGCTTGTTCAGTCTCTGCGCGGCCGATACAAGAAGGAGAGGAGCTGTCTGGAGAGGTTCATTCCCTTGCACTCCATGACGGTAACCAAGTTGTCATTTCAACACCCACGCTTTACGCTGATGGAAGTTTGATGGATGCCGACAGCAAGGGACTTCCAGAGAACCTGCCGATTCAAGTGGTTGTTCAAGCTCTTTACAATGGTGTCTCTGCCGCTTTGGCAAGAGGTCCAAATCATGGGTATGCGGTGCATTCCACTCGACTGGATATCACATTTGATCCAGCACGGCATGTCTTCCACAATACGACACCAGCAGCGTTGTCTTCCGCCGCGAGGCTGGCGGTGCAGAAAGCGCTCAAAGCAAGCTCTGCGATGAGCGAGACTGTGATGATGGAGCCGGTTATGCTCGTGACCATCAGTGTGGACGAGGACTCTCTCGGCAGTGTGGTGCACGACATCTCCTCTGCACGCGGCGGAAGCGTCGTATCTCTCGGGTCAGATGATGAAGGGGTTTCAGATCAACAGACGATCGATACGCGACGGATCTATGCTCCTCCTGATCCTTTTGCTGGAGGCCATACGGTGAATGATTCTGGCATGCACCAGGGTAGCTCTGCAAGACAGATCGTTGCGAGGGTGCCGCTGAAGGAGATGGTGGGGTATCTGAAGCACTTGAGAAGTTTGACGGGTGGGAGGGGGACGTTTACAATGGTTGTCGATCGGTTTGAGAGGATGAGTGGGCAGAGGCAACGAGGGGTGTTGAGTGAGATGCGGGGGGAGTTTGTTTGAGGAGGTGAGGGTGGAGGGAGTGTATGATAGGGTTGAGGGGTGGTGTAGGATATGGTGATTCTTCTCTACTGTCGTTTCTACAGCGCACCTCTCAAAGTTTGATCTCTGTAAGCATAGGAGCTTTCTTACCTTCATCGTCGTATTCAGGCGGGCCGTCATACAGTCGACTTCCGCGTTCCTCACGTGTYTCTCCACTCTGCCAGCTTGTGTCGATGAAGTGTGAGACCACCTGATTCATCCTTGCTCCCAATACTCTATAAGGTACCCACGTATTCAATCACCGAAAGTCAAGAATTGCTCCTATCCAACACAAACGTTTGTTCCCACAACATCCCTGGCTCCTTGGAAACTTGATCCACAATCGATTCTGATAATGGATACATAGTATGATGCGCCCTCCAAAGAGACCATGGAGTCCTCAAGTGGCAAGGCCCCGAGTCCATTATCATCCTTTGAAGTACATATGATGCTGASTGATATCTTGTCGACCTTGTCAATGCATAGCATCCATGATCCTTGGGCTGTGCTCTGGGACGACCTGCTTTCGACTCAATTCTTGAAGATGACAGCCAGTATTGCAAGTCGTGTCACTGTTCGAGCATCTGATCATAGCTTCGTCTTTTGCTGTTTCCGCATTGGTGTATAYGATATGTCGCTTGTTGGAAGTTGACCGAAGAATTCATTCACTCGGATACATTCCTCCAGACCGATTAGGAAGGAGCGATGTCAGGAGTCTCGAGATGATCTTTCGACTTCAGCGATCAGTAAAACGAGTACCGAAGCATGCGGCGGTACGATCGAATCTGTTAATGGTCTTGTCAAACCTGTCGGTGGTCACCCTTACCGCCGCTACCGCGATACTCGCCCAAAGGTATGAGCGCCCCTATCGGAAGCTATATTGATCAGGACTTGCTTACAACATCTGAGCGACCTGGCCAGGTCTAAGCAGTAAAACAGAAGTATATATCGTCGTTGAGGTGCTGTGCTGTTAGGCAAAACAGTGCAAAATTGGCCAAAAAATATCGAATTTAGCCAAAAAAAATCAGGAAATTTTGCTTCCCTGAAAGCTCATGCCGGGTCTCGAACCCCTGTGAACGCGTCAGGACTGGCGGAGGGTAGTATAGACTGTGGAGGAACTCACGGGGCCTCATCCGAGAGCGTTTATGTGAAGGATGCGTCATACCACTAGACCACACGAGCAGTTTGAAGGCAAGTCTGTAGCTTGATATGATGGCAGGGGAAGCCTTTTCTGTATATTATGAGCCTCAATGAAGTCCGGTATTGTGCCGTGGGCATCAGAGCCGACAACCCGGTGCCAAGACCTTTGATCGTTGCAAGAACATCCTCTCAAGTCCATGCTACCTTTACTTACGACTCTCGAGTCACCGATATTTGGCATCACAAAGGTGTCTTAGGGTCATTGTACTCAAGGAAGACCACCCGAGCAAGCTTTGCAGAGGACAATAATAGTTACATGCTGCCGGGTCTGTTAAAAGTCTGCACTGGGATTCTCACTTGGATTAAAAGCATGGAAAAGACCTGTACTATGCTTATGACGCAGACCATTCGTCAGTCAGCCCGTACATCACGCCTCGATGCTGTGCTACCTCGTTGACTCGCTGCTTCACGCCTTCGAATAATCAAGAAAAGGAGAGACACCATATACCAGGAACACATTTCATCCTCAGAATCGACAATGGCTAAAAGGGGCTGGCGAGAAACCTCTCCGATTCGCGTATCATGTACTCCACCTACGCACACTGGCCTGCATCCCTCTTGAACAGAAGCACATTTCATTGAGGCTTCAACGCCGAGGCCCGGTGTGGAGGATGGTACAGGCTTCTACAAAGGAGAAGAGATCCTGCTGTCAACCTGCTGTCAACCTGCTGTCTACCAAGTTTTTCAGCGACGGGTAGGTCTCCTTCTTCGCTATAACAAGCTAGGTTTTAGAAGGAGAAGAGATATCGGGATTTGTTGACGTTGGTGACCGTTGCGAATGCTTTTGACTCTGCCTTCATTTCACAAAAGCGCTGCTGGTGAGGAAAGCACAGTAAAGTGAGCTTGGTAGAGCATAGCAGGTAGAAACACCAGGAGTGATCGATAACGTACGAAGAGTCAAGTTTAGAGGAATCTTTTCATTGCTCATCGTTCAAGGCTTTCAAATTTGCCTGAGGCGCAGCTCGTAAGAATGCCAAGACAAATCTCTAGATCTCCCGAGATCCCGTACTCGCCCACCCCAGTCGACCTCCATCGAACACCTTCGTCGCGTCTCTACAAAACACGTTGCACCATCCCAGGACAGCTCAGTCGTTGTACTTTCAACTACATCGCAAAATAGGGGCTACGGCTATTTGCTGCAAATATCATTTTCCAGACTTCAGGTTCTACACGTCACAGACGGCTTCCGGCCGACAATTCCAGGACAATGAATATCCTACGATTGGGGAAGATAGACCGTCTCGACCTACTGACCAGCACCGGCCACATCCATCCTGATGTATCAGACTCACTGACACCCTGATGCCCTTACACCAAGCTTTGGCTGCAGCGAGCCGTTGGCGTCTTCACGCGTTTGTTGACCCGACCGCAGCTCAATGGCCATCATGCTAGATCCTACGATTTCCAAAGCCTCGAAGATTCTGACATATTCTTCGGCATGCGTTGGTGCACCACTTGCTCGATTTTTGTGACTGGAACAGCTGTTCTCGTTGTCACATTCCCTTCGATGGCTTGATMGCTAACGGGTACAGACATGTCCTGACAGAACTGAAAAGAATTTCCAAAGCAGCAAACGCTTCCTTTGATGCAGGGATGCCGCGCAAAGTCCAGCACCGTCTTTGACTCCATGTTTTCTCCTTTCGCTTTCTTCCATCACTCTTTACAGCAATCAATTTGCACAGGCGTTCCTTCGCCCAAAGGCCTGGCTTCAACCAGCTGTCCCTTTTTCTTTTCATCCTGCAGATCGACTGCCCCTTCATTGCACTGATCCGACCTTTGAACCCTTCTGTTTCCCATCACAAGAATGACAGACCACCTCGGACTCGCTCCGGTGGTCCGCACAGCGAGCCTCATTGCACTGCTGGATCAGACCGAATTTGACAATTCTACCTCAAAGACGGTTGGCAAGAAAGGCAGACGTAAGTCAGTTTGGAGCTGTCGCTCTCTCCCTCCTCGTCTTTTATGCTGCCGAGAGACGACTTGCGTGAAAGCGTCCCTTGCAGGGAATGCTGACGTTCATCTATCCATCTGCTGACGTTCATCTATCCATCTGCTGACGTTCATCTATCCATCTGCTGACATTCATCTATTCACATTCAGGCGTCATCACCCACCAGCTCGAACCTGACGTCAAATCCTATCGCACAATCGCTGCTCGCGCCAAGAGTAACCTGATTCATGTCGATGGTGGTCGCCCGACAGCAAGCTTTGCTGCGCTGCGAAAACTCATCTTCTCGCGCACCGTTGGACGCCTCCAAGCTGAGCACCTGTCGACCACACGCACGATCGAAGCAGATTATGCCTTTCTCTTGCCAAACGGACACTCCTCTCCCGAGCAACTCGCCATTTTCCGGGCTCTGTACGAGTGCCCGATGACAGTGACCAACGCCGACTTGGGCAAGATCATCAACATGGAGCCTTCGACGCTCACTTCTCCTCCAACAAGCGTTGGAGCACACTTTTACATCAGGTCATGGACGTTCACTGCATCAGAGTTCAGGAGAGTTATTGGTGCTATGGGTGAATACAAGGAGGCGATTGAGTGGAAGAAAGTGGTGGATCTGTACGCACCGAGAGACTTGAGTTCTGAGGCTGAGATGGAGGAAGATCTCGAAGACGTTTCGTCCGTTGATGCTCGCGATCCGGCCACTTTGCCGTCAACTACGCGCGACGCAGTCGAGAGTCAAATAACAACATCCGGAGATATTCAGACATTCAAGAAGGGCGGTACGGTGTACTTCACTCTACGCTACATCGGCCGCACCACTGGTCCAAACCGCCCATTCGATCGCTACATGGAAGATTTGACCAGGAAGAAGTACGGTGTTCTTGTCGAGTTCATGGCCACTGTGGAACGCCTTTATCCCATGGTCGCCGACGCCGCAGAAGTCCACCTCTTGTTGGATGCCTCYCTTGGTACGGGCGATCACGCAGCGCCGGTGGCGGCAGTCCTGAACCGCTTCACGCAGGATGACCGTGAGCGCCTTTTGATTGAGCACTTTGATCATGGTACTCTTCTCAATCGGCAGCACGGCGGCTATTTCTCCCAGTACATTGCGAGAGAGGAGGACCACCACATCTATCTCGATCTCAAGGTGAACTTCTACCACCGACTCCTTGCGCACTCGAATGCCACGCCATCCCAGACTTTCTCCGACATCAATCAGCATTTCAAGGGGGTACAAGACTGGGCAAACGACAACGCCGATTCCACTGGCACTTCACGCCACGAGTACACGAACGCCCTGACGCGAGTCACCGCCCAGCAGGCACAGCCCTTTTTCTACCAGGGCCGATCTGCGATCATCACCGTCGTTGGCAAGGACGTCACGCTGGACAACTATCTGACGGCACGGCCGTTCTTGGGCGGCGAGAGTCAGGCTGCAGAACTTACAGCGGCCAACATCAATCGCCTCGCGGAAGCCGAAGACTCCAAATACACTGCTGCTGCGTTCAATTCTCAGCTATTTCCCTTCGTGGATCTCTGGAATTGGATGTGGCACATCGACATTGATTGGGCTCGCGAGCTTTTGCGTCAATACTTCGAAATCTCTCGTCCTCTCATCATGGTGAGTCTTGGCAGAGAAGTCAACGAGATCACTCGCGGCAACTTCATGCACCGCCTGGGTGTTGCCGCATCGACATTCATCGGCTGCGTCGGCGAGCCGACCGTGCAATTCWACGACAGTGGCCCTGGCAAAGACGCCGACACGGCCTTTATCAACATTCCGCACTACCACCCTGGCGCCGACAAGTACACCGCTCATCAAGTGCAGCTTCGTCGCGTTCTTGATCTGACCTGGCAAGTAACTTTCATCACCGGCGACGTCCTCTTGAACCTCATCGACGAATACGGCGACGACCTCCCGTCGAGAAAGGAGCTTTGTCAGGAGGCGGTAACCAGTGTCCAAACCAACAAGAAGTACACAACATTCTGGAAGAGCTTCAACGAAGCAAAGGTAGAATTGCACTCGGCTTTGGGCACTGCTGGTCCGAATGATGATGTCCGTCCGGTCCTCAACCAAGAAGGCCGCTTACGCATGGCTGCTCTGGGCCAGGCTGAGCACGAGCCGAACTCCACGGCACGCCGCGCCCAGCTTGAGTTGTGGTGGCACAAAAACATCCCAGATCTGCATCTTGTTGTGCCTCACAATGATAAGAACCATGATTGGTGGATCAACGAGTTTCTTCAGCTCGCTGAAGGCCAGTTCTTCTTCATGCAGGTGCTCAACAGGCTGCCAGCTGATGAGTACACCGATCACCTTCTCCGCGCTATTCAACCCGCTTGGGCGGAAGACACATCTTGGATGGACGCCACTCAGAAGAGAGAAGCTGCAATCTTGCGTTGCGGTGTGTGGTTTCATCGCCCGAAGAAGGAAACTCAGAAGATGAAGACGTGGTACCCAGATGTGTACTGTTCGGCGTTTGACATGCAAGGCCGCCTGGTTGGTGTCGGTACAACTGGAGCTATTCGTTTGCATTGGACGAAGGATGATGGCACCAAGTACGTCGTTCAGATCCGAGTCAAGCTGGCTATCCCACCTCCTGGTCAGTCATATGCATCGAGATCTGTGCACTTCACGCGCCACGGTATCGACATTTGTGATGCTGATGGTAACCCATTCCGTATTCACACGGCCTCTACAAACACCACTACAAAAGCCTCGATTGCTCGCAATCTCTTGGCCGGCACTGAGGGCGCTTTCAACGTGAGCGGCGGTGGCCAGGTCACTCTCGATCTTTGGAAGGCTGTTCGTCTGGCTCACGGGAAGGAGATCCCAAATGATGACGCTCCTCCAGATGCCAAACAGTGGACTGTTGCCAAGGGTATTGCGGGACTCGCTCGTAACGCTACCACAGAGAGGCCGGCTCAGAATCGCTCTCCTGTCGAAGGAGATGCCATCTATCCGCTCTCAAAGTGGCTCGATGTACGCTTTCCCAACGGCGGTACGTTACGAACGATCTCAGCGACTAGGCTGTTGAACTCAACTGAAGATTTGCAAAACTTCATCGCCTTCCTCAAGTCGCCAGAGTGGATCAATCACCCATACGTTTTAGACTGGTGGCTTCCAAATCTGGAGCGTGCCACAGGTGGCGGTCCTGACATTGCTTTGCTGGAGAAGAACATTCGCATTCTCCGATCAACAGTGAAGAAGAGAACCACAGGCCGGAACTCTCTTCCTGGTAAGAACGAGATGCGCACGGAGACCATCATCGAAGTTGGCCCACCCAACTCAGCTGATCCCAACCCATTCCCTGCCGCAAAGCCTCCCGCAAAGAAAGCTGCGTCCAAGAAACGCAAGGTTGATGACGACGACGGTGATGGCGATGCCGACGACGGTGGTGATGGCGATGCTGACGACGGTGCGGAGACTTCTGCTAGGCCCAAAGCCAAAGGCAAGAAAGCGAAGACCTCGAAGGCCGCAGATGATGAAGAAGATCCTGTCCCCAAGCCACCAAGCAAGAAGAAGAGGAAGGCGAAGTCTACCGTGGSCGTTGATGAGGATGAGGAGGATGATGACGATGAGGCACCTCCATCCAAGTCAAAGGCCACAAAGACGGCCCCGCTCAGCAAGGCATCATCTACGCGCCAGATTTCAACTTCCACGAAATCGGTCTCCGATCTTCTTGGAGACGATGACGATGACGATATCCCCGCAGCTCAGTCCAAGCCAAAGAAGAAGAAGAAGAAGAGTGCCGCCGCCGCCGACGATGATGATGAGAAACCTGCACCCGCTGGCAGGCACAAGCGGAGATATGCGATACGTCCGCAGGATTACGAGGATGAGGAAATGGAGGGTTGAAAGGGTGCTGCTTGGTGCAATTTGGGCTACGAGTTGGAGGATTCAGGCTTGCAACGAAGGGCCAGAGCATACGTCGCATCTGGACGCGTGAGGAGCTGGGCTGCCTCAATAGGGTCTTGTTGTTGCAAGAGTTTTGGCGTTTGGGGTTTAGTAATGGCATCAGAGATTGGGCCTGATATGCCTCTTATCATTGCATTCTATCCTTTAGATCTTAGGAGGTAGCAGATATTGAAAATGAAAAGAAAATACCCAAAGTCTGTTCTGAGCTTTCATTTCAACAGCTGATTGTGAGCCCGAGCAGGTGGTGATTGGAGACAAGCGTGAGCACTCCACCAAAGTGAGGGTCCAACTTCTTTCTATTCCTATCTCTTGGAAAGGGAGCACGTGTTGGACTGAAGTTCTCCCAGAGGCCTTGAGCTCAAGAAGAACTCATCAATGCCTCCACTGCGAAGTTGCATGGCTATAAGGCCGTTTCCGCAGAGGCTTTCCGGTAAATCCTACGTCGAAATCCAATTTCGGTCCTGACACTCAAATGCTGTTCGTAGGACGGGCATGTACCGGCAACATTTACCTGGTAACACAGTGAAGACACTTCTCTCACTTGAATCACTTTGCAAAGTGCTGACAATAATCTACATAGAGTCTCACTTMCAAACCGCCCAAAACACGATGCATACCACAGCAGCGCTCACGGAGTGAACGCCTTACCAGCCGCATCGATCCCTCGAAAGCCAACACTTGAACCCGAGAGCGTGCGAAGCTGTTCCTGATCCAATTCCGTAGGATGCGACCTCGATCGGCTGGGGAAACGATGACTGGGACCGCAAAGTCTTCGCATAAAACCCGTAGCGGCAGGCATGCAGACGCAAATCACCGAAAGCAAGACTTCCACCATGGTCCACATGCCAATGATTGAGAATTCATATGTGACGTTCAGAATGTCTGCGTCGACTGCACTGATGTAGTTCAGCCTTACGATGGCGAGGGCGGTGACTATTACTCCGGCCATGAATACCGAGCAAAGACTGGAATGCGTCAGCGGTGTCAGTCGAAAAGTCGGGTTGGGGATGATACTTACGCAAATTTCTGCCTGACGCTGATTGGTAGCTCTACCAGCTTCGATATTGGTAGCATGAGCACGACGATGTCCAGAAACTAGAGAGCGATTAGTGTGCTTTACGAATGACAATGGCGGGATCATCTCACAATGCTAACGGCTGCGACTGCAAAAGCTTGAGTAGCGAGATCAACACATTTGTCCTTGCGCTCTTCTTTATCCAAGCTCCAAGCGACGCTAATTGGACTACCTGCGAGGGTGAGATGTTAGCTCTCGGCATCCACAACACGAGGAGCAGAACATACAGTAGAAGATTCCAATAAACTCCCCAACCACGGTCGCTATGATGATACAGGCTAGGGTGACCCAGCAGATTGACCGGAAAAGTGTCCATTGTCCGTAAGATGGCCAGGTCCGCATATAAAGTAGCACCATGGAGGCTTTACTGACGAATATGGCTGGAGCGTACAATGCCTGGTCGATGTAAAAGTACTAAACGATCCATCAGCATTATCCAACCGAGACTTCCAACTGATGCTTCTCCTTACGAATAGAAAGTTGGTGATCTTGGGAATGGTCAGGTTGAAGAAATCCTGACCGGACCCGTTTGCGACTAGGACGAAGTGGAATGCAACCATGCCAATGGCTAGCATGTAGCATACGAGGACCGTGTAGTCGTCTGCACCGTATCTATATATCCCACAGTCAGCGTCTGCTGTCAACCAAACGATGTGAAGACGACATACCCGGGTCCTCCAATCCATGGACAACGAGCCGACATACGAAGAATCATCATAATGCTAGCCACAACGAAGAGGGTCACGACGACTCCAGTTATGATGGGTGCTCTATCCCGCGCAGGAGCATCGCAGGCCAGAGAGTGGACCTTCATAGACACTGCCGCTTCAAAGGAAGGACACATGTACGCGAAGCAGTTGTCAAGGGTATGTAACACACTTCCATCAGTACACACGCAGGTGGTATTCGTGTCACAGGCGAAGTTCGCGCCGACTTGATGTAAGCACGAGGCCTAGAAGGATAAGTGTGAATACACTGGCTGGTCGATAACAGGTTGCCAACTTACACCGCATTCAGGAAGCGCACCGAACAGCGCTGGGTTGAAGCCATCACCGATGCTGGTAGTCTCGGCGACGACACTTGCCATACACACGGCAGCGAGACAGGCCGATATACCAACAATGGAGAAACGCATGGTGAGAAAATGACCCGCCAAGAGCCAATGCCGCGAGGTTGTATGTTCTTCCCGTCCGTTCCTTGAAGATGTTTGCGAGCGTGGGAGCACATTGTTGTGGCGGCCTCCCGTGCTCTATACTGCCACCCGCGATTCTACTAGCGACCACAGCGAGTCACATTTTGGCCGTGAAACGAGAAGGATGGCTGAAAGAAGAGCTGCCGTTTCTCGCTTGGAAGTTGCATGGCGTCACTGACTCGTTGAGGGCGGTAGAGACCGGTCGAGCCCAAACGTTGCGAAAATCCCACGAGTCAGCCACTGAAAGGTACTTATCTACCGACTGAAACATAACGAGCGTGCTTTGGTATGCTCGGTGTGTCTCTTAGACATTGCTGATGCCGGGGATTTGTGTGTTTGCATGTCCACTGGCCGAAAACGCTCGATTGATGYGGACTTGGGAGCAGCACAGTCCGTTTGAGGCAGCAATGCAGCTGGAGTTGCAAGAGGGAGACTCGTGTGGTGCATGGATCGCCCTGAATCCCCGCAATTTCTCCAGGAACGCTGCATGGCAGATCTGTGTGATGATCCGGCCACTCATATTAGCCCGGTGGAGGGAAGGGAGTTGTGGAAGCAAGACGTCGTATTCTGGTTGATGGAGAGCGGTTGCTTGGCGCGACATGTCGAAGGTTTGTGCATAGACGGTGGAAGGATGCGGCCTCCTGCTTGCCGTCACATGCATGAAACTAGGATGCTGCAGAAGAGGTGGTTTGCGTGACAGATCGAAGTGGCCAGAACGACAGCTTTCCGTGGTCGTTTTGAAGCCTGACGGGTGCATTGACAATACTTGTCCCATATTCGTGGGAATTGTTGCCATCAGGTCTATACATCGGCGTATGACCGATATTGGAACCGGTTGGTATCATAAGGCTCGTACCTCATGGTTAGTTCAGGATTAATGGTGTGATATAGAAGGAAAGGAGCGAATAGGGCAGGAGGCACCACATCCGTGACGGCCCGGTGGATGGCATTGACGGATCGTCAAGTAGCCCGATTGGGACTAGCGTACAATGATCAGCATGACCTCACGTGAGTGCCGCTTCTACCCCATTGTCTGATCCCATACTTCACATCACCATCACCCAGCCTTTTCTGGTTCGCTGCGGGCCATCAAAAATCGGTCAGCGAGCATGCTTTCGACGCGTGTAGTGCGCGGRCCGTAGGACACGCCGCCAAGGTGGTCTGTCTCCAACGCGTTCGCTCTGGATTATCCTTTTCGGAAGGCGTTAGTACAAGACCGCCGTTCGAAAGGCCTTCCCTTCCGCTGAACACCTCCAGAGCAGTGATGCAGTGTTGTGAATACGCAGCTGTTCCACTTGTTGGCTGTGACCTCGGTCGTTTCTGGAAAGACCTTGACTTACAACCTCAAGCCATATTCTGCGGCGGTTCGCATGACTGACGCCGACTTCCAGTTCTCGAATGCATCGGAGCCTATGGTTGATGTKGGCTATGCATCGTACCAAGGCTCACTGAATGCCAGCACAAAGATCGCGTCTTCCAAGGGGTGCGGATACATAATTTGAAGAATGTCTCCGATCCGTTATCGCTATTAACAAGCAGCAGCAGCCTACGTTATGCACAGCCACCAGTAGGACCTTTGCGATGGCAGGCTTCTCAGCCTCCAGTCATGACTCGGACTCGAATCATGTCCGCTCTGGAGTTTGCTTTGCCGATCCCCAGAGCAACAGGCGTATGGGTTAATTTGAAGAGTCAAACCAGACTGGAGTGTTGGAAGACTGTCTGATCTTGAACGTTTGAGCACCATCCAATGCTTCAAGTCCACCATCCAATGCTTCAAGTCATCCTCTGCCAGGTTTGCTCTGGGCTCTCTCTCGGGGAACAGTACATTAAAGCTGACCGTTCCCATCAAAGCGGCGAGTATGGCGAATCGAGTGGGAAGTTGGACATGTCACATCTGATCAGCGCAAAGCAGAACACCTTGATTGGTGTTTCAATCAGATATAGGGTTTGTGGCTGCAAGCTGCGAATTCACCACTCCTATCGTCTAGTTTGCTCTCACAGCTCGGCGCCTTTGGATTCCTCTCTCCCGACGAGTTCTACAGGAAAGCAAGCGTCATTGCCGGTCTGCTGGATCAACATCTTGCCCTTCAATGGCTATGGGAACACATACACCTATGCAACGAAGACCGAGATCGAGTCACAATAGGTGGCCTGAGCGCTGGCGGTGGCTCCGTCATGCTCCACGGTATGGCCTATGCAGGCACCATGGGAGATCGGCTACTCGCCAACTCATTTGCGGCCTCACCGTATCTTCCTGCGCAATACCKTTATGATTATGGGGTCGCGACACAAGCATACTTCGCGTTTGTGGCTCATTTCGGCTGTGATATCAAACAGCCTGTCGGGTCAGCAGCGCCCATTCTTCGAGTGCCTTTTTGGGCAGTCCATGGATGCCCTGATCAACGCAAGTGCGATGGCATCGCAGTCTGGTATTCCAGATGAATGGGCCAAACACACATCACAACGCAATGTGTTTACTGATACTGGTTGTTAGATGAATGGCAGGAATCTGCTCGTTGGCAATAACGCCGAAGACGGTCACGACTACAAACCCACCACAAAATGTCCAAACTGAAGCTGATGTGGTCAAATACCTTCGTCCCTCATTCCCATCTTTCCCGGAAAATGACATTTCAAAAGTGCTCTACCACTACCTCACTACGGACGACCCTGTAGATCCTCACGCACCTCTCTTTGCGACAAGCGGTGATTACGGACCTACAGCGCTCAACCAAAGCGCAATATTTCGACACGACAACAGCAGAGGGCAAACAACATCCATGCTGGAATGATCTTTGTGGGCTGATTACGCAACAATGACTGTGCACCAGACTGATATCCTACGAGATCTGTCCAGCCTATTGGCTTGCTGAGGCATACTCCCACAATGGAGGCAACGCTTTCAAGTATCAATTCTCTGTGCCACCAGCCGTGTACGCCGCCGACGTCAGTGCGTATTTCTCCCCTCAGGATGCGCCGGGCGGAAGAGGAGTGCGGTGCGTCTTTGGAGATCCATGGGAGATCTGATCCCGCAATGAGGACTATTGCCGGCGCCGACTGACTAGGACGACCTCGACATCTTCAATCTTAGCGAAAAAGAAGCTTTTGATCTTGCCTTGATACTCAGGGTCTTTGAAACTCGCTTCGAAGTTTCTGACGAACGAAGCAATGTACTTGTGGGCTTCGACAAGCGCCAGATTTTTCCCTAGACAACCCCGAGAGCCTCTCCCGAACTGCAGCAGTCAGCCATGTTCGGAACGGCACATCTGGTGTCGAGACTTACCGTCATCAAAGAGTCTTGGGACGGTACTGAATCTGCAGATTCGTCCTTTTCAATCCATCTTTGCGGCCTCCATGTGTTGGCGTCAAGACCGAAGACTTCGGTGGATCGATTAGCGGCTGTAGGGCTCACGCTGATACTCACACCTGGCGGAATCAGATAATCGCCAACCATGGTCGCAGAGGTCAACGATTCTCTCGGCAATTGGTACACTATTGAAGGCTTTGGTTACGTTAGAAACACATCATCACCGGAACGCATGGTCTGTACTTACGTGCAGTCGCAAAGACTCCTGTATCACGGCGCAGAGAAAGGGCAGTTTCGCAAGGCTGGCATACTTGATCTCCTGATCATTGGATAAACCTGACTCTCGATGCTCGTTGTCAACTTCTTGCTGCACACGCCGGTAATCATCCGGATTTGCGATCAGATATCTGAGGGCAGCCACAATCAGCGTCCCCGTAGTGTCTGCTCCAGCACCGAGGACGTTGCCAATCTCAGAAGCTACCTCCTCGTCGGAGGCAGGCTTGCCATCCATATCAGTCATCTCGAAGAAGCACTGCAGTAAGTCGCTTCTTCGCGGGGTGTAATTCGTCTGGGAAATTCGGCCATCCTTTACAGCTCCATCTATCCAGTCGCTGATTGCGGCAAAGTTCGAACCTAACTTGGTCATGAACCACAGGAAGTAATAGTTGGCGAACCATGTGCTCTGCCCGGGGAGGTATCCGACATTGGAGTTCAGCCAAAATCCCATGTGGTTTGATTCGATGATGCCGTTCACATCCTCACCGCGTTCAAGAAATCCTGTGGTTTGTCCGAGCGCCAAGCTGCTGACGACTTCGTATGCGAAGAACATTGTCCATGCATCGAGTCTTACGGTTCGGCGCTCGCTGGCATAGCGATGCAATTGCTGCAGACTGAGATTGACGACATCATCAATGAGATGTTCCATGGTCAATATGGAGCTCATCGAGTAGAGCTTGTGTACTCGCTTTYTGAGGAAACGATGCATCTCATGGTGGCGGGTAGTGAAAACGCTTTCTGCACTTCCTGCACAACACATCAGCGCGCTGCTATTGTATCGTTGCCAGGCTTACTCTTACCAGCATATCTCCACGTATCATACCACGAGGTCTGCCGGTCTCAGTACAAGAAGCTACATACGAAAGAGGGACCTCTCAACACACCTTTGAATACTTCCCATCGAATCCATAAACCCGGCGAATCGCGTCTTGATCCGTAATGCTCACCTCGTTAGGTGCAATCCTGACGACGGGTCCATGTTGATCATGCAATGCGATGATGTCTTGCATCCATCTGCCCTGGAAATACTTCAAGTTCCTCCACGCACCAGTAAGCGCTGCGACGCGAGGTCCTGGAATCGAACGGAGGGCAGCATTGCGAGGACGAACAAGTGTCGCAACGATGAGTGAACTGATGGCTATGGCAATTGCGCTGATCCAGGCTTGAATTCCCAAAGACAGCATTCTCACGGCTGGATGGAACCTACAAAGGAGTTAGTTCGCTCGCATCTGCGTACTAAGGTATCCTTTGAGTGGTTTTGATCACCAATCRCTATCCTAATGAGATTCGGGTCACAGCGAGAGCTCCTCACTACTACCACTTCCATCCAGCTTCCTTTCTCTTCCCAGTCGTTTGYGTCGGTTGGGTCACTTGGGTGCTTTACGTCACGGTTACCACAAGCGTTGTTCTAACTTCGACATGCATGTGCTAAAGGACTGCACCACAAAGTCAAATGTGCAATTCCCGGTTTGKGCATACCCGAGGACGTCGAGATCTGCGGGATGCTTCCATACCTTCCTTCCATGAAAGTTACACGACTTAAGATCACTAAGATCACAACCATCTTTACGAAGCGAGATGATGGCGTACTGCCAGAGTGCCTTGACTGTGACGAAGAAGATAGAAGAAGTTGCCCGCTCCGAATCTGGAAAGACGACTTGCCACAGCGTAAAACCTGCTTACAACAAAGATGCCACGGGTTTGGAGCTTTACTCAGAGACCCTCCCAGGTTTGCTCAGGAATCAAGTACTTGCCACACCAGACGCCTTCGCCTTGGATAGCTACGCTTGCAAATGGACCTATGCAGAGCTAGAAAGGAACGTCTCCACTGCGTCAGACCTCTTCAAAAGCCATGGTGTTCGATCAGGAGACAAAGTTGGACTGTACTTTCATCTCTCGCCATGGGCTGTTGTCAGTATCTTGGCAACCATGAGACTCGGGGCAGCCATCGTTCCGGTTGACCCAGTTCACCCTCCTGCTCGAAGAAAGACTATGCTTCGGGAAGCAGGGGCAGATAAAGTTATCGTAGAGGATAGCAGCTTTGTTGACGATTTGCTGGACTCCGGGTTCTTGCCGATCGATGTCTCTGTGATTGCCTCACTTCTACACAAGACCACTTCAGCACTTGTTGCTGATGAACCAGAGCCGGACCCTGGATCCGACGCTTTTATTGCATTCACTTCAGGCTCGACTGGCACACCCAAAGGCATTGTACAAACCCACGAGGCTATAGTCACCATGAGCAAGGCATTGGCCCATCGATTGCACGTGGATGAATCGTCTCGGGTCGCACAGTTCCATCCCTACATATTCGACGTCGCTATGATGGAAATTGGAATGTTTCTCGCAACAGGCGCAACGTTATGCATATCGAAGAGGAAAGACATGATGCTGCCATCCCCTGGAGAGGTTGGACAGCAATTGGCCAAGGCGAGTATCACACATATCACCCTGTCACCGACGATGCTGAACGCGGTGAATACCGAAGATGTGTCAACTCTCAAAGTCTTGAGTGTAATGGGCGAACCTTTGGGCTTACTTGCTTTGAAGAAATGGGCTAGCAACGACAAGTGCATCTTCTATCAATTGTGGGGATGCACTGAAGCAAGCATTCTCCAATCCATTACAACGCCAATCACTTCATCTCATGCTCCGCAAAACATCGGAATGGCAATCAACGGAACCTGTCGTTTATGGATCGTAGATCCTACAGACATTGATAGACTGATGCCAACTGGAGAAGCAGGCGAGCTTATCGTCGAGAGCAGAGTTCTTGCAAAAGGCTACCTCAATCAACCCAAAGAAAATGCAAAAGTTTTCATCAGAAGAGCCTCTTGGATGGACATCTCCTCCCGCGGCACGCTCTACAAGACTGGTGATCTAGCTCGAAAGGAAGCCGATGGTACCCTCACCTTTCTAGGTCGGCTAGATTGCCAGATGAACTATTTCGGGGAAAGGATCGAGCTTGGGGAGATTGACTATCACATCAGTCAAGCTCAAACAAGTCAGATGCTGGAGTGCTTCTCTGAATTTCATGCACCAAGTAAGACTGTCGTGGGATTTGTATGTGGCGCAAGGAAGACTGCAGTAGAGCTGGAAGGAGACTCGGGTCTGTTATTATTATCCTGGGATACGGCTGTCGTGCCCAAGTCTACGATGCAGCAACTCACGAAAGAACTTGTCGAGAAGGGAGAACTTCCTGAGTACATGGTGCCGCGTTTCTGGATTCCTATTCGTCAACGGCCATTGACAGTATCGGGAAAGACTGATARGTCATGTCTGAGAGACGTCATGCAGAATCTGACGGCAGCGCAATGKGAAGATTGTCATATTCCTTGCAGGACATCACATAGTGATCTAGATACAGATGAATAGCTAGATGCTGTGTCTGAGACCGATAAAAACAGCACTGGTCGTGCATGCCGCGAACGGAGACATCCAGTTAGAGCCCATCTCTTCTAACTTACATGAAGTCTACGATCCAAAAGTTGAACAAACGCCACAGCTAGCCTTCTATCGAGCCCAACAGCGCCTCAACATCCATCTCGAAAGCTCGACCTTCATCCAAAGCCGCCACACTTCTCATGAGCTCCTCAAACCAAGACTCGGCCTGCGTTGGCTCCACCACATCGCCCGAGAACAGGAACTCCACTTCGAACTTTCCAAGATCGTCAGGACCTCGCAGCGGGGTGACGAAGACAGTTAGATCTTCCAAGTCCATAGTCCGCTCAATCATGCTTGCGTGACATTCAACATCGCCAATGGAGAATGTAGTCCTTGCCTCGAAGCCGCGATATTGGACGCTACTAGTCATTCGAGCATTCTGTGGCCAGTGAGAAGGCTTGCACTCTCCCAGAATTCTCTTAAATCCAAGCGTTTCATGTTTGGCAGTCTCTGCGTGCTGATTACGGATCTGGGCCAGGAGTTGCCCTACTGTCTGTCCTTTCGGGAAACGGACCACAACAGGTATATCATTCAGACAGGCTCCAACGAGCTTTGAGATATCTTGACCTTTGGGTAAGCTGATTTGACGGCCAGATACGATTTGGTCGAATACCACAGCTCTCACGTGGGAGGCTCTTGCTAAGACGTATCCCCATGCGGCTTCGAATAAGTGTGCTGGGGTGAAGCCAGCCGCGGGCTTGAGAGATATGATGCGGGTAAAATGCCTATTCTGAGGTTTGTGGGTCGAACTCGATCGTTTGATCAGATCCGTAAATGGGCAATCGCGGAGTAGATCTGTAAAGTACTTCATTGAGGGCGCAAGGTCTCGCAGGAGGACAGCACGAGCGTACGTCGAGTATTGAGGAGCGGCGGTGACCATATGTCCAGAGTATGTCTGGGCAAGACTGTCCCACAGTAGCGGTATTGATAGACCGTCAAACTGAGCGTGAGACAGTCGTAATACAATCGCTTTAGGTACGCCGGTCACCGAAAACAGCCAGAACTTCGTTGGCACCTGGTCTAGACCGATATCGCTGGTTGCGGCATGGTTGATCGCTTCATCAAGCATCTGTTCACCCGCAAGGTCTTGCAGCTCTAACGGGCATTGTAGATCCTTCAGCACAACTTGCAGGACTTCGCCGCCTCGTCGAGTGAACAACGTGCGTAAGACGTCATGCCGGTCAACCAGTTTCTGTAAAGCGGACACAAGCTTCGACGAATTGAGTTGTCCCTGAGGTTTGAGAACAAAATGATAGACGAAACTTCTCTCCGACCCGGTCCCAAGGTCGATCGCACGGCTCTGAGAATTCGTCGTTGGTAGCAGAGCCTGCACTTGGTCGGCTGCGAAACCTAGAGACTTGAGGATAACCTGGGTATCAGGAGACGTGCTCTGATCGTCGTTTCCATTGACTTCCAGATCTTCAACAGTAGTTGAAGTTGACTCAAGGGTCTTGGCAAGCGTAGATAAGTCATTGGAGCGAATGATGTCTGCGGGAGAAATTGTCAAGCCAGCGCCGCGTAGTTCCTGTGACAGCTGGATGGCACCCAGAGAGTCACCGCCAAGAATCGTAAATACCGAGCTGCCGTCGACTTGTTCAGCAGAGACCTTGAGAACTTTCTCAAAAGCCTTGCTGAGCTTCAGCTCAGTGTCGGTGGTCAGAGGCCTTGAGTTCCTGCCAGACTGCAGCGTAGAGAAGGCTGCAAGCTCATATACCTCGTAGTTCGCGCTCCATGTTCGTAGTATTTTCCGGTCGAGTTTGCCTGTAGCAGTACGAGGCATTTGAGCGAGGGGAATGAGGTATGTGGGTCTCATAAAGCTCGGTAAAGACTCTGTCCAGGCTTGAGCTAACGACCCCTTCGTGCGATCAAGCTGCGTTTTCTGAGAGCTTGATAGTGTGATATGATCTTCGAGCAGCTTCGCGTCAAGGCCATTGATAAAGCTACCTCCAACGATGAAGATAGCGATCGATGGTCGATCCTGACCACGCGGAAGGATAAGCTCGGCCACCAGTTGGGTAGACTGCTGCAGGGAATTCAAGGTTATGGCCTCTATTTCGCCAAGCTCTATGCGTTGACCTCTGAGTTTTACCTGCAGCGGATCAGTACGTCCATGCACCTCGAGCGTACCATCTGTAGCTATTCTCCCAAGATCTCCTGACCGGAAGAATCTGGTCGTCGTCGGTCGGCTCAGGCCAAGCTTTGAATGCCAGTAGGGAGCGGGCGGGAATGCTTTTGCTGTCGCCTGCTCGTTGCCCAAGTACTCGGAAGCCAAGGCATATCCTTCTACCACTACTTCGCCAAGCCAACCAGGCGGCACGAGGCGATCGTAATTGAGGGCATCGACTACCCAGTATTGATGTGCCGCCCCTGGGCCAACTGAACGGCTCGTCACAGCGGTGTCAGATTGGGCGCAAGACGCCACAGTGTTGGTCTCCGTTGATCCATAACCATTGCAGCTGTCGTGTAACGCTGCCCACTTCTGAGCAGTGTGTGCAGGCAAAGACTCAGATCCTACGAGCGATCTTTGTCTAGGCACGAACTTCGTGGGATCTTGAATAGCAGCTGCGGACGAAGAAATGACGAGCATATTGCTCTGAAAATGGCGTACACAGCCTGCTAGGTCTTGTATGCGATCTTCCTGTCTGGGAACGCACAGACATCCTCCCTGGAAAATCGTGAATAGCAGCTCCGGAATGGTACCAGCGAATATAAGTGGTGCGTTCTGCAGCGTCCGGGTCTGACCGGAGAATCCGAGGAGTTCCGCTTGGTGCAGAGCGCCGGAGCAAAAGGCAAGATGGCTGTGAACAGCAGCTTTGGGCTCTCCTGTACTGCCACTTGTGAAGATTACATACGAAGGACCATTCGTGTCAATCGAGGTTGGCAATTGGGACTGGTCAACCATTCGCGACTGCTGTTGGTCGTTGTACTCATCGATGGTCATGATACGTGCCGAGATACCATGCAGTTGATCCCGATGGCTTTCTTGGGTAAGAATGAAAGATGCTTGCACACGCTCAACAAGAGTCTGTAGGCGAGCGATGGGATGAGTCGGATCGAGGAAGACGAACGCTGCACCGGCCTTCCACGTTGCGAGTATTGATACCAAGGCCCACTTTGAGAATTCAAATACCAGAGGTAAGATAGTGGTAGGCCGGACGCCTTCTCYAACGAGATACTCTGAAAGTTGCGTCGACTCTTCTTCGAGCTCGGAGTAAGTGAAGCATCCGTCCCATGCCTCAACAGCTGTCTTGCCAGCCCACTGTCTGGCGGAGCGCCGGAACAGTGAGACTGCATCTATAGCATTAGGTGGTGGGATTGGATGGGTTGCATTAGCCAAGAGCCATTGAATATCGTCGTCGCAGATTGTCTGGATCTGGCTCATTTTGCTGTGCGGTGGAGCTTTGGACAACTGGGAGTAGACATGACTGAAGACGTCGTGAAAGGTATTTGCATGACTGCCGCTGTACTCGGCTTGGATTTCCCAGTATTTTCCGTTGCCCGTTATCCGGACGGAGTCATTTGTACTCTCATAGGGCAAGCCGGGGTCTCTCAAGGCTGTTGAGGAGTCTACTGTCGCGAGAAGAGCTTCGACCTCGTCGTCGTCGTTGATTTCGAGGTTGATGTCAAGTCTTCTCTGGATGGCTTCGTCCTTGATATGAGCAGAGAAATACACTTCTGTGCTCATCCGTTGGCGGCTTTGTAACACAGCGCATGTCAGGATGATGATGCGTGTTTGGCTACCGGATGGCAGGTCGAGAGCCCTTACACTGGCCTTTTGTACCACCATGGCGGAAATGCGAGATGGGAAACCTACCAAGGGAAGGGTTTGCAGCATGCATACCGTACCTACCCTACTTACCTAGCACACAAGTCGACATGCGCTTGGGAACAATGAGCTCATCCACACGCAAAGTTCATTGGCCGCGTCAGACTAGAAAAGTTTCGTACATACCCCACATGTGCAATGCCCGGAAGCGGCAGCGCTCTTCGCGGCGAGTCATCATTGAAGCTGTTCGGGTTGACGTCCTATGCTCTGCACAGAATCCTGGTATTCGACGGTCGATGAAGTGGATACTGCAAGCCGGCAATGTTGATGTCGTGCTGGAGAAGGGTTCACTGCTGGGTGAAACTTCGCCAAGCCTGTCCACCTCCTCTGCCGAACTTCACCCATGTACCTTCCATCACACGTGCCCTACACACTGCGGACTACCAAGTCGCACTTCCCATGGCAATGCTGAATGCGATTTGAGCGTATGGAAGATATTCTCTCCCCTTCTCCATCCTCCAGCTCATACCAAGCAACATGAAAAACACCTTTTCTTTCGCACTCGTAGCGCTTTTTTTCTCTTGCTCTGGCGGCTCCTAAACTCTCAAAGACTTGCACATTCAAGAGAGCTGGTGACGTAGCTTTTGGCTCTGATAGCCAGAACGGAGAGTGAGAAATAGCTCATCGATGACCAAAATCAACGCCAACAGGACTCAGAACTACCGGTAGCGCTGGCGGCACGACAGCAACAGTCTCTTCGCTCGCTGCCTTTACCCAAACCGTCACAACCGACGACCTGCTGTGATCTACATCTCCAGAACGATAACTGGCTCAACCAAAGTTCGGATGACCAGGGACAAGTCCATCATCGGGAAGGACTCGTCCACCAAGCTCGTCGGTATCTCTCTTTACATCGACGGTGTATCCAGTGGGCGAGTGCGAAGGGGAAAGCATCGAAAAGTTCTCGAATACAATTGATCATGTTAAAGTCTTTTCGTATTCCAACACCTCCGGCATATCAACACYCCCCACCCTAAGCTTACTCCAGTCGCTTTCAAACCCCTTCTCAACATGCGGCCAGGGGCCCACAGGTGTAATCGCCAGAGGATTGATATCTCCATGACTCTTGGTGTAGTTTTCCTTGATATGGCGAAAGTCCGTGGTGTCCTTGAATGCCCCATGATTCCAATACATGTTCTTCAACCAGTTGTGTAGCACGGGATAGCTATACCTGATCATGCCAAGGTTACACTTGAAGTGCTGGACATAGACTGTATCGAAACGAATCAAAGTCGCGTATGTCCGAACATCAACTTCAGTCATTTGTTTGCCGAGGATGTAAGGGCCGCCGGATTTGGCGGCCACCTTTTCCAGCTTGTTCAACATGGCGAATACTGCGGGCAAGTTCGTTTCGTAGCCGGCTTGGTCTTTGGCGAAGCCTGCTTTGTAGACTCCTGTGTTGAGATCTCGTTGGAGCTGCTCGCCTAGGTGATCAATCTCCGGCCGGAGAGGCGCAGGATAAAGAGTGATGTCCTTCAGCTCTTGTGGGAGAAGAACGTCAAATCCAGTCTGCAGATCTCTCAAAAGTTCATGCGACTCGTTGTTGACAATAGTGTTGAGTTTCTTGTCCCAAAGCACAGGCACACTGTAGCGGCCTTTGTAGTCCTTGTCGGCTTTGAAGTACAATTCGTGCATATATCTAAGTAAATTAGCAAAACGGACGAACTCCTGCGCACGGTAAAACATACTTGCTACCAAACAATCTGTCCACAGTGGCACCTTCGTAAGCCTCGTCGCCTTCGACATTGAACTGCCAGCCTGGCCRGCCATTCTCATCGCCCTTGGGATATGGCTTCACAATGCTGGTCTCAATCCCTGCGTACTTGTCGAGCTGCTTGAGATGGCAGATCAGACTCGCACGATGAGCAAAAGGACARAAAAGTCCAATGTAAAGGTGGTAGCGATCTTTCTCGGGCTGGAATGGCCCATCAGGCGTGATTTTGCCGTGGAATGAATCATTGGCTTCGGTATGCCAAAGCGAGAGGATGTCTTTTGTTGACATTGTGCGAGTATTGGAGCCTGTTGACGAGATTGTCCTGGTGATGTGAGAGAGACGCTGGAGCATGGATGAGGACGGAAGAGATAGGAAATGATCAAGCCCTACTATCGTGTCGTCAATGGGACCTTTCACTCCTCATCACTGATCAAGAATTACAAATCTTGCATGATGCTCTGGAGTTGTTGGAGCTGAGCTCACCACTGAGGAGACGGCGGCGCGGTTCCGCTCCTGCCGAAGCTCGGCCTGGCAGCGGATCTACCCGCAGAACTTTTTCCTACTGACTTCGATGTTGAGGTGCATCCCATCTACATATTACAAGACATCGCCGCCATGTCGAAACGCAAGCTGAACGAAAACGACGTTCCGGAACCGTCTGCCAGCTCTGACTCCYCGCCCAAAGCCACCTTTTCATCTCTCGCACTCGACCCACGCCTACTTCAAGCACTCAGCAAAGAGAAATTCTCCGCTCCCACGCCCGTGCAAGCGAAGACCATCCCGCTCGCACTCTCGGGCAAAGATGTCCTTGCGCGCTCCAAGACGGGGTCGGGGAAGACGCTCGCCTATTTGCTGCCCATTATCCACTGCATCATCGGACGGAAGGCTTCTTCTGCCAACAAAAAGGCAACAACGGCTCTGATTCTGGTGCCAACCAAGGAATTGGCGGTTCAGGTCTGCACGGCGATCAAGGATGTCACAGTATTCTGCGGAGGAGATGTGAGGTGCGAGAACATCACCAAGAAAGAGGACCTGGCGGTTACAAGGGCGAGGTTGAGCGATTCGATTCCGGACATTGTTGTCGCAACGCCAACCCGCGCGAACCAGTGGATCAATCAGGAGGTATTGAAGACGGAAGATCTGAAGTTTCTAGTCATCGATGAGGCCGATTTGGTTCTGAGCTATGGACATGAGGAGGATTTGAAGAGTCTGTCGCAGTCGTTACCTGTCAAGAGTTTGCAAAAGATCATGATGTCGGCCACTCTGCGAACAGAGGTCGACACGTTGACACAGCTCTTCTTTGGCGAGGATAATGCACCCGAAGTCTTGGATATGGGAGCTGAGGAGAAGGATGAGAAGAAGACGCTCGCACAATACACTGTCCGCACTGCCGAGGACGAGAAATTCCTGCTCATCTACGCCATCTTCAAGCTACAATTGATCAAAGGAAAAGTCATCGTCTTTGTGGCCGACATCGACCGCTGTTACCGCATCAAGCTATTCCTGGAGCAATTCGGTATTCGAAGCTGTGTGTTGAACTCCGAGCTGCCAGTCAACAGCAGACTGCATGTCGTGGAGGAATTCAATCGGGGCGTTTACGATATCATCATTGCTGCCGATGAGGGCGAGGTTGTCGGAAATGAGGAAGGCAAGGGCAAGAGAAGAAAGATCGAAGCAGCAGCCGAGGCAGAGGAGGACGCTGACGACGTCGAGGGAGGAGCTGCTGTTGAAGCTGCTCCAGCTGACGGCGATGAGGAAGCAAAGCCCGCTGCCGAAAAGAAGAAAAAGCCACACAACCGCAAGTCACGGCCAGCAGACCGCGAGTACGGCGTCTCCCGTGGCATCGACTTCCGTCACGTTACATGCGTGCTAAATTTCGACCTCCCTTCAAACGCCAAGTCATACACCCATCGCATTGGTCGTACCGCACGTGCGGGCCAGGCAGGCATGGCATTGTCGTTTCACGTTCCCAAGGAACTCTTCCGCAAGCACAAACCAACTTCCATTCCGGATTGTGCCAACGACGATGCTGTGCTCGAAGAGATCATCGCTTTGCAGKCAAAGAAGGGAGACGAGGTCAAAGCTTGGGGCCTTGACTGGGCGAAACTTGATGGGTTCCGCTATCGTCTGGCAGATGCTCTTCGTTCAGTGACACGTATTGCTGTGCGGGAGACCCGGACGAAGGAACTCAGAGCGGAGTTGTTGAAGAGCGAGAAGCTGAAGCGCCATTTCGAGGAGAATCCCGAAGACTTGAAGCATCTGCGCCACGATACCGAGAGTCACACCGTCCGACAACAGCCGCACCTGAAGCATGTTCCTGATTATCTATTACCAAGTGGAGGAAAGCAGGCTGTCAGCAAGGATGTTGGATTCGTGGGGATTGGTAGGTCGAGGGAGAATGGCTTGAGGAATCGGAAAAGCCGGGGAGGAATGAAGGGAAGGAAGGGGAAGGGATTGGATCCTTTGAAAAGTTTCAACGCCAGAGGTAGAGGGAAGAAGTGAGACGGACGTATCGACTCGTATAATTTGGTATAATAAGGCGACAGCACACCGGCCCTCCTAGCGACCTACGTGCAGGGCTACTTGGCAAATTCAAGCCTTCTTATGTCTGCCATCATCGCCATTCTCATACGGACCTCCACTCTCCTTTACCAGGCCATTATCCTCATTCGATGCCTTCGACTGCTGGCTCCACTCAGGAGCTTCATCCTTTCCATTATCCTCCTCTTCATCCCCTTCCTCCTTGGTCTTGTGCACAGTCTGTGGGTCATGCTCTGCTGGGCTATACACCGTCACAAGTTCAAGCGGCTGTGTTTTGGACGTATTGATGAATTGATGTTGTGTACCAGCCGGCACGAACACAACATCGGAAGCTTTCACGTCCTATTTGGCCTTTTAATCAGTCTTCTGATCAATCTCTTCGTGTCATTCAAGGAGAAATCAAGCGCACCTGGTCTTTCCCTGCGATTGTTGCTTTGCCCTCCCCGCTTGTGAAGATCAATACCTGATCGACCGTATGCACCTCATCGCCAATGTCTCCACCAACAGGCACCTCCATTGTGACTAGCTGCGAGTAAAGGCCGGTATGAATCACTTTTCTGAACTGTCCAAAAGCTCTGACTTCGGAGGTGAGTTTGGGGAAGTAGGTCATTTCATGCCTAGGTGGCTGCTTGGAAATTTGGGAATCTTTCCCCATGTTTGATACTGTTGCTGAAAATGGACGGATAATAGAATGAGAAGTCTTGAAGAGTTGTCGAGTTGCGGAGATCCGGATTGGAGAGAACATTGCAGTTGCCATTGGATTCTGCAAGCTATGGAGCTTTGCGGATGGAGAGCTCACTCGTCTGGTAGCTAGATGCATGGCATAATGGTGACGTTGAGAGAAGAGTGACGCATGGGAGTATGTAGCATGTCATGTTGATGTCAGCAAAGCTCATCAATGCGACTCGTCGCGAGAATTGTTCATCGATGGCGTTCGGTACCACACATTGATATGGTTGTGAGAGTCAAAGGCCAGGCACTGTCAGCTAGTATGCACCACATGTATATGCTGCCGGAGTGAATCTCCGATCGTCCCGTTTCCGAGGACCTTTCGCAGCTGTCTGGCTGCAGAGCAATCCACAGAAGCGGTAGTTGGCACCAATCAATTGCAGATGCCGTGTGGAAAGTTCCCACGTGCCGWAGAGAAAAGCATCCAGGCGTGGAGTAATAGAGTGCTGTGCATTGCCCGAGCACTGCGAGGTCAACAAGAGAGCGACCCGGACGGAGCAGACTCCGTGATCCCGTTTCCATGCCACACGGCACAGTGGGGCGGCGCTTGCGAGAAGGATTCGCAGGAAGGCGCGTTGATCACGAGGGAAGTACTAGCAATCATGGGCAAGGTAAGGTAGGTATCCTTTGACAAGCAACCCTTCGTGACTTTACGACGAACAAAATATGAGCCACGAAGCTTCCGTCGCACAGTCTCCATGGTTGATGCCCATAGCTGCAGCACCGCAAGCAGCATCTGTGGCACAGGATGGTGAGCCATCAACACTCATGGCATATGCCTGTGTGACTTGTACGAGACGCAAGGTGAAATGTGATCGCTCGTCTCCATGTTCAACATGTCGGAAAGCTCGRGTGGAGTGCCACTACCAGGAACCCCCTCGGAGGAAGCGCAAACGCAAGCCAGTCGAGGATTTACAAGACAAATTAGACCGCTACGAGAAGTTGTTGATACAACATGGCATCTTACCTAATGATTCGCCTGTTGCCGATACTACCACGCCGACTGGAAACGCTCCAAGTACGATTTCAAGTCCAAAGGACGTGCAGCCTGCAGTCACCAAATCAACTGGAACACTGATCAGGGGACCCGGAAAGACTCGCTATGTAGACTCGAACATATGGCGCAACCTGGGTGAGGATCTCCATCCTTCATCTGACGAGGACGATAGAGACGACGAGATATCGTATGGTGCCGCGGCCAAGCCAGACCTTCAAGATCCGGCCTCCTTTGCATTCTTTGGAGCATCGACCCCCAAGCAGGATCTGCTTAATCTTCATCCAACATATGACATAGCAATCAAGCTGTGGAAGCTCTACGTCCGTAACGCGGACCCAGTCGTTAGAATCATACATCTCCCTACAGGCTTGGAAATGGTGCAACGAGCAGCAGCGAATCCAAGTGCCATGTCAAAGGTCACCGAAGCACTACTGTTCGCCATCTGTTTCTTTGCAACCATATCGACACCCGAGGATGAGTTTGAACGGGAGTTCCGTCAGCCCTCGCAATCTCAAGCCTATCTTCAGGATAGATATCATCTCGCGACTCGTCAAGCTTTGGTCGCTTGCCAGTTCATGAAGACGACGGAACTGGCTGTCCTGCAGGCGTATGTTATATTTTTGCTGGCCGTAAGACCTCGATACGACCCTCACACGTTCTGGATTCAGACAGGCATAGCGGTACGCTTAGGACAGCGTATGGGGCTGCATCGGGATGGAGAGGCTCTGGGTCTGAATCCTTTCGACGTCGAGCTGCGAAGGCGACTCTTTTGGCAGCTACTTCCCCTTGACGGAATCGCTGGGCAGCTCTCTGGCACTGGAATCGCTATCAAACCCGATGATTGGGATACCAAACAGCCCTTGAACATCGAGGACGAAGACATATGGCAGGGAATGGAGTCCCAACCGGTGGAGAGGAAGGGTGCTACCGCGATGATATTCTGTCTTGCACGAACCGAGATTGGCAAATTCCACCAGAAGCTCCGCCCGGCAGTAGGAAATTGGGCGCAGCTCTGGGAGCCGGGCCAGGCGGCTGAGCTGCCATCCATACTAGAGGCGCTCGAAGAACTCGAGACGACGATGGAGGAGAAGTACATCCGCTATTGCGACATCTCGATCCCGGCCCATTGTCTGACGTTAACCATGGCAAGAGGCGTACTGCATGCAGCAAGACTGCGCATTGCCCTGCCTCGAGCAAAGCTGCCTGGGACTACGCCGGCGGAAAGAAAAGACCTCTGCGGAAAGGCAATCAAGGCGCTGAATGCGGATGCGGCCGTCGCCTCGAACCCAAACTTGTCCTGCTTCAGATGGCATTTCAAGTCTTTCTTCATGTGGGACCCCTTGATATGGCTGCTGAACGAGATCCAGAGAGACGACACCATCGTAGATGTCGAAGAGGTATGGGCAAAGACCGAGCAGTGTTACAGCACACATCCCGAGCTGCTCGATTGGAAGAGGCCCTTTGACATCGCACTCGCCAGGATTATAGTCCGGTCTTGGGATGCTACTCACTCTGCTGACGATGTCGAGCTGCCCCTCATAGCGACTCTCCGTGCTGCTTTTCGAAGACGAGAAGCTGCACGCCAGCCTGCGCAGCCTCCAGCCGAGTCACAATCCAATTTAGCATTCTCTGCGTACCTCCCCATGGAACATGTGTACACCAGTTATGGCATGCTCGACGACATCAACATCGACTGGGACCAGCTGATGCAACCGCAACCTCTTCCGATACAATAGTAACGATGTGGATTAATAACATTGCAGGCGGCAGGAGTAGTGTAGACAAGCTTCAACACCCAAGAGTAGCCTCGCCGTTGAAGGAACGCTAATGGATTGGTGTTTGAGTCAGCTGGACGAAGCTGAGGGGAGTAGCATGTGATGTGAGCAGCGTTCGGTTGTAGATCTTTCGTTCAGCGTGTCGATGAAATGCGGGACTGATGAGGACTATGCGAGTGTTTGGTAGTGCTGGCAGAACGTGTGCAGCGACCGGAGAGCACCAACGAACGGAGAACGGAAGATGACGAACGACCACGCGCCTGAACGACGAAACAAAAGAATGCCATTAACATCCGAGACATGTGGTTTTATCATTGCGAAACTGTTGATAGGTCACATTTGCTATAGAGGTACATGTAGGTCGGTGCGGGACTTCTGATCGGTGAGATGGTCCCGGTCCCGGGAAAGCACGACCCCATCGCGTGGATTACTGTCCGAGGATCGGGATCGAGCCGAAACTCTGCCCGAAATTGGATCTTCGACGAGGAGGAGGACGAAGAGAACGGGCAACGGGGCACCGCTGTCAAGTTGTGAGCGTAGAAAACACGTCGCACGACGGAGTGTCGCACCTCATGGGTTCCATCTCACGATCTCTCAATTTAGCAACCCGCGACGACACAGCATGTCAAACCCTGTCCCGTTGCAGCGATTCGACGAGACAATGGACGAGTCATCTTCATCTTCCTCGTCCTCAGCGTCAAGCGTACCTGCATGTGAAGCCCCCTCAGCCCCCTCAGCCCTGGCCCTAATTACACTCGAACTCTCGCCGAAGGTCTCGCGAACCAACACGTTGACTGCTTGGCGCAACGCGCTCCTGTCGTGGGCGAATGAGAGCCCTGCCCTGGACCAGGAACGGGCTTAGCGCGCAAGTATGCCGCCCTTGGTAGGCTTGGCATTTGAGATCTTCCCTCATCTCACTGGGCCAACCGCACATGAACAATTGACAGCCGCCGCCGCGCCCGCAGAGTGAAACACTGCCATGCGAGCGTGAGCCGGATTTGGCAGCCTCAGCATCTGCTTTGCGCACAGCGACGTCCGAGCGGCTCCCCGTCGAAGGGGAGGCGCTGGCAGATCAGACCTGCATCCGCACGATGCAGAGGCAGCTTTCCTCGAGTCTTCCCGGGAGTTTCATAGACGCCTCCAACGTAGCTGCGCATCGGAATCTCCTATTGAAAGGATGCAATTTGTGACCCGTTTCCCTGGCGGTTAGCCTAGCAGCGCCACTGTGGGCAAGCTTTGCCATGGCCCAAACCGCCCGTTAACGGCAATCTGCCCACGTCTCTCCCTTTTCCCTCCTTCATACACCTGCCGTCCGCTTCGCTATTTTCGCGCGCGTTCTCTCGTATCGCTCGGTCGTCATTCTTTCGCGTCACACGCACCACACTCGTTCAACCAGCTCATTCACTCATTCTCAAGGCTTGATTGCCTCTTGATCGCCTTCGCCAACTCCCCACCTTCAAACATCCGCCGAAAATCAAAAACGATGAAGTCGACAATGTTTGCTGCTTCGGCAGCCGTCATGGCATCCAGCGCGCTGGGCAACCAGTTCGTCATGTACACACCCGGTGGCGACGACGCAGCTGTCGAGCGTATCGACCCCATTGTCAACTGGGGCAACCACAGCGCCCACGTCCACCAGCTGTTCGGCGCCAACGGCCTCGAGCCTGAGATGACCCACGAGACCCTCCTCAAGTCCACCTGCACCAACCTCGGAAGCGCGGATGGCCGACAGAACATGGCCGACATGAGTGTGTACTGGCACCCGGCCATGTACATGGAGGCCAAGGACGGCTCTGGCTACGTGCGCGTTCCCGTCAAGTCTCACAAGCTCTACTACCGCGACGTCGGCTTCGCCGGTGACAAGCTCAACTCGCCTTTCGAGTTCCCATCAGGCTACCGCGCGTTGGCCGGCAACCCCACCAACCGTGCTCCCACCGACGACGGCATTGTGGAGTGGCATTGCTACACCAGCAATGGCGACATCATCGGAAAGAACGGAAAGTTCCCCGAGGGCATCACCGACTGCGAGTCCTTCCCCGGTCTCAATGCCCACATCCACTACCCTCACTGCTGGAACGGCAAGGACTTCGACCCGGAGAATTCCGATGCCCACTACGCCTACCCCGAGGGRGACCCACAGAGCGGCGCTTGCCCCAGCTCCCACCCTATCCGCATTCCCCACATCTTCTCGGAGAACGAGTACGACCTTCACTCCGTCGTCGACAAGGTCAAGCCAGGCACTTTCGTGCTCTCCAACGGTGACGCTACCGGATGCGGATACCACGCCGACTTCTTCAACGGATGGGAGTCCGGTGCTCTTCCTGAGCTTTTCACCACCTGCCCTCAAGGCCAGTGGGGTAACCACGACATCGGAACTTGCCCAAGCTTCAAGGCTGGCCCTCCCACCACCGAGTGCCACCAGAAGAGGACCTTCCACGAGGAGGTGGACGCTCCCGGCCAGTACCTCCCCGGCTGCAACCCCATCATCTCGACCAACCCAGCCCCCAAGTTCCAGATCGCTGCCATTGGTGAATGCACCGCAGAGTGCCCCAAGGCCGGCACTGCACATGCCCCATCTTACGCTGGCGCTGTCGAGGACGTTCAGGACGCCGTCAACGGTGTCATGAGCAAGGCTGGAAGCTACCTCAAGCCCACCMCCACTCTCGCAACATCCGCCAAGCCTGCCGGCACTGATGGTGCTGTCGAGTGGGTCACCGAGATCGTGACCGTCACTGCTCTACCCACTCCTGGTACCTACCACAAGCGTCACGCGCACATGGACCAGCATCGCCACCAAGGCCGGTCATTGTAGACAGAGCGCGTTCAATAGCACTCCAACCTTTCTTGCCCAACTCTTCGTACTACGGACGAGCGAGGTGTTCTTGATTGATACATTTGTACATTTTCACAAAACTTTTGAAGCTGGTCGGGTGTTTTTTTGCATTGGTTCGAGAGAGTGCGAGTGAGAGGGCGAAGAGAGCAGCGGCGAGTGTGCGAGAGAAAGCGTGTGGTTCCATCGGCACCGGATTGTCAACGATCAGAAATGAATTTACCCTTTTTAACGGACCACCTGATACCCACTGTGGTGATGACGACGACCAATACCAACAGCCAGCAGAGCGCGATTCTTTTGATTCCATCGGTGTTTTTTGTTTGTTTTTTGTTTGTGTAGATACTGGGGAAGGGCTGCTGGCAAGACTTTCCAACCGGCTTTTTTATAGCGGGTCTTATGGGAACGCAAAGCAGTGCGCAGGTTGCCATTGAGTTTTGTACGAGAGGATGTTCAATGTCGTGATTTACACCTCCCGTTTTCAAAGTGTTTCTTTTCTTTGCTGCTTTTGTTGGTTTCTTCATATCGCTTAATCGTTCTCTCTACAAAAAAAAGAGGGTTTCTCAAATGTGATTGCTTTTTCGTGATCGCCGAACATGTAATCTCAACAGGCGCCTATGTGCACCAATCAGCTTAACGTTTGCTCACAGTTATCACTTTCCACTTCGAATGCATTGCGAGACTACAGTACTTGGGTATGCTCAGACTTATTGCGGTTGTCGCCCGGTCGCTATGTAAGACGACGAGTCCTACCAGCTGTTCAGTGCGTGTCACATAGGCGGAACGGAAAGTTTGCAAAGGAACGCGATGCGTTGAAGCTACTTCTCGTCGAAGTTTTCCCGCCACAGAAGACAGCGCATGACCTGAGATGTCCAACCACCACCAGTCATTCCTTGGTGTAGATAGGTTGATGTTCCTCCCAGAATTTCTCGACGGCCAGGCCTTTCCCAGTAACAATGCCTTGCAGATTGAAAGGATCAAAGACCGTCATGCAGAATGGTCTCCTACTAGCTTTCGAAAAGCCGGGCCCAATTCTCTCCATACTTCCATCATAGTCCAAGTATACTTCACTCCTATTGGGTAAATATCGACCCGGGTGGCATATGAGAAGTACCACGATGAACAGAGTAATGTTTGCGACTTCAAAAGTCCAGAGAAACCATTCGTTTCGAGAGACAGTTCCGCAGTATCCTTCCTTGGGGTCACAAGAAGCAGCCTCGAAGCCCTCGATTGTTCGAACGATACAACGGACCAGGATCATGAAGCTGGTCGTGTAAAGTACATAGCAGACCTTTCGGACGTGCAGTGGGAAGCGCTTGGCTTTGCGGCAGCGATACTCCAGCAAGACCACGAGCGACATGAAGAAGACTTCAACGAAGCATTGAAGGATCAAAGCCGCCTTGAGCAGATCCAGTCCGACACTCCGCTGTGAAGGAGATCGATCGGCGCCGACACTATTCGCAGCTCCAGACGCTGTAAGCGTTTCGACCACCGTGCTGAGCATGAAGAAGGTGCTGAGTACGCGTCCCGGATGGATCGGTGTGTGGTAGGGCAGATACGACAGCAAGCGACTCAGGATGAAGTACTCGGCGGCTGAGAACAGCGGTGGGCCCATCAGAACCAGAACGTATTGCGCGATGAAGAGGTTGATGTTCTGGACGTTGTGGATTGAAATGCTGCGGCAGATGAAACCCGCGATCCAGACGGTTGATGCCCAGGTCATTGTCCATCCGAAATATTTCCAATGGTGTTTGAAGAAGGAAAGGTATAGTTGACCAGCTGCCAGCAGTGTTAACAGGATGGCGAAGGCTATTGGCGCAGCATGATTTGGCTGATATGGGTACAGGGACCAGTCGTCGGGCGAATTTTGGGCTGCCATGATGGCAAGGGGATACTCATTGATCGTTTTGAACTACCTACCGTAGTGTGGGTCGCTTCGACACCTGCTTGTATTATATGCGGAGGCCTTCACTGCTGCCTGAGTGAAGCAGAAAGGATTGTGGGGCACCAAGATTCGCGGGCTGTGTGAAGGCTGTGTGGTTGATCCTTCGATGCAAAGATTGACAAGGCTGAGTCCGTCAGTCGCACATCTGCAGCTACAATACTACGAGGCGGCGATACGATCGCCATTTCTTTCCGCGTTGGCCATGTGTATTGAGTAACACCAGCTCAGCATGGCGGCGGCCACGTTCCCTCGTTTGTTTTGTGGTTGTGCTCCTTGGGCTTGCAGTTTTGGCATCCATAGGCGAGCTCGCCAAATCGATTGCGCATGATGATGCAGGTTGGTCTCCCTTTTACCACCTTTGACTGGTATTGAGCAATCACTCTACTTCCATCATGCATTCCCGCCCAGGAAGCAAATTTGAATAGGACTCATTGCGAAATGGTGTAGATGCCGGCGAGCCGCTGCACGATCCACCATCACGAGCTTTCGCTGTCGGCTTGGTTCCGGTTGAAGTCTGACGGTTGCCTGCAGGAAATGCCCGTATCTCTCGGTTAGCGGTAGTACCACGAGCTTGAAATCGCGACCACCATCGGTCTTTGAAGCTCATCAAACTAATTAGAGATGCACCTTGTTCTCGCGTGATGATGTTTGGGAGATGAAAACGAGAGACCCCAATGTCGCCCCGGTCAATGCCGCCCGGGCCAATCGATCGGCCCGCAACCTTATCGTCGCCTGCCATGCACGACTCCTCCTCTATGAGATGACCACTTCACCATCACTGATCACTTGCAGCCATACCGACTACTCATGATAAGGTCCTGGATTGGCCAGATGATGCTGCAGAAGCGTGGCATGATGGCGGCTCATTCGTCAGACCACACCTTCCTTGAAGCTGTCTCTCGACAAAGAAGTCCATATCCGCGACGGTGAACAGTCTAGCTGAAGCGATATGTCAAGATTCAAGAGAGGAGCCATGATAGAAGAGCATGATATGTCGCCTTAGTAATGCTGGAGACATGTCGCGCTGGCGCGAATAGAACGACGTTCATCTCCCAACAGTCCGAAGATCACCACGGTGTACGCAGGTGAGTGAGCACATTCGGCTGTCAGTCGAGCTCAATCAAGCGACGATCTGGAGGGTCACGCTGGTAATCTAAGGCGAGTTCATTATCGAGTTGAGTCGCAGGGACTTCAAATGAAGAAAGGCCACCTCAGGTACTCTTATGAGCGTTCTGCACCTCACAATTAGTGTCGCCAAGAGATTCATGTGCAACTCGTCCTTAAAACAGCCCTGCTGACGTGTTTAGAGTTCTAGTGACCTACGTATGTCCACACCTTTCTTCTCGCGACGTATTAGAGTATCCAACCTTCCTCAACCTCGTCAAACATCACAGTACGTACATTGAGTCTTTCATTTGCGTTTAGACCATGACTGACCAGCGAAGATGGAAGAGAACTCACCAACCGCCTCCGCGGCACTCACCAAGGCGGAGAAGACTCAAGTCGCCACCGAGAAAGTCATCGGCACCACCGAGTTGCTGGAAGGCATCCTTCTCCACCTCACCAACGACTTCCAGACTCTGCTCTTCAGTCAGCGTGTCTGTAAGGTCTTCCGTAACACCATCGAACACTCGACCCTACTTCAGAAGGCACTCTTCTTCATTGTCGACCCGAACACTTGCCCATCTATCCCGAGCATCATCAGAGGCCGCAAGATCAAGTTCTGTCACGATGGTGCGACCTTCGATCTGGATCACGAACCTGAGGTGTGCGGTCGGGGCATGCGAAATGCAGGCATCGATCTGTCCCTCAACTACGAGGATATGAGCCCAGAAATGCGTGAACGTGTCGACGAGTATCACCGCAAGCGACAAGTTGAACTGTCATTCCACACAACGCAGATGTCCCTCGGGCAGCAACGTGTAGTGGAGCTTGGTGGTACCTGGCAGAAGATGCCCCTGAGTATTCGCAACAACCGGATGCTGGGATCTCGAATTAGGTGTTACTTTGACGGCCCACACTTTGTCTCTTTCGTCGTTGAATTCATCGAAGGCGACACTTTGGGTAGTATCGTGGACAAGGCTCTTCTCTGGAAGGAGCCGAAGCACAAGACTCTGTCAGGTTGAGCGGCTCGGACGAAGCTGTGAGTAGGTGATGGGAAGGGTTGCCTTGACAACTGTATGTATAAGTAGCATCACCAGCAGTATCTGAYGGAGGGAGGAAGTGCGAGAAGCCCTAGACCATGGAATCTCTGAGCCCATCCCAGGTACGCGGCAAGTTCGAAGCTGAGGCAGACAGCGTGCGGGCGAGGAATGTGCGGTCGTACTCTACCATGCGGACTGCTCGATACTACATTGTAGTACAAATCAAACTGTGATTTAACAAGGACTAAAGCTTCTGAATGTACTCGAATGTGCCAGTGAGTCTTGTCTCTCTTGAATTTTGATGTACTCTGCTGGAGAGACGTTGCCAAGGATCGCATGTGATGAGCTTTCAGCTGAGAGAGCTTGTTAGCACCAGAAGCTTCATCCGACAACAACAAACCCCTCAATCAAAACAAAACTAAACATCAAGAGCCAACCCTCACATCAACACCAACATCAACTCCACCAAACACTCTCTCCCAAAAACATGCAGTCCACCAACGAGAAGGCAGCGAAGACCGATGCAGTTATCAAGAAGGTCCTCGGCACCACCGAACTGCTCGAAGCCATCTTGCTTCGCGTTGACGACTACCAAACACTCCTCTTCAGCCAGCGCGTCTGCCGCGCATTCAAGGACACGATCGAGGAATCCAATCCCCTACAACACGCCCTCTTCYTCAAGCTTTCCGACGCCCATCCTGCGATCCCACCTATTCTCCTCAATCGTAAAATCAGAATCGGCAACGATGGTTCGAATTTCTGGTTGAGCTACGAGCCCGTCATATGCCTCCGGCGGAGGTGCGGTGGGGTTAGGGTCGTTTCCAATCATCAGCGTGTGACTTCGGCAACTCTGGACGAATCATCCGCTGGTCGTCCTCGCCCGCAGAGATCGGACACTATCATCACCACATCAAGCATCGAACTCGAGCGTCGCAGAGCGGTGCAGCTTCGCCTCGAGGTGAGTCGATTCCCACGAGGAGAACCGGGAAGCGTCGAAATTGGTGGAACGTGGCAGAAGATCAAGCTGCAGAATGCTCAGGCCAAGGTATCTTGCTTGCGCGGCGTCGGATACGGACCACTGTCTTTCAGCGTTCCGCTCTCTGGCGAAGATACGATGGGCAGTGTGGTGGATATGGCTCTTCACTTCAAGTTGGAGGATTCTGKATCGGGGGACTCCATGGACTCTGATATGGAATGATCCAGGCACGAAGCAATTCCTGCACATCATACGACGCTACGGATGGTGTCTGATCGACGGGAAACGGAGACGACTTGAACGGAACTAGGCAGGTCCTCAGTCAACGAAGCATGTCACGATGGATTGTGGGATTCATCACTGATTATGGTCCTGTATTTGCTCAAAATTGCAGCTGAACCTAATCGATCTGCACACCAATCTTTCCAAAGTGCTTTTGATCCCACATGTACTACGCCAACCATTAGCAATGCTCCCACAATGGCCATCGAGATAACTCACCTCGTAAGCCTCCTTAATCTCCTCCAGCTTGAAAGTCTTCTTGTCCATAACAGGCTTAATGTCATTCGCTTCAACAGCTCTGTTCATTGCCTCAAATTGTTGTCTGCTTCCCACAAGTATACCGCGCACCGTGCAAAGGTTCTGCAGCGTTTCTGTCAAAGTAGCCTGTGTCTCACCAGGCGCGCCAGCAATGAAACCAATGACGGAAATGATACCATCGAAAGCGATGGCCTTGAGACTCTGTGCCTGGGTGTTGGGACCGCCGACTTCTATCACGTGTTGCACTCCCAAACCACCCGTGAGCTTTTTGGCAGTCTCTCCCCAGTTCGCGTCCTCTTTGTAATTGATGACATGATCGGCACCCAAGCCCTTCAGTGTCTCGGCCTTTGCAGCGGAAGACGTAGTAGCGATGACCTTTGCGCCTGCAGCTTTTGCAAATTGAAGGGCAAAGATGCTCACCCCTCCAGTTCCCTGGGTGAGAACCCATTCGCCGGGCATAAGCTGCTTTAAGCCGTAAAGAGCATTCCACGCTGTGAGACCGGCGCAGGTGAGGGATGCTGCCTCCATGTAATTCAAGTTCTTTGGCATGTGGACCAATCCCTGCTCGTTGAAGACGGCCTGTTGGCGAAGAGTACCATCTACTGCTCCTCCCAAGCCGGTTCCGAGAGCAGCGTAATCGAGAGAGCCTGAGAGGTGACCCTGGTTGAAAAGGGTGACGACCTTATCACCTTTCTTGAAGCGAGTTACAGATTTGCCAACTGCTTCAACAACACCAGCGCCATCCGAACCAGGGACAAGACCGTCGCTTGAAGGGAATGGATAGAGGCCTTTGGGGATGCTATAAGAAAGCCGACTCAGCAATGGATCTTGAACGAAACGTTCTCATCAGAACTCACATCAGATCTCGGTAGTTGAGTGAAGCTCCATGGACTAAATTCAGRTCAGAAAAAACAAGATCCTGGAAGTTAACGCATGGTACGTACGCTTGACGAGAACATCCTTATCTCCAACCTCTGGAACTGGGGAGTCTGCAAAGCTGAGAGCCTCGAAGCCCGTCTTGCCGTTGATGGTCCAGGATTTGTTGCCCATTGCTGCGTTTAGTGGATGGTTTGATGAGAGGAAGAGAAAGCAAAGAAAGAGAGCTGTTTTGAAGAGAAGAAGATTGGACTTGCGAGCAGTTTGAAGAGGCAATGGAGATTACTTCGTATTTCTAAGCAGTCGCTCGACCCTTGCCTTGAGCTCCACGGTCTACGCAAGCACCTGCTTTCGGCCCATTTTGTGGTGACCACGAAACGCAGAAGAGAAGACTGCGATGACGGTGTGAAGCTTCTGGAATCTGGAGACATCTGCCTTTATTCCCGAATTTTCCCCGACGCCGACACCGACTTTGACCTTTGACTTCACCTTTCTCGCGCTTAACTCGTTCGGAAAACATCGAGAGGGTGCTCCTTGCGTTCGTATTCGTCTCAGGGGAGATGTACGAACTTCTGGCTGCGGCGACAGTGATTATCTTGACATCACCCGACTCATAGCTCGCACTCGCCATCATCTTTGTACCCCCTGTTGTGTCAAGATACTACGCACGATGTCAGTACGGAAGCGACGTGGTGGGTGGTTTGGCTGAGAGAGCGTCAAAGTCTTCGATCTCATTCATCGAATGGGCCATCATATTTGACGACGACGATGATGATGGCGATGGTAGCGGTTGTGGAGTGGCTGGAAGAGGCGCCGTAAAGCATGCGATGTGAAGAGGTCCAGAGGGAAGTGGAAATAAGATGGCGATATTGTTCGTGGTTACACCTTCCCACGTGCAAGTCAACCGCCCGCAACTCATTCGCCGGGACTAAGTACACCGGATTCGCCGCCACCCAGGTGTTCGTTTTACGTGGCCTTGACGAATAATCGGGCGCGTTGCAGAGCGTGGACTGCGGCACGAAGAAAGGCTGTTCGTCTCCCAGGTCGACGGGGATGCGAAACCTACGATCGACTATTCAAGGGCACTGCCTCAATGTTAGCAAGGGCTCTTGCGAGCTCATCGACCACCAACTACCCTGCGAGCTGATTGACCGCCACTTGATCCGCCGGCTTTGGCTCTGGCAAATGCTTCAATATTTCAGCACTTGCCTGTCTTTCTGGTCTCGACGTCATATCGACGATGATGTTTCGTGATGATGCTTGAAGGTGAGATGGAGAAGTTGTGTGCTGCCACGATTTCGCGGTGGAGAGCTAGATGGATGTCCCTTCTGCCGGATCAAGCAACATGGACTCCCTCCTGACTTTCGACATCTTGGCAGTTCTTCCCAACTCTGACTTGGCTTTTGGTAAACGTTGCTGATACTGCTCAAGGGCGCGACTGAACGCAGCTTGAAAGGAATGGTCATTCCCAACACCTCACCTTCAAGGTCATCCAATTCTCCAGGCAGAATGTGGTGCGTTCGGCAGAAAGCAAAGACCAGTTTGTCAGTTGTTAGCCTGCGCATTGCCTTGAGGTAGCCTCGACTTGATGATCCAGAGCAGAAGAACCTTTCAGTCCTCCCGGTCGTCTTCTGAGAATCACGCCATCCATGTCAGCTTCACACCCCTTGTCTTGGACCACACTTCCACAAAGCATTCGGAGACGCCGCGTAGGCTCGATTGCTGAATAAGAAAAGGTGGCGGTCTGCTTGTCGGGTCCCTCGTACATATGACAAGGCGGTCAGCAATCTATCCTCTGCTTTGTGATTAGTGGGTGAAAGCTAGAGTCCGCGACGACTTTTGCTGCAGAATTGACCATGTACGTTGGTAGTGTGTTTGACTCCGTCTTCACAATTACCAGCGTCGCCTCCCGAGGCGTCGCTCGCATACCTCCTGGACTCGTCCATGATGAGCAGTCGTCAGACCTCTCGGCGTTGTCGATGTGGAATGGTGAACCTTGAAGACCCGGCTACTCGACCCTAGCAAGAAAGGCTATCAGGGCAACCTCGCCATCCGCCTCGCCGAACTCCATTTAGTATGTATGACGGAATGTCCATGCAGATATCAATGCTGTCGACATTTTCCAATCCGAAGCAATGTCGCGTCGTTGAAGGCAGCCATGGCTTGCTCCGCCGTCGTGCCTGCCGCGCGAATCGGACGCGACTGCGCTCGTAATGAAAAACCCCTCGACCGGCGCTCTCCAACTCTTAAACATTCATTGCAGTACACCTTGATCTACACGGGCTAAGATGAAGCGGAAACATTAACGTTCGTCAGGGCCGCATATAAGTTATCGGGCACTGCCGGCAGTTAGAACGCCAGCACTAACACCCTTACCACTCGGATCCTTTCCCGCGGGGAAGCTGGAGAGCCCTACTACTAATATTAGTACTGCACCGCCCTCTAGCACCCCCAAATTAAGACTAATTCAGTCCATTTTAGTCCTATATCGTTTATACTATGTCGGTAAGTAGTCCGTATAAAAGGTGTTGTTTTAGCTATTGTTTTAACGCATTATAGGAACCTCTAAGGGCAACTAGTAAACGGCTAGATAACGCCCTTTACTACTAACTACGTATTACCTTCGATACTACCGATAGTAGTAACCGCGTAATTAGTAAGGCCTATAGTGTTTCTTATCTAACAATTAGTAAGATACGCCTCTTTTACGAGCTATTTAGTACGCCCTATCTACCTAGAGGTATCCGTATTAGCCGTCCGCCGTTCCTTACGCTAGATTAAGAGGACTCTTTCCTATAGTATATATGTTTGTAGCCGGACGCCTACGCGGATAAGATAGCTTAGTAGATATTCGATAATACTAGCGTAGTGTTTAGCGACCGTAGCGTATACGCGCTATTAGTAAGGCGTAGATAGACTCGTAAGGTTACTAGAAGCATCGCTAGAGAGCGTAATAAGGTATTACGGTCGCATTAGCGCGCGAAAAGCGCCGGTTAGAGGCGTAAGGACCTAGTGTTTATCGACGAGTTAGCTTATAACGAGCGGAATAGCTATAGGTAGGTTATTGTCGCTATAAGGATAAAGCTATAGTAGTTACGAAAGTTAGTGTTTTAGCTTAACTAAYAAYACACTTAGGAAGTACTCTTAGTTACTAATTAGCTATCCTATAGATACAYAATCGCTAACTAAACGCTCTAAACGGTAGTTACTAGTACCTAYATTTACGATAAACGGCTACCTCGATAGGCCGTTATTAAAGTAGGGAGCTATTACCTCTAAAGACATCCTTAACTAGCTAATTTATGTTGTTTTGCCTTAACTACTAACTAGTATAATCCTTATTATAGACAACGCTTTAATCTACCGTAATAAAACGATTAAATAGGCTATTCGATAGGCTAGTTACTTCCTAGAGCTATTACTACCGTACTCTCTAGACTATAACCCTATCGAATAGTCCTTTAACGTCCTTAAGTTATAGATAAAACGACACCGAGATAAAGCAGCTACGTACGCTAATTTCGAGGACTTCCTTATCTACGCTATATAGGAACAAGAGTTCGAAATAACGGCAGTTAAGTACTTCGAGAAGAGTAGTTACCTATAGCTCTATATTAGAAGTTATATAATCTTTATCTATTACCTTTGCTATTAGCTAGTCGTATTATATATACGTAGGAAGCTCTAAATCCTTAAGTATAGCAAGCCTCTCTTTAAATCTATCTAATCGCATTAATATTAACGATATTACCCTAATTATCCTCTCTAAAGTCTCTTAAATTACCGCAAGTTGCTTATCTCTAAAGATAACCGCGAGTTCCTCGTAGGTTAGTAGTGTAGGGAATAGTAAGGACGTAGTAACTAGCGGTAAGGACGGTAGAGCGCGTAGTAATAATATGTCGAACTATGCATTTCAAATTATTCGTGTTTCTTAGAGGTTCGATTTAGAGGCTTATAACGGTCGAGGAGTCGCATTAGTTCGTGTCTAATTTACTTATATATATAGCTAAAAAGGGCCGTGCGTAACGCTCGGCAATATTCTAAAAGATTAGTAGAGTTAATATAGTCGAGCGTTAGGCGAAGTTAAAGCTAACTTAAGGGCGGGGATGCTAAGGATACCGCTTAGACCCTAAAAACCTATAATCCACCTCGCGTACTACAAGATTACGTAACAACTATACACTCTAAATTTACTAAATAAATACTTAAAATTCGAGCGTATTAAGAGCTACAATTTGAGCTATCGTTAACCGAAAACGGTGTAGTAGCTACTTTATAATAAATTATAGACTATATCCGGCTATAGGTCGACTTCCCTAAGCTTTAATAGGGCTTAGTAAGGTTAACTATAGTTAGAACTTTCCCTACCTCCTTATAACAACACTATTTTAGAGTATATAGTATATAATATAAAACAGATCTTATAATAACTCGATCCGGAGAAGAAGCTCGAAGAAAAATCGTAGGAAACGGACCGTTAGTTTAAAAGCTATTAGACCTTAAATATTGCTACTACCGCCCTAACGCCCGTATCCTCCTTCGTATAGCTTTAAACTCCTCTACATACCGTTTAATGCGGAGTTTATAGCTAGGTATTAATCCTCTCGTTATCTACTGTTCCTTACTAACTTAAATAATATTAATAACCGAATAATTATTATTAATTATTATCCTTTTAATAGAATGGAGGGCTTGCTGCCTTACCTTACTACTCTACTCTGTCTTTAGTATATACTAATTAATAAACTCTTTAACTTTATCCTTAGGCTCTAGCTATAACGAGGGCAATTTATCTCGCTATATAACAGGCGTAGGCATTAGAGTAATAGTTAATAGTATATTGTTATATATATATACAACTTAATTACTACTACTACTACTACCTTAACGATTAAGCTTCTAAGCCGAGCGTACGGATTACATATTATTACTATAGCCGCCGCGTTCCTTCTTATTAATTAAAGTAGTAAGAACATTATCCCCTAGATGCTCTATATTAAGGGCTCCTATACTAATCCCTCGCTACTACGCTATAAGACATAAACTATATACCGGTAGGTRGTTAAAAGCCTTATTACGTCTATTAACGAAGTATRTCCTCCCTCTRTTCTTATAACCTCCGTTCGTATAGGGCTATCGCTTAGTAATTGCTTCTAAGAAGTTACTACTAGCTACTAAGGTTGCTTAATCCTTAGGYAATCGATAAAGATARATAGCTATAGCAGTTCGCTACTATRTCGGTTRTTRTATAAGAGYAAYAAYAGGCTCTAGTTTAAGGTCYACTACTATACGGAGGTCCTTTTTACTAYYCTTATAAAACGTTCTTAATTGCCTTATAATRCTRTRCTAACTGCTATCGTCCCTCTACGTTTGCCTTACCTATATATTAACCGCTAAGTTGCTATACGAAGCGGTTAACTTAGCTGTTTTAAATGCACCTCTTATATTCCGCATTATAGTATTTATCTAGTTCGAAACATTACTAGCCTTRTCCTTATTACCGGTAACTAGCTATRCTTTATCCTCTTRTTCCTTRCCCTTCTTATAATATAGGCCTATYCGGTATACTAACGGCTTATCTCTAAGTAGCGGCTTAGAGCGTAATATTAAYACTATRCGTTCGCTTAGCGCTRCTACTAGCGACACTCGTAGCCGGTTTAATAGACTAGCTACCGCCGCTATAGCAATAATAAYMGGCTCTTTGCCSTTACCCTTCTTCCGCTTCTTCGTTAGAGCGGCGATAGCTAYATTAACTAACTTCTAAGTAGCGTACGCCGTATTAGCTTCCTTAGCTAACCGGCGCTAGCGTTCCTTCTACTTCTTAATCTTCCTCTTTTTATACCGTTATTTAAGGAACTCTACGTRTTCTRCTTCCTTACGCTCTTCCGTAATCCTCGCTTCTTCTACTACCCTCTCTTCCTTATTACGCGCTCGAAGCTCTACTAACTCCTCCTTAGTATAGCGATAATAGACGGATTCTAGTTCTACTATGCCTCCGCGCTTAATTAAGGGCACTAGAGTTACGAATAATAACTACTAAGAGCGCTTAGAACCCTCCGTAATATTACTTAGCCTTACTATTGTTTCTATAGCTAATACGGCTTTATTTAGTTCCTTATCCTATATTACGTCTAGCGGCTCCGGTTCCTTTTTAAACTCTATTAACTTCCGCCTCTTTAGCTTTATCGCGTTAATTATAGCCTACGCTTTAGGCCTACGCGATATAGAGCGCTATAACCTCCGTAATACCGGCTAAGTAGAAGGGGGAGGTATATAGCGTAGTAATAATAGCTATAGCGTGTCCGGTAGTAAGGAAGGGCGTAGAGGGCGCTCTTTACGCGGTAGCGAGGATAGTAGCGAAGAAGGGCAACGCGACGAAATATTAATAGCCTCTTAGCTCTAATCTAGCGGCGTAGGTATAGCGAACGACGAATAACACCTTTTAAGAAGCCTTAGTAGCGACACGGATAGGTATATTAGCCTAATTAAGACAGTTGGGGGTGGTAGAGGGCGGTGTAGTACTAATATTAGTAGTAGGGCTCTCCAGCTTCCCCGCGGGAAAGGATCCGAGTGGTAAGGGTGTTAGTGCTGGCGTTCTAACTGACACAAGCTTGAGCTTAATCTGATACACCTGACTAGAAACCGACATGGATCACGACAGTGGACCTATATCTCGACTCGATTTTTTTTCTTTTACTTCTCCAATCATCGTAACCATCCACTCCATCCCTCCAACAACAACAACAATACACCACCATGCAAAAATGTTCGGCCTCTCCAAAAAGTTCTTCGCAACAACCATTTCCACCCCATTACCCCCCGGCATTCCCATCGAACGGGCCATTACAATACTCCATGATTTCGAGGTCCTGCACTCCATGAATCCGACCTGGAGGAGAACGAAACGAAAAGCACACTCGGCGTCAAGACATTTCACCCTTGAAAGCGGAGTTTTACATCATCACGAATACTGGGAGGTGGAAGAAGAAGTGACTTGGATCCCCAAATGGCTCTGGAGCGGAACAGCAAAGTACAATCTGGAATTCACCCCCACTACCAACGGCTGCGATGTCAAGATCTGGGCGAATTGGCGCTTCACTTCCGTCGATCGCTGGCGGCTATTTCAAGGGCGGGTTCTGAACGATGGTGAGGTTGTTCTGGACGATCCTGACAACCGTGGTTGGGTGCTGCAGACTGGGAGCGATACGGTATATCACAGAACCTTCGCCCGCCTCATGAATAGACACGCTCCWGTCGATCTCAAGTCGGTGCACGTGAGACTCATCGACCGACTCCAAGGAAATGTGTCTTGAAGGATGCTGAAAGCAACATCGATATTTTCCTGCGGCCATCGTCGCACCCTACCACCCGTCTAGCGCTTCTCAACATGCGAGATGTTGATCTCTCCCTTGTTGTCCGCAGCGTCGGACGCCGCGCGATCGCTTCGCTCGATGTCCATTTCCTTGGAATTCCCCGAGACAACGCCAAACAGCTCGTCCATCTTCTCCAGGCTAATGCCCTTGGTTTCTGGAATGAAGAACCATGTGAAGACGAACATGCTGAAGCAAAAGCTTCCATAGATGTAGTATGCACTGCAATCACCATTAGCGGGAGACACCCAACAATCAAAAATCGACCTACCCGAAGCCGCCCTCCCCGACCGTGGCAATCATATTCGGCGTCGCTCTCGCCACGACGAAGTTGAAGAGCCACTGCGTGGCAGCCCCCAACGCCACGTTCATTGCTCGCAATCTCGCGGTCGGAATCTCAGACACATAGATCCAGCACACCGGTCCCCAGCCGAACTGGAAGAAGACGGCAAACAGATAGATCATCACAATCGCCGCATATCCTGCCGGAGGAACATCAGCGCCCGCTTTCGGAGGTGCGATCCGAATATATGTGCCGATGTAGAACATGCAGAGACCTTGTGCGATCGAAGTCCATAGCAAACTTTTCCTGCGTCCGAGCGAGTCCGCTACGAGAATGAGGAAGGCCGCGCATCCGGCCATCTTCAATAGGCCGTATATGCCGGTTGCAAAGAGGGACGACTCGGTCCCGTCAAGTCCGAGGTTCGAAAAAATTTGAGGAGCATAGTAGTTTATGGCATTTGTGCCTGTCATCTGCTGGCAGATCATGAGGCCGATGGTGATGAAAGCTCGCTTGCGATTTCCCGGGATCGTGAACATCTCCTTGATAAGGTCAATGGGTCGGGATCCACTGATAATACGGCTCTCCCACTCGAGCTGGTCGGCCATTTCCCTCATTTCAGTCTGGACGTACGGATGATCGAGCGGCAAATGTCGAATGCGGGCTAGGACTCGGCCAGCTTCTTCCCAGCGGTCTTTACGGGCAAGCCAGCGAGGTCTCGAGGACGGCGTCAGCATTGCAAGCAGCGAGGGAATCGAGACTCGATAACTTACGTCTCGCTACTGATCAGCATGCCAAAGAATAAGATGATTGCCGGAAGAGCTTGCAGGGCAAGAGGAACGACATATTGAACTGTGCCACTGCTGTGTAGTAACGATCCGTAGTTGATCCAAAAAGCGATACCTCAAAGATTTCACGTCAGCAGATGGTTCAGGGTTTAGGGGCTAAGCCAAGGCTTTAAGAACAGTCCAATGCTTTTCAGACCTCAGTTTACTTACAAACTCCGGTCACGATGAAGAATTGGTACATGCCAGTCAGAGCTCCTCGGATCGCTCTGGGTGCATTCTCGGAGGTGTACAGCGGTGTGATCATACTCGCTCCTCCAACACCCACGCCGGCGATGAATCTGCAGGTGCACACAGGTCAGCTCAGTAATATGGCCTGGATTGCTTTGAGACTGACCTGCCGGTGTACATAACACCAAAGTACCCCTCAGCAGCGGCTTGCATGATAGAACCAATGATAGCCAAGCATGCTGCTATCATGAGACCACTGCGACGGCCAAGTCTATCGGCTGCCGGACTGGCGAGGAGAGCACCCAGAAAACAACCTGCTTGGAGTGTGCTGACGATGTTCGCTTCGAGGTTTGCCGAGAGAACTTTGTTCTCCGAGGCTTTGGGCAGTCCGTACTTTCTGCAGGATTGTCAGCGGGTGTCGAGTACTGTTGAATCGCACTTCTCACTCGCGAAATGGGTCCAACTTCAGCACTCCACCAATAATCCCTAGGACAGCATGAGCAATCTTGGTGAGGCAAACTTGAATCGTCGATACTAACCTGTATCCATCCCAAACAGCATACCACCAAAGCAGGCCTGTCGTATGATGAGAAACTGGCATTGGTCGAGGCGTATGGTTTAAGGACAACATACACTAGCACAGAGCAAATAGACCCGCCAATTGTAGATTTCTTTTGGGTCTGTCTTTGCCGCATCGTTGCGGATGATTCTCTGGACGATACCCATCTTGTCGATGCTTTAGAAGACCGTCGCAGGAAGTTGTGATCTTTTATAGTGAGATTTTGGCTGTCCAGACGCAGTCCGATACACCAGCAAACAAGCGAGGCGCGCGTGACCCTCCAGATTTACGTGTGACAGTCGAGTGGATTGGCAAATGATAGCGGTGGGTCCAGCAAAGGAGGTGAAGCTTGGAACAACATTCGGAGCGGCGAAGAGTGGCTTCTTTGTAGCAGAACCGATGTAGTAGACGCCCGCCCGGGGAAATCATGTGTTGATACCTCCGTCTTGGAAGKCTACACTCCGGGTCAGTGACAGCCGAAAGGCGTCAATGCAACCATATCTCGTTTCGCGTGAGAAGCTGCAAACTGTTCCGCGACCGGTTGTGGTAGATTCCAGGTCCGGGCTGTTCACTCTTTCCTTTTGCTTTCCATGTCGACTCATAGCAGTGCGTCGGTCTCAGCTCGCCCACATGCTTCGAGAGAGCTCACGCTCTTCGTGTTTCACTGTTTCATGTGCGGACGGCATGTACCCCGCAGGATGTTCCCCAGAGCAGCCCTAGAAGGATCCGGGGTGCATGGATCCGTGTGGGGGAAGCCCCAGCCAACGTGCAAGCCGTTGTTCGAGATAATGGGAGGGTGTAACGTGATGGGCCAATACGACGTCGTTTGGCGTGATAAGATGATTGCAACTGCAGGCGTGCGTCCAACCGGCTAAAAGTGAGCCTCGTGGCATGGGCAAAGCTGCRCCGACCACGTGGGTATCTCGCTGAGCGGAATCTGGCGTTGGTATCGCATCCTTACCGTCTGCCAAAGAATCTGCACCAGAGCATGTCGATGGCAGTGTGTCTAATGTTCCTGTGCCGATGAAATAATGTACGGAAGAGAGTGACAAAAGACGATGATGAGCGCTGAGGAATGAAGCGAGGATTAGCCGATGGTCTCAAATGGCTGGAGCTTCAACGCAATCGATGATATTGTTCCATCCGTCGGCAAGCGTGTTCGTCGCTACACTGTTGGTTCTAACTGGCCCGTACACCACTGCATGATGGGACACAGGGACGCCGAACCGAAAGGGTGCTCGGCCAATCAGCATTCCCGTCTACTTCAGCTGAGGCTGAAGACTCGCAGGATTCWCAGCAACAGGAGCAAAGACTGTCTCGCAGTCATCTCCATCTTTTCATAATTTGCATCACTCATCTTCAGGCAGCTCACTGACAATCCTGACACACGCTCATCTTCGAAAAACCACCCAGCATGGCTACCGGCAGTTTTGCATCTGCGGCCATGTTTCTTGCACCAGCGGCTGCTCTCTTCATGTCCGGGTACTCCGCCGCTGCCACCCACTTGGTCCTGCCGCTTCTCTATCGCGATCATCCTGCTCGCATAACCACGCCCATGTTCAGGCATACCTTCTACGAAGGTGGCAAGGTCGCCATTCCGTGTACACTGGGCTCCTCAGCAATGGCAGCATTAGCTGCCTACCTTTGCGTGGACACCAGCCAGCGGGCGTTGTACCTCGCCGCGATGGCGACAACGTTGGGCACTACTCCCATCACGTTACTCATCATGATGCCTGGAATCAAGAGATTGATTGCCATCAGTGAGAGTCCGGCCGAACAGGAGAAGTGCGATCAGACGTTGGAGCACCGCCAGCTGCTGAAGAGTTGGTCATTCTGGAACGGCGTTCGAGTTGTGTTATACTTATGTGGTGGGTGCGTGGGTCTGTGGGCGGGTGTCTTCGGTGGAACGCCGACGTGATTGCGCGATAGGGCAGCGATGAATGCTGGCCTTACCTGTCAGGACGACAAGAGCAAATGTGACCTGAAGCGTGGAAAAGCTGCCAACCATGATGTGAGGATGGTTCAACGATCGTAGCTGGGGAGTTTACCGGTCGGTTGGATTCTCACACTCGACGTCGACTCAACAAGCATTCAGTATGGTATCATTGGTTATCTCCTGAAGGAGCCACTCAATTCAGCCTTCTTTCTGTCGACTACTGGCTGCCGGACCTGTTTAAATAATACGCGCGCGTCAGTCCGTCAAAAGGATGGCGCATGGCACTGCATTCCGCTCCCCGGCCGACGTTCGCTCTGCGCAGTTGGTCTTCTCAGATATTTCAGGGTAATCTACAACCTGCAGCTCTGTCTCCGGGTGCGCTCTGCCTGGTACTCCACAGTTCGCGTACAGCGCTGCACTCTCAAGGTCCATACCCTGCTGCTGCATGACCACGCGAATACCACGCAGTAGCTCCCTGCCTCGCTCCTGTGCGTTTTCGTACTTACGCTGAGTTGTGGCCTTCTCCTCTTTTTCACCCATCTCCTCCTTCTTTTTGCTGACGTTGAACTTGACTCTCTGCAAGAGATTAGCATGTCTATCTCATGACATGGTGCATCAATCTTGCCTTGACCCAAGCACGTCCTTGGGGACCAAGATCTTGGCGCCATTGCTGGAATGCTTCCATGCCAGGAATCGTGTATGGGRTTTGGATCGTAGCGTTGACAAAGTAGCGTGCTTCCAGGTTTGTGCTCGACGCGATCTGGTCCATTTCTTCGATGAAAGGCCCAGTTATCTTGATGAGGTCGAGATCGGGCATCTCCAATGAGGTATATTGGTTCCTCTTGATCGGAAGGTTTTGGTTTGAGGATCTGAGAGACGTTGTCACGGACCAGGGAACCGCGAATATATAGAGCATGTGCAGGTGGTCTTTCATGACGGCAGGTTTGTCAATCGATTCGTTCGTTTGCTGTCGACATTTGTAGTCCTACCAAATCAACGAGATGTCTGATGTCAGGCGGCTCACAGCAAGGGCCATTTCATTATGAGGTGGGAAACAAGCGGCAGGACAGCATAGCCGGCAGATATCTGTCTCTTCAGATTTCCGCTCTGGTTCCAGTTTCTTCGGTCTTTGTTTCTCCTGTCTGGTAAACACGATACTCTAGCGCTACAGAGAGCAGCCTGCCATTTGGGAGAGAAGCTCTCGGCATGTGACATCTGTAGGTATGTACATGAACTAGATGTGGTGTTGCAAGGCATCCTGAATATCTCGTGACGTCTCCGCGGACCCAAATGTAGGCAGGCTCGACGGAATTTATTCACTCTCATTGGGGAGTGAGTCATCGACTTCCTTCCTTTGGGAACGTCGATTCAAAGCTTCATTCAATCCCACTCTCAACATCTTCAACGATACTGGCAAACAAACATGTCGGCCTCTGATACCACTACCATTGGCATCTTCAAGGCGAAGAGGAGCACCACCGCGTCGGACAAATCAGCCAGCTACCGCGTGTTCCACACTCCAGAACTGCTCGAGAACATACTTCTCAAGACCATGGAGCTACCCACCTGGAGCCGCACGGCCTTGGGGCTCGCTCACTTGGACAAGACCCTGAAGCTGACCATCTGGGATCGCAAGTCCGTCTGCTCGCAGATGAAGACGCTTCTCCTCAGCCAGCGGGTCTGCATGGCATTCCGCCGCATAATCCAACGATCCATCCATCTGCAGCGCGAGCTCTGGCTGCTTCCGCCGGCGACACCACTCGGATTCATCCGTCTCAACCCACTGTTCAGCGCGGACAAATATGCCTACTCGATACGCAATCAAGTTCCATTCACCAAGATCACTGTTTGCAGTACGCCGCATTCTCAGACATCGATGCATTTGAACCATCACATGTGGGAGGAGAGACCGGGAAGCTGGCAGAAGATGCGCGTTACTTGGAGTGAAGAATGGGAGAGCTACATCAACTACTCGAAGCGTGATTCTCACTCTCACGATTTGCAATTCACTATGCAGTTTCCGGGTTGCCCTACTGCTGATGATGTTGTCGAGAAGATCAAGCTGCAAATGAAGCTGGCATGTCCGCAGAAAGGTCACGCCGATATGTTTGGTTGAAGCGCGCAGCATCATAACGGATTGGACCGATAGGAAGTCGAGGCCATACTCAAGGTGTGATGATAGTGGACGGCGTCCAAGTCAGCATGAGGTCGTCCTTGTCTTCAAAGTTCTCACAGTACAGCACGAGCGGCTTCGCGAAGGAAGGCTGCACCGGAGCGACTCTTCATACGACCATAGATGTTCAGTGTCTGGAACTACGCGGCCGCTCCCATCGAAGGAGCTTGGCATGACTTTGGTTGGAATGCAGTCACGGCGTACCCGCGAGCGATATGCGAGGGCTGATATGCCGTGTCACTATGCTGTTCAAACGGCGGGCGGCAGCTACAACGATCAAATGGGTTCCGGAGAACTTACATTTGGAGACAGTGACCTTCTAGCGAGTACATAGTGATCTGAACTTACCCTTGAATGCCACAACCCATCTCCGTGTCGTCCCTAACTTCACATTCGGTCTGACTGCATGAAAGCACGGACAGCCACGAGCGCATATTGGCAGCGCTAATGCAAGCCTCTTCAAGGTGATCGTGCCACATCAGATATTGCATGCTAGAAAATGCCGTCAGCCTCCTCGTGTGACCCCGAGCATATATCCAAGCTCTGTAGCTTGCAACCATATCTCTTTTCTCCATGAATTGAGGAGAACATACTGTTGGAGAGATTGGCCCGCAATATAATGCCTTACTTGAGCGCAATGACCTCGTTACTGGGCTTTGGCGCGCTTGGGAGCTTCTTCAATCCCATGAGCTTGGAGTCTATCCCACTTCACCACGATCGCTGCGATATCAACACCAGATTGTCTCCTCTCCTGTCAGAGGCAGCATCAATCGTCCTGCCAGATGATGATGCGTTCGCATCCTCTCTGGTAAGAGCCAGCTCACCAAGGGTATGTCCTTCATTTTCGGTGATTGTCAAGCCGGCCACACAGGCAGATGTTCAGCATACGGTACGTCTCGTCTGATTGCATGCTGACCTTTACCTATTGACATGATCGACAGGTAAGATTTGCCAACGAGTGTGAGCTACCCTTTCTCGTCGTCGCTGGTGGCCACGGCTGGCAATCAACACTCAACAACGCTGGCGGTGTGCAAATCGACATGCAGAATATGCAGCAGGCGCGCTTGAGCGACGCTGGCGACACGGTGCATGTCGGTGGTGGTATCAAGCAAAAGCAACTCGTGGATTTCTTGTCCCTTTCAGGCAAACAAGCGGCCACGGGTCTTTGCCAGTGCACTTCCGTTATTGGCCCTTTGCTCGGTGGAGGACATAGTGCGCTCCAAGGCTTCCACGGTTTCATCTCTGATGGCCTAGTTTCTGCTGAGGTCGTGCTGGCCAATGGTACTGCGGTGACTACTTCGATCTCGCAACACCCTGACCTCTTCTGGGCTCTTCGTGGAGCAGGCCACAATTTTGGTATCGTGACCAGCTTCGAATTAAAAGTGTATGATCTCCCCAAGAAGAACTGGACGATAGTGTCCATGGTTTACACACAGGAGAAACTGGAAAGCTTCATCGATGCCCTCAATGAAGTCGATGCTGGCAGCGACCACGCTCCAGAACTGGTCCTTTCCGGTGCCATTACCCGTGTCCCAAGTGTTGATAGTGGTAGTCCGGTCATAGCATACCAGATATCGTATCTAGGCACCCCAGAAGAGGCAGAACCGTACGTCCAACATTTCCGGAAAGCAGGCCCGTTATCAGTGACTACTGCAACAGATGTGGAGTACAAGGACTACTCCATCGCAACGAACAGCGGGTTGGATCARCCTCCCTGTCGCAAAGACATGAACATTGGAACACACGCAATTTCTCTTCCGTCATACAACAAGACCGCCATGAGGGTCGCCTTCCGATATTTCRGCGAGCTCACGGCAGATCCACGTTACGATTCGTCCRCCTGGCTGCTTGAGAGCTATGGTTCCCGTGGCGTGTGGAATCAAGACTATGAAGATTCTGCTGTGCCTTCCGAAGAACGAAATTTGCCTGTGCTCACCGGAGCAATCATCTGGTGGGCTGGAAGTAGCCCCGGAGCCCAGGAGAAGGCTGAGAAATGTGGCCGTTTGATGCGCGCCGCACTGGCGGATGGAGCTTTTGAGGATCCCAGGCTTCCCCACGTTTATCTGAACTATGCCGCTGGCAGCGAAACTCTGAAGCAGGTGTATGGAGGCGAGAGGATGGAAAGGTTGAGGGCATTGAAGAAAATATATGATCCGTCGAATAGGTTCCGGTTCTACATGCCTATTGCATAGGTAGGCGTACAGCTGTTCTTGGGCAGTCGAGACGGGTAATGGCTTCCTACCTTCAGGCGATGGAAGGTGAATGCACGTTGCTGTTCTCCTCCATATTCCGGGACAATGAATGGTCCGCTAAAGGAATGGAATGGTGCCAGCTTCTCACGTTTCCCTTCATTCGAAGCATCCTCCAGCATCACCGCCTGTCCTGGAGGAAAGGTTTGCTCTAGGAGAATCGTCGTATCGGTTCATTCGCTGTTCTTTACGACGGTGAATGTGGTCGCGGAGAGAGATCGCTCCAAGTTCCGTGTAATCTACATGATCACTTCGGTACTTAAGGGGACGCTTTCAACATAACTTGAAAGCATCCTCGATCAAGTACTCCTCAAATTCTTAGATCGAAGTTCTTGACGTCCGCGACTGGAAATCACCCGGCGAATGGATGGATGACCGGAGCAACACGCGGGGGTCCCAGGTCGATACGGGGAGATTTCCAGAAGACACGCCTACCACAGATGATCCCAGCGGCTTCAAGCTCTTCGTTCGCCAGGTATCGCGGTTTGTGGCAGATTCCGGGCGCCCAGGTGGCGATCCAAATATTTGGGTCCAGACGATGTAAGTCTTCGATCAATGTTTTACCCTCTGTATTGTTCCTGACACAGTCTGATAGTTGGCAAAGGAGAGTTTCAGACTGCAGTTGACGCCTGTGGAGGACTACATCTCGCGAAGAGATTGGTCTAGTACTATCAGCAGTGGGTTGAGTATCATTGGGGCGGTCGGCTGTGCAGCTTGCTGATCCCGGCGTCAACAGTGTCCAAGACAGAGGACGAAGTCGAAGGTGACGGCGACAAGTGCATTCGATGGGGATCTCGACATCAACAGCGTCTCTTCTTTATTAGCAAGATCTGATGGTTCTCAAGCCGACCCGCAGTCCTGGCTCGATTTCCCCGTCATACTTCGCCTCTTGCTGTCGTTCATAATACTCATGGGACCATCTAGGTGTGGGAGGCAAAAGCTTACCGTCATTCCATCAGTATCTTGTGCGCTGGCGCCAGGGCATCGTCAAGTGACTTCAGAAGAGGACGCAAAGTTGATGCTGATGCTGCTCTGACCTCACGCGATGTTGACGCGCCAAAAAGCACTGACCATATCTCGCTACACCTTCCCAAACGAGGGCAGACCAAAATATCTAGACCTCAGAACTATTGCTACTCCTTTTAAGCATCGGACGAACACGATGGAGCTTATCCGACAGGCATGGCGGATCACAACCGATCCGCACCACACGAAATGGACTGCTCCATTGCAACTACTCGCCGATGCGGCATTATGCGGTCTGGTGATTGTCAAAGTACCCTGTACGTGGCCTCCGGAGTTCACCATTGGAACAAGACAACAACATATCAAGAACGTATCTAACCTGCAAAACTAGACACCAACATCGACTGGACAGCATACATGCAACAGATTGAAATCTACCTAGCCGGCGAGCGTGACTATGCCAAAATCGCAGGTGACACAGGTCCACTAGTTTACCCGGCAGCACACGTGTACATCTACCGCGTGCTCTACTACCYCACGGAAAGCGGCCAGAATATACTCACTGCTCAATGCATCTTCGCGGGACTATATCTCGCCACTCTATGGCTGGTAATGCAATGTTACCGTGTTGCAAAAGTACCTYCGTACATTCTGCCATTGCTTAGTTTAAGCAAGCGAGTGCATTCCATTTTTGTGCTAAGGCTTTTCAACGACTGTTTTGCGGTATTTTTCTTGTTTGCTGCTATTTGGTGCTGGCAGAGAAAGGTCTGGACGGTGGGAACGATATTGTATAGTTTGGGTTTGGGAGTGAAGATGAGTTTGTTGCTTCCTCTGCCTGCTATAGGAGCAGTGCTCTGGCAGGGCATGGGACGAAACAGGGCGTTCTACCAGGCTCAAAGTATTGGACAGGTTCAGGTGAGCGGAAGGAGTTTGCTTGCAGATGGACCGGGCTAACAACACGCAGACGTTGATCGCTTCTCCATTCATCCTTGGAGGACTCAAGAGCTATGTCAGTAGAGCCTTTGAGCTCACACGCCAATTCATGTTCAAGTGGACCGTCAATTGGCGATTTGTGGGTGAGGAACGCTTCCTCTCAAAAGGCTTCTCGGTTGGATTGATCAGCGCTCATGTTATTCTGCTCTACTTCTTCGGAGTTGGCAGATGGCTGAAACCCTCCAAAGCTTCCCTGCCAGAAGCCGTCAGCCTACTCATCACCCCTCCGTCAAAGGAACAGCAGAATAGGATTGCTCGCGGGATCAACCCAGACTTCGTCCTTTCGACGATCCTTTCCGCACTCTTAGTCGGGTGCCTATGTGCCAGAAGTCTGCACTACCAATTCTTCGTATACATCGCATGGTCGGTTCCCTTCCTGCTATGGCGAAGTGGGTTACATCCCATCTTGATATATGCGATCTGCATAGCGCAGGAATGGGCCTGGAATGTGTACCCCAGCACAGGTGCCAGCTCGATGGTGGTGGTGGGCTGCATGGCGGTGACGGTAGGGAGCATGTGGATCGGTACCAGTCCATATCTCACAGGTGCAGAGAAAGCGGATGCTTCTCACGAGCACATAGAGTAATGGTTGCCGTCTGACAGCTCGGACTCGGATTCTGAAGGCGGCATATCTCGATTCGGCGCATCATCAGAGTCCGAATTCTCTTGATAGGTCGACTTTTTGGCGGCGTATTCAGCAGGCCAGAATGCCTTTTTCCGCCATGCGCGCTCGTCTCGAACTATGTTGACGATCTCCCCGCCTAATTTGTTGCCACGATCGGCCAACGCTGCGGTATCGACTASTACATAAGAGCCGCGCTTGATCCAGATGGTGGAGCGAAATCTCGCAGGCAGCTCAGCCAGCAGTGTCTCGCCTGCAGGCAGCTCCAGGTTGTACAAGTTATTACCCGCGGCAGATTTCACGCGCGCGATTTTTTGGCCGGCGGGGAGAGATTCGGGCGGAGTTGTGGTCTCGTCCGCCACGGCCTGGACGTTGCGTTTTGGTTTCGGCATTATTGCAGGAGCTCCAGCTTGGAGCGGTKACCTCAAGACCTTGACTCGGACGAAGCTGGAAGATTGCTGCAGCTACGCGCGCCGAAGACTCTCGACGCTGCTATATCCTTGCGATTTGGATAGCGGTGTGAATATTAGGAAGCACGTGCACACTTGGTCATGCGTTCTGGTGCGCAAAAGTGTTGATTCCGGGTTTGCGGCGAATATGGCATGTACTGTGCTATGCACGGAAATTCTATCTGCTTTGAGCGTGGGCGTGGGGCAAATGAAATGTCCAGGTTAGCTTATGATCTTCCGCTAGAGTACTGGAGAATGATTAAGCGAGAGATCGAGTACGAAAGAAAACGATCAATTTGTTTGAAACACGACACAAGWTGCGGTTTCTCCTACGCTTGTTGATCTCGTGTGAAGCTTGACAACGGATCAAGGGAAAGGAGAACACAGCGTCGAATGCAAGGTCGCGTTGCGCGTGTCAAGTGTGCGTGGTAGCTTTGGCGATCGGCAGGGTCTGTACATCCAAGACATCTTCACGTGTTGGTAGACGGCTCCCAGAGCAGATAAGCCTCACGGGAGGAGATCGGTAGTGCAGCGAAGGGGTGTGCGGGCGTGCTGGTGTGCTGCGAGGTCTGCTCCGAGCATCATAACAGCGGTGGGAGGCCGTCTGGGTGTAGACTTGTCTGAGTTGCAGCAGCAAGAGACAGGCTGGGAGAGTTCAGACGCGCCGTGTTTCGCCAGCCAGCAAATCAAATGCTACGACTCTTTCGATCCATCAGCCGAGGGCGCGGGAAAGAGGATGGAAGCAAGAACAACAACAACAACGAGGCCGCCTGGTCGCCCTTCGCCGCGTCTCCCGAACGATCACGACACCGCGTCGTAGGCCAGAGCGTAGCAGACGACGATTTCGACGCTGAAGATGCCGAATTTTCGCCTCGTCGACGCATCAACGGTCCTCCCGATTATTTCCACGGTGGACGAGATGAATACGAAGATCAGGCCGAGGATGATGACGGTGAAGATGATGAAGACGACGAAGACGACGAAGACGAAGATGCAGTCGAGACGCCGCTCCTTCCCATCTTCTCAGCGGCACATCTCGACCGACTGCCGCTGTACAACATCACACACGCCATTCGCCTCTTGWTCGTACAGCGGTGCGAGACTACACTTTCATGGGATCAGTTGCGGAGTCCGCAGATCAGCCAATTCCTCGTGAAGCCCATTCAAGGCCAAATCAGAGCGGACCATTTCAACCGTGCAACGCTATGTGCGCTGATTGCAAACTGCTTGCAATTCCAGAAGGAAGGTCAGGCTCAGCCCGGTAATGTCGGCGTGTCCAAGACGAGAGCAGCAATCAGCGAACTCATAGCCATGCGGTTACTAAAGGAGTTCTCCACGCGAGAATTGATCGACTCCTTGTCGTATGACTTTGATCCTCTGCAAGGTATCACAACCCCCAGCACCGGAACTCCTAGACCAGGCTTCGCTGCTTCTACCGAGACGCAACGCAAGCCTCAAGGCCGAGTCGCGAGAGTCAGCACCATTGAGATTGCGATCCGTGCAGAAGCGAAACGATTCTTAGCACATACACTGGTGGTCCAGCATCTCGAGGCTATATGGGCAGGTAACATTGTCTTCCACTCCGCAGCAGACAGTCTGCATAGACGACAGCGACAATCTCAGGAAGAGTTGCCACCAATCCGGGGACGTGTAGATGGCTATGGTACCATTGACCACCACAACGCGAGCTCGTTGCCCGCTGGAGCTGTGCATTCTCGGAAAGGTCACGCTAGTAAGACCAGCAGAGCGCCACCAGAGCCATCGTTCTCTCGCCGGACAGTGACCTTGTACAACCCGCGCGAGGCATCGCTGTTCAAGCTCAGCCGTCTGCGGGTTCCGCGCTATCGTCAGGTCTTCAGTACCCTCAGCTTTGCAACGATGCTCGGACTTTTTATCGCTGTACTGGTCGACCGCAGCATTGACATCACCCCGCTTGAAGTGCTGTTCTGGTTCTGGAGTATCGGATACATGCTGGACGAAGTCGTAGGATTCACGGAGCAAGGTTTTGGACTGTACATTCTTAGCTTCTGGAATGCCTTTGATCTCGGCATCCTCGTCCTGTTCGTGGGATACWATTGTCTGCGCCTGTATGGCCTTTTTGTGGCAGATATCGGCAAACACAAAATTGCCAGCCTGGCGTACGATGTCCTGGCTTCTACTGCAATCCTGCTCTTCCCACGCCTCTTCAGCGTTTTAGACCACTACCGCTACTTCTCGCAGCTGCTCATTGCCTTCCGTATGATGACGCAAGATCTCATGGCAATTCTGGTCCTCATCATCATCTGTTGCTCTGGCTTCTTCGTCGCATTATCCCTATCATTCGCCGACGAGAACACCGACGCAGGCGGCGTTGTCTACTCACTGTTTCAGATTTTGATGGGCTTCACGCCAGCAGTTTGGGATCGATGGGATGGTTACAATCTCTTGGGCAAGGCTATCATGTCCATCTTCTTGACGATTTGTCACTTCCTCATTGTGACAATCCTCATCACGGTGCTGACAAACAGTTTCATGGCCATCGTGAAGAACGCCGAAGAAGAGCATCAGTTCCTATTCGCAGTCAACACCATTTCCATGGTCAAGTCTGATGCTCTATTCAGCTACGTTGCTCCCACGAACATATTCGGGTGGTTTCTTAGTCCGTTGCGCTGGATCATACCATTGCGGCAATACGTGAAGCTCAACCGCACCATCATCAAAGTCACGCATTTTTCGATTCTGTTCGCCATATTCTCATACGAGCGCATGGTTATGGCAAGAAGTCCATACGGTCCGGAAGAGCTGGTCGAGCGCCAGCACATACACCAGAAATCCGCAGCGGCGTTCCGCAAGGCGCCTGAACTTTATACACCAACCCATCGACTGAGGGAGCCTTCTGTCGTCAGCTTTCGCAAGGATCGAGCTCTTGACGAAGTCTTCCGAAGGCCGTTTCGCGGCGATACTGTTAGAACAACGACGAGAGAAATGGAAGCAGGTTCTGCCACTGCGGTTGATAAATGGATGCATCTCGCTGATGTCGAAGGGGGTGCCAGTCCGCCAATGGAGCAGCCTAGGRGCGTCCTGGAGCGGCTGGAACATCGACGGCCGAAGTTCAAACGCGCTGCTACTGCGGATCGACTGAAGATGATGACATCGAGAGATTTCTCAACTGCGACTAAGAGCGTGGCCAGCGATGGCGATCTGCGCTCTTTGCCTGCAGTCAGGCGACCTTATATGATTGCGGAAGAATCCGAGGACATGGATCTCAGCGTGGAGACTCTCCCTATGGATACTGAAGCTGATGGTGACGATGAGATTAATGATGAATCAGACATCAACCACACACCAAACATTGGAGAAAGCGCACTTTCTGCGAAACAGAGAATCCCAGCGGACGATAGCGAATCTGAGTACTTCCAGACGCCGAACGCTCATAAGTCGCCAATGCTGCAAATGTCTCACGCGGCGCGAGCTCGCTTGCAGGGCTCTCCAGAGTTGGTCAGAGGGCCCGCAACGCCGCATCAAAGCAAGATCAACCAGCGAAAAGGACATGGCAGGAATGCTTCCAGTGGCACCATTCTTTTCGCCCCTCCGGTCGACTACGATTCCTCCGTGTCTAATCCAAAGCGCCTAAATCGTGCGATGGCTGTTAATCCCGCCACTGGAACTGCATCGCCAATGAGGAAGACAGCTCCACAAGTCAAACCACGGCCAATCCTCCCTGTGCGTCAACAGACCGCTCCTACTAAGTTGACCTTTATAGACAACCCACGACGCAGACAGCCTTCTTTCAATGCTAGGGCTCTAGATCTCGCCAGCGACATTGGCGACAACAAATGGGGTCCCTCTGGACGTGACATGGTGGACGTAGGTGGAATCTCTGGATTTCCAGCTTCCTTTAGCGAGCAAATGATGAGGGAGCGTGACATTCAGCGTCGAGCCGATGACGATCGGCGCCGTGGCGAGGAAGAGGATAAGAGTATGGTGAATCGCATTATGCTCGCCCGGATGCACACTCTTGAGGAAGGCTTCCGCGAGGTGTTGAAGGAGATCAAGGACATGACTGCAAACAATTCACGAAGAGAGAGCGAAGCAGCGGATTCCGGGGCCGGGCATGCGCTGCGCGCAAAGGCTCTGCGGCCAAAGGTGGATACTGCAGTCGGGATGACTATGACTCCAAAAACGCCTATTGGGAGGATTGGTGGGAATGAAAAGGGAGCGAGGAAGAGTCCCAAAAAGGTTGAAAAGCCAATTGCGAGGAAGAGGAAGGAGGGTGAGCGGCCTGGCAGCGTTGGCGCAAAGACTGCTTCTACGAGCGACAGCGAGCGTCTGTCTCAGACGGCGAATCAGGCGCTTGCGAGACAGCAACAGCTGAGAGGCGAAATGCCCAGCCCGGAGTCTGTGAAGTCTGTGGAATCTGTTGTCCAGATTGTTAAGGATGATGCTCCTCAGGAGGATGTCGGTGAAGGGTCTTCGAGGCCTGTGACTGCGAGACCCTCGACGGCGATTTGGGATGGCAGCGTGTCGAATGTAGACAAAGAAACTAGAGAGGAGTAATGAAGGCATGGAGAGGCTGCATAGCATTGCATAGAAGCGGTTTGTTTTGAAAAGACATCGGGGCATTCGATTCTACAGGGTTTGACGCAGTTTAGTTTTAGCGAGGATTGCTGTTCCGGGCTGCGATCCTTCACGGCATGCAAGCGAATTGTTTACGTTGGACACCTTCCATTCAATCTGGCTGGTGATAGAAATTACACATTTAGCAACGCTGTTGGCAWTCTGTTCCTCTGATAGCTCGCTCCTCAACCACCACTGTGCAGATCCTCAATGGTACTCCCACGACTCCCAAGCTCGCGGTCCCATTGAGACCTCTTACACACCACCGCCTGCGAGGATCAGTCTCGTTCAAGTACCCATTGACTGGAGGTCACACGTACCCGACCGACTGGGCTCAACATGAAGAGTCCCCTTGTTTCGTTGCGTTGCTTGATCTTGCTTGTAGCGAACCGCGATCCACGAACCAGCTAGTGCTACTGTGCTAATGAGCACAGTGTTCGTGCGGCTACTCATCATACCGTCAGTCTGCGAAGTCCTCTGTAGGAGTCTCCTCCGTCCAGGCTTTGATGGTCTGGGTAGCTACCGCGAAGCTCCCAGTGGCGGTGTCCTTGTTGGAATTGTGAGACTCACTTGATATATCGTTCCCAAGCCATTGCTGATGTGTTCCGTGAAAGGGATGTTATATATGTAGGTTCGAGCTGTATGTGAGCTTGGAGGATCTTGTGCTATATGGCGTTGGAGCGAGGCAGCGCAGCTAGAAGTAAATAAAGGTCACTACCTAGGCGATAGCAAAAGCAAACGCCTCCACCTCCACCTCCACAGGTGACAGCACTGCTCCACATTATCGGATCGGGTGCTGAGATCCGAGATCTAGAGATGTGGGGCCCCCGCGTGCACGGGTCCCAGAGCTAAAATACATTGAGCAAGATATGCGGGTCCATCATCTGCAGATTTAAGGTATGAGCGATGGATCTCTGCGGCTGAACGAAAAAGCAATGGTATATAAAGCTTTTCCGTTCAGCCTCACATTCCTATATCTCAAGCTACCTTCCTGCCCTACAGTCGAGCCYTCTTCCAGGACGTTGTCCTTTCCAAAGTAGCACCTCGTGCCATCATGTCGTCGTCTTGGAAGGACAAGTTTAGCCAGGTCAGCGCCAAAACGCTGGCTCTCGGCGGCAAGCAGTACGTGAGAAGCTGCAATGAAAGAAAGGTATGAGAGCGATGCGATCAACGAACTATGGAACCTGAGGGTGGGCTCGCTCCATCCGTTTTCCAACATTCCTTTCTAGATCAGGTATTCCGACCCGTTCAAATATACCCCTCTAAGCGGGCCCAAATGCTTCCGACTGCTACGAATTCTCCCTGGAGCGAATACAGACGCCGTTGAGGTAGAGATGTACGAAGCGAATCTTGACGACAAGCCAGTATTTGAGGCGCTGTCATATACGTGGGATCTCACCCCACGGTTAGATATTCGGAATTTCGGAGAAAGCAAGGACAAGGGAGAACGTCGTCCAATTCTATGCAACGGCAATACCGTCCATGTTACTATGAATCTTTACCTCGCGTTGCTCGAATTCCGAGGGATGAAGCTCGAATCACCTCTTTGGGCAGATCAAATCTGTATCAACCAGGAAGATAATGGGGAGAAGATCCCGCAATTGGCGATCATGGCACAAATCTACTCGTCGGCATCCACAGTCGTGATTTGGCTTGACACTCWCACTAAACTCCGGAGTTCAGCATTAGACTTCATGGAGGCCCTACCCAACGAGAAACCCGATCGGCCTACCAGAGCCACCTCTGATACGCCAACACAGCAGTCGGTCCTTGGAAAGATTAGTCGGTCGTTTAACGCTACTAAGGAGATCTCGAGGAACGTGGAGCAGCATTGTCATTGGCTGGCCGTGGTAGCATCGCTCGGGTGTGCTTGGTTCGATAGGATCTGGACGCTCCAGGAATTCATGCTTGCCAATCGCTTCAGGATCTTGATGGGCAATCGAGAAATTCCACCGTCGGCCTTTGTCAAGGCCGCAGCCCAAATATTTGAATTCTATGCCACGGACTCATTATCTGTCCATGCGGGCATCAACAATTATATTAGCAGTAGCTTCGGCGTGCTTGCACAGAATCGTTCAACACTGTTCGAAGGAAGGATCCAGTTCCAGAATGGCAGACGATACAGCGCCGCGGAATACCTCGTCATAGCCAGGCGACGAGAGGCAACGGTGCCGGTAGATCTAGTCTTTGCGGGTGCTGAACTTCTTGAACAGGGCGCTCCGGAGTCAGTCGCCTACTTCTCCACTACTAGAGATGTATTTTATGCATTTGCGGCAGAAAGACTTTGGCCACAGACAGGGATGGAATCGCTGTCCCTTGTGGGCGGGACGTCACCAAAGATAGAAGGCCTTCCGTCGTGGTGTCCGGATCTAAGTAGCGAGTTGGTACCACACCCGCTGCGATCTTGCGGTTGCCAAACTTTGCAGCGTCCACCGATGGCGCCTGAAGGCGGCGGGTATGTGATACAGGGGCAGGCGCTGCACGTCAAAGCCGTGAGATGGAGCAGCATCAGCCGAGTCGGAGAATCTCTGTGGAGCTGGGTTAATTGGGAACAGTACCCATACAACACGGAAGAGGATCGAAGAAGAGCGACCCAAGTTTCAAGGAAAAGGATGAAGACTTCCACGGCAAGTCCTCAGGAGCTGTTCGGTTTGATGCTCGCCTTGCTCGATGGAATGGAAGGTGTTTATATGCCAACCGGCGAGCGGCCCATAGATGCACTCTGGAATACGCTTACTGGGGGTACCGCATCTGCTAGCGGCGAGGATACCGCCGTGTGGCGAGATCGATTTCACAACTTCTTTGCGCTGATATACTTGACCAATCGTATGGGTTTGGAGAACGAGAAGAACTCGACGTCAGCTCCACGTCCGTGGAAGATGTCGTTGATTCAGGATCTGCCGCACTTGCAGGAGCGTGTCACATCCTTCCTTGACGTCCATGATCGGCCACTTGGCCAGGGTCAGGAGCCACCGTTGAAGAAAGTCATCGCTGATCTCACGGACCGCATCTACAGCGGCAGTGTTCTCCAGGCATTGTTCCGCGGAGATCCCTCTCACGAGCCTGCTGGCAAGTTTAGCGAATTGTTCAGTAAAGTTTACGAAGGTCGTCGAATCTTCTCTACGCCAAATGGATATCTGGGCATCAGTACAGAGGATGTTAGGCATGGTGATGTTATCTCGCTAGTCGCCGGGGCCAGTATGCCATATGTCTTGAGACCAGTTGACGGCGCAGCGGCGACGTTCACCCTGGTCGGTGAGGCGTATGTCCACGGTTTGACGGGAGATGGTGATCTCAACGAGACTGGTCTTGTCTATAGCGATATCAAGATAGTGTAGMTCTCGGTG